TTTCGCGGCGGATCCGAAGTACAAGAAATACAGCAGCAGGTGGAGCGTTGCCTGAACTCATTCGTAAGGCACGAATGGGAGATTGCATTGCGTTTCTCAAGACGCTGCTCAAGGGCACTTGAATCCATTGATAATCTCGCTTGGCTCACTCTCGTACGCATGTTCAGACTTTCCAATCGTATATGCAGTTCAAGGAGATCCCTCGGAAACTGATTGTCGCGAAACGCCTATCACAGTGCTTGAACCCGGCGCTGCCAACGGGTGTGCACCAGCGGGCACTGGACGTGTACTCGCATATCCTCGCAGTGCTGGGGGCGGAGGGTCTCAAGCAGGATCTGGCACTCTGGTCTTCTGGGCTCTTTTCCGTTTCGAATATGCGGCGACGTCGGTAAAGGTTCGTAGTGTTCATTATGCCGCCAATCCCAAGCTAAATGAGTCGACACAACAGCCTGCATTATTGAATCTATATGACACGCACTACCTCCCGCTTCAAGCAGATTTACGACCCATCATGAAATCGTTCATACTCGCACTGCTGCCGGGACTGGAAGAGGAGACGGGAGAGTTTTTCGAAAAGGTATATTGACCATGTGTTTCATCATTATCCCCAAGGCTGACTGCCTCCAGGTGATGAGCTTGCTCGACCGACTATCTGGCACAGTATCTCCCGCGTTCTTCTTCCAAAACATATGGCTCGTCATGTTGACAACGCCCGCGGCACGGGGGAATGCGCTCAACCTACTCTCGCGCAGGCTGCCGCGTCTGAATGCTGAAGAGGGTCAGTGGATTGGGTTATTCGGCGCTCGTCTCTGATGTATTCATCAGACATTAGCTCATCATTGGGCAGGACATTGGTCTGATGATCCGGGCCTTCTCTGCGGCATTAGAGGACGACAACTTGCTTGTGCGTCGGGGTGCGCTTGATCTATTGCTCCAGACGACGCGACTGGACAGCGTTGCTCTTCGAAAAGCGCAGGCGGACGACCGGGGTATCTTGATGCGAGCTGCGACGAGCGTCGTTCTCCGGCGCGACCTGAGTCTGAACCGACGGCTTTACACGTGGTTGCTGGGCCCAGACGAGCGTAGCGAGGTGCAGATGGAGTATTTGCGTCAGCACGGGCTGGAGCTGCTCAGGAGGACGCTTGATGACGAAATGCTGTCGCCGTCCGGAGAGTACGCTGACTCGCGACCGTTCAAGATCTTCATTTCATTGCTGGACAAGTGGGAAATCGGGGCGCCTCTGACGGAGAGTCTGGTGTTCGATGCGTTCAAGGCCGTGAAGAGACTCGTAGAGGAGCCCGGAAACAGTGGCGAAGACGTCACGATGACCGCCAGCACACTGTACGAAGCTGTCGAGCCCGCAGTTCTCTGGAAGCAGCTGCTTCGCCGTGTGTTCGACGAGATCAACTCTGAAGACGGAAGCAAAACAGAGGCGATCCGAATGGTCCTGTTTATCCTGCGGACATTCTCGCAGGACGATGAGATCCAGACTATTCATCTCCCGATCATCTTCGCAGGACTGACGGATCTGCTCGATGCGCAACTCACCAAGGATGTGGGCAGGAGTTTGACTCCGGCTGTGCGCGAAACGGTCATTCTGCTGGAGGAGATTCTACGGCAAATTCCCACACCACATTGATGGCACCGGTCGAAGGAGAGGGCGCCCGCCCGCATTCATTTGCTGCGTCTTTCTATGGCTTTTCTGTCCCCGAGGCCACAACATCGACAAATTCTGCGATGCCTGCACCATTTGCCAGCTCATTCGAAAACCTGATCACGCTCAGTCGGATGTGTTCGCGATACCTGGTCGATGGGAACCCGAGCAATCCTGCGTTGCTGCGAGAGGTCGCGTCACAAGTGATGCTGCTGCTCGAAAGACTGGTCAGTCGGCTCGAGTCCCCATTGACAGCCGAGTGGGAACCGAGCGAGTGGCTGGCTGCAGTACTTGCTACTCTGGATCACCCGCAATGCAACTTCACTCTCGTGGACCGGTCCATCTCGTTAATCGTCGTTCTGCAGCAACACTCGCCTCAGCTGGTCGTGGACGAGCGTCGCACGATGGGGGTCATGGTGAAACGTCTGCTCAAGTACCTGCGCCCAGACTTGACGGTATATCACGTGAGGGCGGTAGCGTTGATTTGGGCGTTGCAGGGCATCACGCATCGGAAGTCGCATGTGGAGTCCGTTTTGGCGGAGAAACTTACGGCCAGGCAACCACTGGAAGCGTTCGAGGCATTTGGCGTGCTTTGGAGGTTGACGGAGGATTCGTTCCTGCCTGGGTTCCGGTTCAAGATGCCGATGATGATTGTGTTGGATTCGCTCAAGTCAGAGGATGTGTCTCTGAGGAGGGTCGGCGAGACCTGGATGCGCTGCAGTCTGCGGTCCTATCTTCGGTGTGTTCGGTGTTCTGTCCTATGCTTATGCTTATTGTTGTGCAGCGTTCTAGACCCGATCCTCTTCGATTTGCTCGACCCAGCGATTCAACGGACAGCGTACACACACCGGGTCAAGGGCAAGGAAATCCAGGGGTATATGTATGAGCGGTCTTTTGATCAACACTACGCGGGACACTTGTTGGACTTGTTACTTGCGATCGTGCGCTTTGGTGGACAGGGCTTCTCCAAGACTGCTCGTGGGTCGCTTATCAAAGGCGAGCTGCTTCTCAGCCGGGTCGATGGCCAAAGCTCCTATCTGGATGCTCTGGTTGACGTACTATTACGGTCCGTCTATCTCGTCGCGCTTCATCTGATTTATCCTAATACCATGAAGCTTCCTCCAATCAGAGCCCAAAGAAAACCATGAAACGTCAATGCTCGCAAACAACTTGGCCATTCAGTCAACTACTGTCGATTTACTCCAGGCTATTGTGGCCAGGGGTGAGGTCGATCCTGTCACGGTCGAAGTGATCCAAGCAGTCGTCGTGGGGAAGCTGTATCTGTGTATCCACAGCGGAAAGCTGGATTTGCAGAACAAGCTCTTGCATCTACTCCATTCCTTGATCTCAGCATCCGCGGCTGAGAAGCCGGGCAATGCCGAGTCGTCCTCCTCGGCGTCTGACACGGACGCTACCCCTCATACGGTCGCGAACACATTGCTCATCCAGGCGCTCGTGGATGGGCTCTCGACGCCGGAGAACCGGCCCGTGCTGCAGCACTGGCTGGACTTCGTGCTGATGGCCGTGCAGCTGTTCCAGCCAGCGCTGCAGAATGTGGTGACTCCGCTCAACGAAACGCTGTGTAAACAAATACTAGCGAACCTCGGCGACTTGCTGACGGTTACATTCGCGGATGGATTGTTCGGGGACGATCTGAAATCGACTGCGACGGATGCTGAACTGGGGATGTTGCTGGGGGGACTCGAGCGATTGGTGTTGTTGAGTCTGGCGTTCCCAACTGAGAGCGGTGGGGCAGGAAGTGCCGGTGGCGGTGTCGAGGACGATACTGTCGAGAACAGCAGCGGCCTATTGGGCTATGTGTCGACCGTTTTCAGCTCTGACACAGCGCCGCCTGTCTCGGATGAACAACAGTTGACTGCTAGATCGGCAGGATATCGCTCCTTGCACGAGGCCGTCCGAGTCTTGTATCTCGTGTGGTCGACACTGGCTTGGGAGGAGCGAAGCACGTGGTCATCCAAGGACGAAACCCTCGAACTCATCTACTCGCGAACCAGGCTGAGGTGTAGACGGGTCCTCGAGCATCTCTTCAGAGTACAGAGTGCAGAGGTGTTCGAGTCGATCATTGATTACTGGAATCGAGAGTTGCCGGTCGGTGTTTATCTCAACCGACTTCATGACGACTAACGAGTTGTCGCAGGAATCGCAGCTGCCTTATGAGCAAGCTTTTGAGCTTGTTGACGTTCTCATTTCAAGTGCGCAGGGTGTGGTGCATATGGTCTGTGAGAGCATCACCATCCGGATGACCGGTGTCTCTGAGAAGACGAAGAAACAAGCCATCAATCCTGACTTGTACGTAGTGGTGTGAGCCGTGCCATCATCGGTTGCTGACTACAACTTAGAACGGATGCAGTCCTCTTCAAGTTCTTGGAACAATATCTCGCCCGTCTCGAAGGTCCGATCGCACTGCAGGTCTGGCCGAGATATCTGCAACTGGTCAAAGATGTATCAGGGAGCACGAGGGAATACAAGCCCCAGACGTACCCTGCATTGCGTTGCTTGACTGTTCTTGCGGAGAAAATCACGCAGACCACGGCGATGGAAGACCGACGGAACCGGAAGGAGCTACAAGAGACGTTCGGCCGGCTGCTGGACTCGTGTGTGATGTTCATCGGGCGCGACCAAGGTTCCTGGATCCGCCGGAGTGTGAAAGAGAATGGGCGGGACTCGCCTGCGCCAGATAAGGACAAGGAGAAGGAGAAAGAGAAGGAAAAGGAGAAAGCGATGGTTCCAACGACCGCTTCGGAGGAGGTCTTTGTGCAGATCAACGGATTCATTGCAGGAACGGCAATGCCCAATCTACGGAGGTTCCTGATGGACAACGACAAGGTCGTGGCGGCGTGCACGAACGTCGTGTATTACATTGTGGGGCCTGCAATGAAGGGCAAGAACACTCGGCCGTTGGACATCGACCCTGTGATTGTCAGTATCATCCGTGAGATGACACGGATCCCCGCCGCGCTCAAGACATGGAAGCCGGCCGTCGCAGAACTGCTTAACGACAACCGGCTGTTCAATTGCACACCAGACAGCGCGGAAAAGTGGAAGCCAATCGTGAAGACGCTGTTCGATCAGGACAAGACAGCGTTCCCTGAGCTGCTCAGTGCGTGTTGTTTGTCTGTTTGTCTGCTTATGCCATGTGCTGAATGTCCCGCAGCGAAGGTGGCCACTGCTCCATCTGCGAACATCTTTACCAACAGGGAATACGAGATGCTCCTGCGGTCACTCAACATCAGACGGTTGTCGTTTGTGCTGCTGACGGGGGACAAGAACTTTTTCCTGACACAGCTGCCTTCAATCCAGGAAAAGCTGGTTGACATTTTCCGCAATGTGACAGCACCGATTGTGCAGAGCGAAGTCTATCTGTGCATCAGGGTGTTGTTGATTCGCCTGTCGAGACATAATCTGACATCGTTCTGGCCGGTGTTGTTAACGGAGATGGTGCGTCAGGGTCTATTTGGGTTTGGTTCTCCCGCTGATTTGAACAGTACCGGGTCTTTGAGCAGTTGATGACGAATCTGCCTAGCGATGGGTCGGAGGATCTGCAGCTGGTGTTGGCGGCAAGCAAGTGTCTGGATCTGCTGATCACCTTGCAGTCGGAGGAGTTCCAAATGTGCGTTGCCGTGTTTCGTTCTCTGATAATGTACTAATCAGGACTGTAGTCACCAGTGGATCTTCATCACAGACACCGTCGATGCTATTTACCGGCCAGACGGGTGTTTCCCAGAAGCGATGATGGATCATCTCGCTGAGATCGTCAGCAGCCTGCCCGCCGACACGTCCTCGACATTTCCCGTGACACCAGCAACGCCGCATGCAGCGATGACAACCGCAGCGGCGCGGCCGATGCGTCGCCCGCTGCTCAACGGTGTGCGCCAGCTCGAGAGCATGCGCGATTTGGTGCCGTTTTTGACCGGCGTCAGCATTGCCTCGTACGAGAGCGTCTATGCGAGTGCCGGCAGCGTCGATTGGGCCAGTGTCGAGGCAGGGATCTTGGAGGATGTATTTGATGGCAGGTAGTCCGTGTCTGCATATACCACAATTTTAGCATACCAGTTATATATAGCAACTTGAAAAGTACTTTATTCAGAACACGATTCGTTCTCTAAGTGGCAGATGGTGTTCAATATTGAATGGACCAAATGGTTTGATTGTCAGAGGGCAAAAAATCGCGGTCACGTGACGCAGACTGTCGTGTCCCAGCTTCATGGGTACAGACAAATTTCAGCACTAGTATATTCCAGTGCTCAATGTGAGTATCGTCTGCTTCGTTCACCGCACCAACGTCCCACTCGAACGCGAACGCTGGAAGCTCATCATCACTCAGTGCTGATGCGCTGATGGTATTTGCTATGACCAAACATCATCTTTTGGTCTGCTCATCATGCTAGCACCGGTCGCGTCTCGACTGTGCCCTAATGCCGTGACCAAGGCACGATTCCACGCGTCTGCGTGCGCAAATGCGCTCTCGCTGAAGCCCCCAAAAGAAATCTCGGGCATGAAAGTCTCTCGCCGCTTCTCGGGCAAGAAGGCGTTCCAGTACAACTGGTACATGCGCATCCTCAACTCCACGAAGACTTCTCCGCTCCTCATTCTCTACCACAACGACTTCAAATCCGAGCGCCTCGTTCAGCTCCGCCGCGACGTCACCGCTGCATCGAACCGGCTGAAGCAGCAGCAGCAAAAACGCGCACAGGCAGCCGGCATACCAGTGGAGGAAACGGACGACCCTTTGCTCACTGTGATACGCTCGAGCATATTCGGCGCCGCGATCCGCGACTTTCCCGCGCTCGAGAACGCAGAGGTCGAGCCCATGGTGGAGAACGTATCGGGCTCGCTGGCGGTGCTGTCCCTGCCTGTGCTCGACCCGCCACAACTTAAGGCGATCCTGCGTACATTCGAGCGCTCGGCGCCACCGCGCAAGCCCAAGACACCTGAGGAGCTGAAGAAAGAGGAGCAGGAGAAGAACGCGGACCCTGCGAATCCGGGAAAGCGCATGAAGCGAATGCGACAGGTGGTGGATCCGGAGCTGAAGGTGCTCGGCGCTTTCTTTGATGGGCAGGTGCTGCTTCCTGCTCGGGTGAAGCAGGTGGCGGACATGCCGACGCTGCAAACGTTGAGGGAACAGTTGCTTGGACTGTTGAGTGCCCCGGGGACACAACTTGCGATGACGCTCAGTGCGGCCAGTGGAGGCAGGTTAGCCAGGACGCTAGAGGGACTAAAGAAGGGTTTGGAGGAGAGCGCAGGGGAGGCACCAGCGGCGTAGATTGTTCATTTTCCCCCTATGACACGGTGGAACGTAATCGGGATACACTTCAACTAAAAACAGCCGTACTGGGTGGGGACCAGTTCTTAGCGCGTTCTACGCATCGCAGGAAGTTCTATGGAACCTCAAGCAGCAAGCTTCAAGGTCGACGAATGTAGATTCTATTACATTCCTAGTTCCTGAATTGCTTTTGTCATGGTTGCCACTAGGGCGCTTCAACCTGCGCATCGCACTACCAGGAGACGGTCAGGCATCTTGCAAGCTGTCCGTCTCAAATCGGCATGCAGGGTCGAAGGAGCACATGCATGTGCCCGGCTGGGTCAGCAGAGGTCGCTATATTTTGTCTTGGCTGTTAGCCTTCTACTTCGCCGAACTCGCCCGACTAACTCTCTACACGAAACTCAAGCATGTATGCTGCTTAAAGGAAATTGGAGCATCGTGGCTATTGCACAACAAAGCGGCTTAGAGTTGCAGCGGTCGGGTAGAGAGGGAGCTTGAGGCAACGATATCAAGAGAAAAGAACCGGCATCAACGATCAATATAACTTTGTTCCTGTCTGCTAGCAGACTGGGATGGACCCCGTACGTCTTGACGCTCCCTCGCTCTCTGTGTCCCGCGCATCATCTTCAACTTCTTCTTCTTCCACCTCCCGTGCCTACTCCAGCGGCGACCAGGACTTTCCCCAGGACCACTCCCGCAGCCCCTCGGAGACCACACTCTTTTCGATTTACTCCATGTATGGTCGTGACTCTCTACCGCCAGTACCCAAAGACGACATACCCGCGGTCCGTCTGACCATCCCCGAGACCTTTCGGCGCTCTGTGATCAAAGAGGACAGTCCAACTGAGGACACGGACTCGGCGTACTTTGACTTGCCACCTGTGCCGTCGGCACGTCTGCTCGACCTTACGAAAGAGCAGCTCTTAGTCACTCGGCCGACCCGAGTATCCAGTCTGCGGCCCATTTCAGACTATACGACGACCTCGTCATCGTCCATGCGTGGCAGTTTGACCGCGACGGAGGAAAGAAGGGCTTCGACGAGTAATATCCAGCTACAGTCTTCTCGCGAAAGCTCTCCGCGGCCGGATTCGCTTCTTGGACTTCCGCCACTTCCGCCCTCCCGTACGCCCACACCGTCTTTGAGCCCTCCCCCTCCCGCTGTGTCACCCACACTCCCTCTCAAACACCCCTTCTCCGTACTCGGGAGCAAGACATCACTTGTTCCATCAGAAGGCGAAGACCTGGATGGTTTCCATGTGCGGAATACATACGCACAGCTGGAAGTCTCTGGTGTCAAGGGCGATGGCTGGGAGGAAGGCGTCGAGCGCACGCGTGCGCGCATCGGCGCCAGTCGGGCGAGCCAAATGATGGCCGAGAATGCGATCGGAGATGGCACTGAAAAGTCACAAGAATTGGATCCGCGCGAGATTCGGACTTTGAGAGAAGTGGACCGGTGAGTCTCGTTGAGATATTCATTCCATGACAGATTCCAGGCGGCTGATATCTGCGATAAAGATATGGATTCTTCTCGATTCCATCACACGACCGCCTGGTGCTGTTGCCCTCTGCACCGTTCCTTGTCCGCCTCAGTGTTGTCCAAGCCGGCCCACCTGCGGCTGGGCCGTCCGCCAAGTCCTTGGAGTCGAGTCCGCCAGCACGGAAACCGCCGAAAGAGCTTTCTCGCATCGAGAAATGGACCCGCATGATGCTCCCGCAGCTTCGGGACCAGGGAGCGAATGCTCTGTCTTGGCATGTCAAACCATCGAAGGAGGCCAAGTTGCGCGTGCGCGTGTACAAAGGAATACCCGACCGATGGCGACCTGCCGCATGGGACATGTTCATGAGCACCAAAGCGAGCATGGGGCCCGAACAAATGTCGCGGTTGGCGGCCCGATATCGTGACGGCCTCGACAAGCCTTCGACGTACGATATTCAGATCGACCTGGACGTTCCCCGTACGATCAGTGGGCATGTGTTCTACCGGACGAGATATGGTGCTGGGTGCGTTTGCGTTCAGCTGCTCATGCTGAGACATTGCTAACGTTGCACAGGCAACGCTCCTTATTCCACGTGCTGCATAGCTTCTCTTTGCATTGCGGAGAATGTGGATATGTGCAGGGCATGGGCCCCATCGCAGCGACTCTGCTGTGCTATCTCGATCCAGAAAAGGTGTATGCCTCCCTGGTGCGGCTGCATGACGCCTATGGCATGCACACCATCTTCAGCCCCGGGTTCCCTGGCCTCCTCGAAGCCATTTATGTGCAGGAACGCATCACAGAGACGATGATGCCGGCCGTGTATGCTGCTTTCAAGAAGCACAGCATCTCGACGACGTCCTACGCCACCAAGTGGTACATCACGTTGTTCGCCAACTCGGTCCCTTTCCAGACCCAACTGCGGCTGTGGGATGCGTTCTTGTTCGAGGGTACGGATCTGTTCGTTGCCGTGGCTGTTGCCATCGTGTGGGCCTACCGTGGTGCGTGCCTGAATTCTACATCCGCAGCATTTTGCTTACCCACAAACTCAGATCATATCACCTCGTCTGCCGCCAACTTTGAAACCATTTTATCCTTATTGTCGTCATTTTTCATTCCGGAAGACGAAGATACCCTGCTGCTCTGGATGGAGAAGACTCTTGGCGACAAGAAACTCCGCCAGAGCATGGTGCAGTGGCGCGTCGACTGGAAAGGTCTCGTTGCTTCCGGCAAGGACGGCGCCGCGCTCTTATAATCACACTCGTTTCCTTCTCTATCTTCCTCTAATATTGGGTCTTGTCCAGACATTATTCCCGTAGCTTTCATTTGCTTTTCAAGATGCATCTGTACCTCCGCACAATCAATCTGTTTTTTTGTATTCGATTTCGGGCGTTGGATATCCTCATCCATATCGTACATATTACGTACACACAACTAAAAGCTGATGTTGGCCAGCTCCTCGTCGTCCAGGAGCCCATCAACATACTCATCGAGGTCCTGCGTACATGTCATGTCAATCGCGCAGATTCAGCTCCAACTGGCAGATGCACTCACATCACCAGGCAGCTCAGTGCTTGAGGACGACAGTTTCGAAGGCGGAATGTGGTGTGCAGACATAGAGACTGAAGGCTCGATTTTGCGAATCTTGGATGGGCTTTCTGACGGCGGAGGACTCCGAATCCGGAATGCATCAGCAGCAGCGAGTTTGGACTGAACATCGCCACCAAGCCTGAGCTCAGCTTCGAGTGTTACCCAATCCCTCTCCGGTTCCTGATGCAACGCCGCCCCATGATTAGCCATTAGATCGGCACCTTCGTTTCCTGCTTCCCCGCTGTGCCCTTTGACGTGCTCGAAGTGCACTTTCTGGCCCTTGAGGGCACGGGCATTCAGCAGTGTGGCAATATATCGAATGATTTCTTTATTCTTCACTGATTCTCCAAGCGAACTCGTCCAATTGTTTCTCACCCAACCAGGCAGCCACTCTCCCAAACCTAGCTGCTCATGAGATGTTGCGAAAAGGAATGAAGAGCAGCCCACATTTGATGGAGTAGACGGAATCCGATCTGATGAGCAGAGGTTTCTTGCTGATGGGTGTTTCCTCCAGAGCACGAACGATGGCCTTGAAATCACATCATTAGAACGAGAACTTGGGAAGGGGAAGAAGTGTTGAGAGCATCCACGTACAATCAACTCCGCTCGATTGTTGGTTTGATCACCCGGACACCTTTCCGCGATGTTTCTGACAAGATCTTCAGTGCAGTCCCAAGTTTATTGAGGAGAGAACTCACCTCGGATCGCTGGGGCCCCACCAGACTCCTACACCGGCAACAGACCCCGGCTTTCCGTTCCCTTTACATGCTCCATCGGTGTAGACGATGTCCCAACCTGTGGTGTCTTCGATCTCGGGCACCAACGGTCGTTTCTTCCCTCTCGAGGACGATGCTTTGCTGGTGGAAGAAGCTGCCTCTGCAATAGCAGAAGAGGGGGACTGCGAGACGACACCGAGCCATGACTGCGCCTCCGCCATGCTCTTGAAGCTCTTGTACACGGCTGAATTGAACCCTTTCACTTGCGACTCGCATTCAGGCCTGACGTGGATTCGGAGACACGTTATAGCCGATCGCCATCGAACGCACCAGCTATTGTAGAGACCCGGTCGTCGACCGTTTCTCACAGCGTACCACTTTCCGGGAGCCATTTGCCTTGCCAGATGAGCTGTGATGAGTGAGTATATCGAGTGAGGCCGGAATAATTTGCCCCGGACGAGCCGGAAGGAGAGAAGGGGGAGTCGACGCGGCAGAGTGGATTGATTTAAGCAGCGGTGACGGTCAAATTTAAGCTCCACTGTGAGGGCCAAGTCAGGTGCTCGCGTTTTGATGAAAACGCACCGCCACATTCATGACACCTGTCGTTTTTGCTAAGCCGATAGATCGGAGCTCAATCCCTCTCCAGCAGACCAGGGTGCGCAGCAACATTTGAGTTTAAAAACATGCAGACGTCCAAAAATTGATATATCACCGACACACTGATCTGCGACCTGGAGTAAGAAAGCTTCCTTGTGCCAGTGACGGTTCCACGACTCCCTTGTAATTATCATAACGTATCACTCGTCCTTCACTTTTCGCTAGTCCGACCGACATAGCTCACAGTCTCCTCCGTCACAAGTAGCTCTGCTTTGCTGAGTATAATAGCCTGTCTCGGCAACCCCCGATAATGGTCAATCACCCACTATTGCGATAAGCGGTTTCTGTTTATAGGCATTCCTCCACCAGCTCATGAGCGCCGCTTCTCGTCCCATACAAAGCTGTTTCCAGTGTGATTTCTTTGTTGCTATATGAGCCACTCTGTCTCTGACCACCCGCTGCCAGGTCGAAAGCGCAAAATCAAATGTTAGCACGACCGATGCTGCCCATAGTTCCGAGCTATCGTTGACAGACAACGGAATTCTACCACAGGCAACCGATCTTACCCATGTGCCCCGTGTATACTCCGAGGAGAGAACGATACCTGCAGAGAAGTGGATAAGAGCACCGACGGGTGCGTGCGCAACATGCGCGGTCAGGACTGCCTGGTCTCCTGACTTGCACACTCCAGCTCCAGCTCCAGAACGACCGCAGAAACAATCGACGAGCTTTTGCACCGTGTATCGACTCTCGAGTCTATCGTTTCGCAACTATCCGACGCGTCCAAACTCTCCCACCCCACCCCACCAGCGGCGCCCTCTCATGAGCCGTCGATCATTCGCTCAAGTTTCGGAACGGACACCAAAGACGAGGATGTCGCTATGATGCTAGAGGTTGGCAGTGTTCCAATGTCAGGGAACTCAATGAACCCAATGCGTTACAGGACTTCGCTATGGGCCACCGCGTGAACACCAACCGTGCAGCCCAAGAACTCGAGGCCGCGTCCCACAGCACTGACAGGTCACCGCAACTCAGGGTCACGCGGAAAGGACCGCAGCTCGGTATTCTCCCCAGCCACCCCCTCGCACTGCTCATCGACCCGAACACGGATATCCTGGGTCGCCTGCTTTCTGTGATGCTGCCAGAACAGCAGGCTGGTGTGCTTGTCCAGTTCTACTTTGACCGCCTGGACTGGTACTCGAAGGTTCTCCACCGGCCGACCTTCGTCGCAGAAGTGAGTGAGTGAGGTGGTATCGGTCGATTCGGCTTACACCAGACAGAGCAAGAATCTATGGGCCAACATCTCCTCCCGAAATTTCGCCGCCATCGACATTGGATTTCTGGCTGTCTACTATATGGTGTTGTGCTTGGCCCTTCACCTCATCGAATCGATCGTACGCGAACAACTGGGGCTCTCTTTCCTCGCTGCTTCGGACCTCGCACGAGACATGCACTCTGCCGCTCAAGTGGGTCCCAAACAGTCAGCAATGACGCGCGTTGAATCTTCTATTTCCATAGGCATGTCTACATTTTGATGAGTTCCTCGGCTCGCATTCCCTCGAGCATCTGCAGTGCATCATGTGCGTGAGATGCAGGCTTGCTTTTGTGCTCAATTTGATGTATCCAGTCTTATGGGTGTTTACCAGCAAAACCTGGACGAGTCTGAGTCTGTGGCTTCCAGCTCTTGCTCACATGCAATGTCTGACATCTCGGCAGCACCCACTGGGCTCTTCTCGGCGCCGCCATCAAAGTAGAATTGTCTTGAGAGAAGAACACTCCAAACATCTGACAGTTTGCTCAGATTGCTCAAAATTTGGCATATCCATGCTGGGCACCGAAGGAGAAGAACGAAATTATTCGACACCCTGGGGCTCTATCGTGCGACGAGAGGTTGCACGCAGAGTATGGTGGATTCTGGTGAGTCTTCTGTTCTCAACCGGATCGCCCACCAACTCCTCTCCAGATCTGGGATGACTGGCTAGTAAACCGCTATTCTGAGAAGACCCCTTGGTAGTAACAGTAGATCGCAGGTCACATGCTGCTGCTCATAACGGGACGTATTCCATCCACCCTAGTCAGAACCACACTGGGTTTCCTGGTGCGTCATGTTTGTCGTGTGGCTGGCCGGCTCACAAAATCGGTCTCAGCCAACGTCAACGACATGGACCTCGTTGACGGGATCCCATTCAAACCACATCCCCCACGGGAATATACAGAGATGACTTTCTCGCTCTGTCGGTTGCGATTTGTCGAGCTTTATCGTCAGGTCCTCGATAATATGCAAGCCCCAAAGGGCATTCTTTCATCGTGGAAATGGACAGCAAGATCTCTTGCGCGTTATCTGAGCTGCCCACCTATTTCCGGGGGCCTGGACCAGCTGTCAAGGGCTTCGAGCTGACGCTGGCTCTGATCATGGGAGAGACAAGACGATTGCGGTTACATCGGCCTTTCTTGTTCAGGGGCTACAAGGACAAGAAATATGTACGTCTTTCTGATGAGGTGGTTCCTTCATGTCCTGAACGGACCAGATGGCTTCACGAGTCCAATGCGTAGCCTCTGCTACGGCTATTCTCAACCACCTCAATTCGGATGACTCGGCTCTGCTGCTCAAGTGGTGGATTGTTCTGTTCTACGGCTTTGCGGCTGTGAGTTGCCCCCGACTTATCAAATCGGATCCAGGATTGATCCACTGACAGGCAGTTGTACTGTTCATTGATCTATGCCACCAGAAGGCCGAGGGGCAAGCCGATCTCGAAGGCCGTCGCATGCAGCTAAGAGAAGCGCTCGATTTGTTCAAGTGTGTCATTCGCATCGCTCCTCGCTAGTGCTCTGTCCAACAATACCCAGAACAGCCGAGCAAGTGTCTCATGTCTCGCGTAACGCAATAACGTTGCTGGAGGGCCTTCTGAGTATGTGTTCCGGGCGGTCATTTGTGCGACTGTTGATCTCGAGATGTAGCTGCTGAGCCTGGGATGCCGTCGAGACCATCTCACAAGCGTGGGGCTACAGACGATGCACCTTTTGGCAGAATCGTCAAACGTATGATTGTACGTCCTCGTTCTTGACACCATTACATCTTCCCTCAACATGAGCTAGATCGATGCCTCGCGGAATCTGACTGTGCCAACGGCAATATCCCCAGCAAGCAGCAGCAGCGCAAACAGTGCATCACCGCCAATGCCCCCCATTCGCAGTCAAGTTACCCGCCAGCCCGAGACCCCTGACATGATGCCTGAACTGTTTATGGCTGGAGGGATGTTCCGCGACGAAGGCGTGTTTTCTGGTCCTCATTTCGACGACCAGACGATGGCACAGCTTTCCCAGCTACTATACAGCGATCCATACGGTTACACAGACAACTACGCGGGGAGTGGTTGAGGTTCACGCGGCTTCTTTCGTTTCACTGTATCATAATTAGGCCTTGTAATATGATGTCCATGTACTTACTTCATACGGTCTGACGACCTGGGGAATCCAGCCCACTTGGGCAGACCATCCTGCACGTCGACCACTCGCGTGTTATAGAAGATGTGGGCGGTCGGTTTCAGGATGTCCCAATTCAGCACCATATCGTCTGCGCCGCGCGCGAACTGCGTAGGACGAAGCGCCCAGTTCCCCGTATCCAGTTTGGCAGCAGCACAGCTGCGGCATTGCTTGCAGCGATAGAGCTTCATGTCGCCGACAGTTTCGAGTTCGTTATGCGGCGCGCTCGACGCAGTGAAAGCGAAAGCTTCATCGGGAAAGTGAGCCGAAGCTACGAAAATGGCACCGTCGGCGCGTTGACACCGGGTGCCTGCAAAAGGGTGGAAATGGTGTGGTGAGACACGGCCTGCAAGCCAGATCTTGCTCACAGTGGCAAAACACGCTGAAGAGAGGCTTGCTGGAGAGATTGAACTGCACGAGGCCGCAGGTGCAGCCGCCCGCGAGAGAGACAGAAGGGGTCTCTTTGTTAGCCATGACAGACGAGTTGAGTAGGCAGCGCGATTGGGCAGTCAAGCTAATACTTAAAGGGGTGGATCCCTGGGCTCCGGCCCGCCTGCCCGTTTACATCTCATTCCCGATCCGATCATGATTGCTTTCCCTAGCGGCCTGAACTTGCACCAATGGATGTTTCCAAACATCTGGAACTCGCCCGAAAGATCGCATCTGGCCCTCTGAGCAAAGAGGAGAAAGATGAAATTCTGTCCAATCTCGGACTCGCAGGTCTCCCCTCACGAGAGCAGGTCCACCGGCAGATCGAAGAAAGATTCTTGACACCGCAGGACACCTTGCCTCCACATTGGCTGCCCACGTACCAATTGTACGCGCGACCTTGCTTTATATCTTTTGGAAACTCCCCTCATAGTGCTCCTGTAGATACTGGACACCAGAATTGAACATCCCCTCTCTGCTCAAGCTATCGCCTTCGCCTGCGCCTACGACCGTGTCATTTGTGCGCACGGGCCTCGAAGGACGCGTCACCGGCCACGTCGAGGTCAGTCCTGCAAAAATCAGCGGCATCTGTCTTGCCTCGTCCTTACTGCGTCTGCCGCTGTCTTCGCACAGATCCCAAATCCACGCAAATCAACAGGTGCGGCCTCGACATCTCTCGATCGCGCACCGGACCCGAGCAAGAACTTCGTCCGCGGGCGCTCAGGAAATGTGCCCTTCTGGCCCGGTGGGCTGGAGGATGTGGCTCTTCTGGATGGCGACAAGCCCGGCGGGCGCGGGTCGTCGAGAGGGCTGAGGACGATCCCGCCTGGGTTTAGCCGGGGGCTGCTGTTCCCCGAGGATATGGACGACAGTATCTTGGAGCTGGATGAAATCGAGAGGGATGCAGTGGAGGAACGGGCAGACGTTGATGAGATGGTGCGTGTGATTGCTCATGCGCAAGGGACCGCTCTTGTTCACATCACGCTTTTACATAGGACGCCGATGCCGATGCGTTCTTTGAGGAGACCACAGCTCAAGAAGGTGTTCCTGGTGGTGCCGTCGATAGCATCGACGATCTGCTTCCGACGACAGTATGTTCATCGGCACCCATCTTGAACGAGAGCTGACACTCCCTCCAAGCGCACAAATCTGAACCCGGTGAAACGGGCTCGCAAGCGCATACAGAAGACCATACAGAAACGAGATTGGGCGCATGTCATCGATGTGAACACACCGCTATCCAACTTCCACGAGCTTGTGCCGGAGATGGCTCACAAGGTGATCTCGTTGTAAGCATCCAGTCTCTGAATGTACTGAAAGGGCTCTCTGTAGTACCCGTTCGAACTGGACACTTTCCAAAAACAGGCTGTTTATCATCTAGAAATGGGCGATTCGGTCTTCGTCGCTGCTCACACCTCAGCCGGCAAAACTGTAGTCGCCGAGTATGCTATAGCTTTGGCTGAGAAGCACATGACCCGGTGAGCAACAAGTTCTTGTTCCCTTCAGCCTCCTCACTCACCTTGGCAGAGCGATTTACACCTCCCCCATCAAGGCGCTGTCAAACCAGAAATTCCGCGACTTCAAGCAGACGTTCAATCCCGAGTCTGTTGGAATCTTGACTGGAGATGTGCAGATCAATCCTGAAGCCAGCTGCCTCATTATGACGACGGAGATTCTGCGCAGTATGCTTTATAAGGGTGCAGATCTCATCCGTGATGTCGAGTTTGTGATCTTTGACGAGGTGCATTATGTGAATGATGCAGAGGTATGTTGGCCTACCCTTGGATGGATGGAGTGCTCATCGAACACGCAGCGAGGCGTTGTCTGGGAGGAGGTGATCATTATGCTTCCAGACCATGTCAATATCATCTTGCTCTCTGCCACTGTCCCTAACACGAAGGAGTTTGCCGACTGGGTTGGGTGTGCAGGACTACCTCTCGATTCTCCTCAGCCCTGACGTCATCCCAGGCGGACAAAGAAGAAAGACATCTATGTCATTTCCACAGCCCAACGGCCAGTTCCTCTTGAGCACTACCTCTATGCAGGGCGGGAGATGTACAAGATCGTAGATTCGCGGCGCAACTTCCTGGCTCTGGGGTCGGTCTCCTGGTACTTCCATGGGCGGTGAGACTGATTCATGTACTAGATACAAAGAGGCTGGCGAGGCTTTGCGCCGGAAACAGGACAAAGAACGAGAAGCAGCGGGACTTCCGCCCGTACAGCGGGCCGGTGCTGCCGCTCAGCGGGGCGGCGGTGCCAATCAACGTGGTGGGGGGCAGCGCGGTGGGCGGGGTGCAGTCACTCCCGCTCGAGGCCGTGGCGGCGGTGGTGGAGGGGGAGGCGGCGCGGGCCGATCATCTCACCATACGATCGACAAGAACCTCTACGTCCATCTACTTGGGCATCTGCGCAAGAAAGGCCTGCTCCCTGTGGTGGTATTCACATTGTCCAAGAAGCGATGTGAGGAGAACGCATCGACGCTGACAAATGCCGATCTCTGCTCGGCTGTGGAGAAGAGCGAAGTGCATGTTGCTATCGAGAAGGCGCTTTCAAGGCTCAAAGGTGCGCCAGGACATGTACGCTCCAGTTGGTGGTTTGTAATGCTGAGCAGGTCCGGACCGGAAGCTGCCTCAGATCGGGAGAATGCGAGACTTGTTGTCGAGGGGGATCGGTGTGCATCATGGTGGTCTGCTACCTCTGGTAAAAGAGGTCAGCGAAACTGTCGCTTTCATATACTTGATTCAACTGATGGCTCCCCAGCTCGTAGAGATCCTCTTCGCTCGGGGGCTGGTCAAGATCCTTTTTGCCACGGAAACCTTTGCCATGGTGTGTAGCTCGCCTCGGATGACGATTCGACTCTCACAGATCATAGGGTGTAAATATGCCTGCAAAATGTGTGGTGTTCTCTGGCATACGCAAGCACGACGGACGCAGCTTCCGGGAGATCTTGCCCGGGGAGTACACCCAGATGGCCGGTCGAGCTGGTCGCCGTGGTCTGGATCCCACAGGGACAGTTGTTATCGCTGTCGGAGATTCTCTGCCAGAGGTAAGTCAAGTTGGTTTGTATTCAAAACACGCGACTGATGCCACCTAGCAAGGTGTTCTGCAGACAATGATGCTGGGGACGCCTGGAAAACTGTCGTCACAGTTCAGGCTGACGTACAACATGATTCTGAACCTTCTTCGCGTTGAAGCGCTCAAGGTGGAGGAGATGATCAAACGAAGTTTCTCGGAGAACGCGTCGCAGCGGTTGCTGCCGGACCAACAAAAGCAGGTGGTGGAGGTATGTTCCGACGAAAGACAACCTGGTTCTCTTCTTGAATTTTGCGCCCAGAGTGAAAAGACGCTGTCGACTCTACCCAAGCTCCAATGCGAAATTTGCGAAGCCGACATCAGCCAGTGCTATGATGATTCGTTCAAGATCGTTGCTTCGAACCAGAAGCTGTTTAGTATGGCCGTTTCTCATCCTCAGGGATCGAAGCTGTTCACTCCGGGTCGGGTCGTTGTTCTGCGGGACGGGGTAAGTTGTCTGGGTATGTCGTGGCACGTTCTCAAGAATGTCACAGCACTTCCGGAGCAACAATATCGCTGTCTTGCTCAAGCCCGCGCCAGTTACTGCATCTGAATCCGGCGTACTCGACAGAGTCAAGACGTACTTTGTTCTGGCGCTTGTCGATCTTGCCACCAAAACTGGACACAGGGGTGTGTAGGGCTATACCAACGGAGATCATCTCTCGATCTAATCTCATCGATTAGATATCGATAATCAAGCTGTGACCCCTCGATGGCCCCCTCTGCCCCAATCACTTAATGTTTCAGAGGGTGTCTACGAAGTCACAGCTGTTCCACTGACATCAATTTCACTTGTCACTGCTCGCACAATCAAGGTAAAACAAACATCTGTATTGGGGGTTTTATGCTCAGGTTGCCAGATTGACGTGGATGCTATCGTTGACCGACATCTGATCTCCCGCATGCGGGAAGCTCTGGCTTTGCTCAGTGGTTTGATCGACGAGTGGGGATCACTCACACAAATCCCTGAAGTCGACTGGGCTCGGATGCGCGCACTCGAGTTCCAAGAGACACTTCGAAGCAGGAATGCGATTGTGGAGAAGCTTGCGGGTCGTTCGTGTCTTTTGTGTGCGAACTTTGAAGATCACGTAAGCTGTTTTGACCGCGGGTTGGTCTTGGTACTGACTCATTCGTTTGCAGTACGCGATTCTTCACGGAGAGAAAGTGCTTCGGGCCAACATCGCCAATCTGAAGCTCGCCATCTCAGACCAGAATCTCGAGCTTATTCCGGATTATGAGCAGCGGATTGGCGTGCTGCAGGACTTGAAATTCATTGACGAGAACTCGACTGTCCTTCTTAAAGGCCGGGTCGCTTGCGAAGTGTGTGGTGACATCCAGTGCCTGGCAAATTTTTCTATCTCACTGATCCCCCCGTTTAGATCAACTCTGCGAACGAACTGGTTCTGACAGAGCTTATTCTCGAGAACACACTCGCAAGCTACGAGCCCGAAGAAGTCGTAGCCCTCCTGTCTTGTTTCGTCTTTCAAGAAAAGACGGACGTCGAGCCCGTCATCCCGCCGCGACTGGAGGAAGGCCGGGATGCGATTCTGGCTATCAGCGATCGGGTGGGCCGCATACAGGACGCGCACAAAGTAGCCGCAGCGGAGTTCCGGACGGACCTGAAGTTCGGGCTCGTCGAGGTTGTGTATGAGTGGGCCAAAGGCATGGTATGTGGGCTCCAACTTTGCAGAAGATTGTCTCTGATCCATTCACCCAGCCATTTGAGCAAATCACCCATCTCACAGATGTGCCCGAAGGCACCATCGTGCGAGTGATCACGCGGCTGGACGAGACGTGCAGGGAAGTCCGCGATGCGGCGCGGGTTATTGGGGATGCGGAGTTATTCAAGAAGATGGAGGAGTCACAGATCAAGATCAAACGAGATAGTGAGTGCGCACTTTGCTGCAAGCTGTCACGACATCTGATTCTGTCGTCCAGTTGTGTTTGCTGCCAGTTTGTATTTCTAGACGCACCGATGTTTGATAGGATGCACGGCGTCCGGTAGCAGACGTTACATTCAAGTTTGTTCCGCGTGGGTAAGGTTCAGCACTGCCCGCGGCGGTGCAAACTCCATCCATCGTGCACTGTTCTTTTTTGGGAGACCTTCCAAGTCTCCTTCGCTATACCTCATCGTCAACAGCTCCGAAGCGCTCATCTCTGACATTCCTGGGAAGCGCTATAGGATTGAACCGGAAGCACGTCCACAGCTTGAGGACGGTCAATCAAAGATCCTTGTCCAGGTCTAGCATTCTCAACGAAACAAGGATGTTCGAAACGTAAAGTGGATACGAAACCCCTTTCTCAATGCCACGGGTCTCGATAACCATGTCCATGACTCGCGGGATTCTCATGTTTTGCCCACCAGACCTGTATCAGGGTCTTTACCGTTTCTGGACTCTGTCCTCAGGTGTATAGCATTGACCGACAATCTGAGAGCGGATGTATGTGAGTTACATCGTGCTTTGCTCGGTCAGGATGGTGAAAACGAAAGTGTCACGTAGGCGTCATGAAGCTCAGTAGGAGCTGAGTGTCGTCTCCAAATCAGACTGCTTGCTAGCAATGAACCAAGTATAAAGTAGAATTCATGGTCCCTCGACGATGAACAGCCACTATCTTATCTGATTCTCGATATGCGTTCGCCAAAAGCGATCAGCAAGTGCCACGTTCACGCTCGCACGCGATCATCCAGCTTTCGTCTTACCAACTTCCTCTCCCACAAAACCACAGTCCTTCATTACCTCTTACTTCTCCTTCCAAAATGGTGCGTACGAAGAGCGCTCTGGCTCTGTACCTCTCGCGCAGCCTGACTGGTCAACTAAACGCTGCTGAACACAGCCCACCTCCTTCGAAATGCGCCAACGGAACGCCAAATTCGCCTCGGCGGCCAAGTCAGGCAAGAAGCCGACTCACCCCTCGCGCGCGGAGATGCTTGCGAAGCGGAGCCCCGTGAATATCTGGGTATTGGGAGTCGTGGTGTTTGTAGTGATGGGCGGAGGTACGTGTTGTGTGCTGAAGCCGGCGCATGAGTCCCTGATGTCTCGAACCCCAGTTGTATTCGAAATCGTGAAGCTGCTCTTCCTCTAAAATTGCGGCGCGCCGTGCGCTTCCGGATCGTGTCGAGGGCTCGTCAGGCACCCATTTGTATTAACAGCTAGCGTCTCCTCGTTGTCTTATCTTATTTTCGTCCCCTCCGTGGCTGCAATACAACATGGATGATATACAGCATCAGGGACATATGCGAACCAAGCGGGGAGCCGTGCTACGGCTACTCAGTCATCCCCGGAGATACTCGCGCTGACACTCATGCTCTGGCTGCTCAAGCTGCCCCCGGTCTCGACGTTCTTTCCTTTCCCTTTCCCGCTGGGTCCAGTGACCTCAATGCCTTCCATCGCGTCTGCTTCAAGCTCCTTCTCGTCGATGTTGACCGCGTCGCCCGCCCAGACACGCATGGTCGGCTGCCAAACCATGACGATATTGTCTTCCGATGTGCTGGTGGCCGTCCAGTTATCCGCCTCGCCAGGTGCCCAACAGAAGTCGGTGGGCCGCGAGGTGTGACCTGCAACGCGCTTGAGTGAACAACAAGGTCTCGAGCAGTTCAAGCCTCACCTCCATGAACGAACAGAAGCTCCGGTGCACCGTCTTCTTGATCGTCCGGTGTCTGCTCCTCTCCAATCATGGATAGATCCCAGATGTTTATTCTCCGATCGCTCGATGCAGAGGCGAAGATGGTGGGATTGTGGGGTGACCATGCCAGGTGCAGAACCTCGTCAATGTGACCTTCGAAGATGTGCAGTTTCTTGGCCGGTGAGCGGATGTCGTGTAGTGCGATTGTCTGTGGATCATGTCAGTGGCATTGAAAAAGAGTTTAGTATCAGATATACCTTGTCGGCACTGCCAGTGATGAGTAGATGGTCGGCAGCCGGATTAAAAGCCACAGCCAGGATCTCTCGGTCGTGGGCTTGGATTTTGGTGGACGGATCTGTTGGTGCCCGTGTGTCCCAGCTATGGGATATCAGATTGTGGATCCTCTGAAGCATTGGTGCGACTGACATCATGAGCATCTTATCGTCGCCGACACTGGCGAATACATTCTCTTTGGTGGGGTGCCAGTCCACGTCCTTGTCAAAGTCAATATGACTGGATGAGTTGTGGCAAGTGACTACTCACTCCAACGACAGAAGTATGACCGCGGAAAACGTTTGTGGGCTCAATCGAGGTCTTGGCTTTGGTGTACGAGTTAACGTCCCTGATGAGTTTTAGTCCATGGGGGCAAACGGCGCCTGAGATGCCTCACCAATGACAAACCGTTGTGTCCTCTGAAGCGCCGAGAACATGCCCTTGTTTCACAGGGTTCCAAGCCAGTCCGTAGCTATGAGCTCGGTCAGATTGCGAACATGAATCGTTTGTCACACCCACCCTTCTCGGGTTTGTCCCACCAGTCGTATATCCGGCTTGCACACACCTCCGCGTTCAGGCTCACTTCCATGCTTCGTTCTATCGAACACGAGCACCTCGCCTGTCACCGCCTTGGTCGCGATCAGGTCTGGATTCTGTGGCATGTACCGCGCGCGGTTGACCTCTCCTTCATGGTTGATCTTCTGGATGATCTGGATGCGTGGGGTTGGAGGAAGGGTGTGCCCGCCAAGTTCTCCCCGCTGATCGTCGTAGTCCGCGCGATCCAGCTTCTCAGCACCGGGACCCGAACGTTTGGGAATTTGGACAGAAGCAATTTGAAGGTAGTCTTGCGACTGGCCTGACGTGTGCGTCCCCAGTAAAAGCCGATGCGTTGTGTAGGGTTTGTCGGGGGAGCTGTGTGCGGTGTCCGCGTAAGGATGGGGGCATGAATGCCAGAGAGGGGACAGAACGCACGATACGGTGTCAGGGAACCATTGACACGTAAGACTGGGCCAGTCCAGCGCGTGGGTGATGACTATATCATAGAGATACGGCGCGTTTTTCTTCCTGTATGAAGTTCGTTAGTCGGGCAGCTCAGTAGTGTATAAGTGGCACGGACCAAGTCTTATATTCCTTCAGAGCAGTATTGAGCTCCACATCGGATCCTTGATTCACGTACGGGAGCACGCACCTCGTTGATGAGTTTGTTCTCCTCCTCAGCTGCGAGGTCATCCTCGACATCTTCGGCTTGTGGACGCATTTTGGATCCGAGAGAAGCGTGAAATAGAGTCTTAGTCTGCACTCAGGTGCAAATTCGATCTAATTTCGCGTGGTGAAAGAGACTGAGGATGGTAGACTTGCAAATTCGACGCGTTCGCGCACAAGAGGGCGATCGCAAGACGCGTCGGTGGGTTAGGGTTAGCTGAAGCTTCGCACATAAACAAATTCGATCTTGAACTTTCTCTAATGGCTAAATCGAAGAAACCTCTGAAAGCTGCGCTTCAATCCCAGCAGACTCGCATGAAGACGAAGCAGAAAGCTGCGCAGGCGGCCCAGACGGCTGAACTCATGGCCAGGAAATCGAACAGCTCAAAAAAGTCCAATGCGAAAGGCAAGGGAAAAGCGGAATCTGGTGCCTCTGCTTCGTCGAATATCTCTCGGCGAAGACAGACGATACCATTTTTACCGACGGAGAAGATATTGCTCATCGGGGAGGGGAACTTCTCGTTTGCTCATGCCCTGATTCACGATGCGCCTGCTGTTCTGGAACATCTGCCTCCGCGAAATGTCACCGCTACTGCGTACGATTCAGAAGAGGAGTGTTACAGCAAATATCCGGAAGCTGAAGAACTTGTTTCGAGGCTTCGGGCTGCCGGATCTGAAGTGCTGTTTTCCGTTGACACCACGAAATTGGAGAAGATCGCGGCCTTCAAGGGAAGGACGTGGGATAAGATTGTTTGGAACTTTCCGCATGCTGGTCAGTGGATGATGATATGTTCGTTTGCTCTGGTTCTGGACCTCTATCTTCAGGAAAGGGTATCGCTGATCAGGACCGAAATATCCTGTCGAATCAGTTACTGCTTCTTGGATTTCTGCGTTCTGCGGCTGGGTGTCTGACCAGAGGTCCTTTTCCTCAGATCTTCGCACCACGGAAGCGGCGGGCAGACGACGTTGAAGATGATGAAGGCGAACAGGAAGACCTTGATGAAGACCTTGACATGTCCTCATCTGCGAAGGCTGCTAGCTGTCGCGGATCGGTTTTGATAACTCTACGTAATGTGTCACCGTATACTCAGTGGTGAGTCGACCATCCCATTCTTCCATCCCCGATTGATCACGACCCCGCAGGGATCTGCCGCGGCTTGCCAAGAATCCACCCCCTCCTGCGTCATCTGGACACCCTGGCAACCCTCGCTACACGCTTCTGCGCTCATTCGAGTTTCAGCGGAGCACCTGGTCTGGATATGCTCATCGAATGACAAAAGGAGAACGTGCTGGTGGCACCGGGACAACTGGAGTCGGCGGGGAGGATCGCACGTGGCAGTTCTGTCTGAGGGATTCGTGATGCATATCAGCTGAGTGCTCGGGAACTACAACGTATCCCCCCTTCTCGCCGGATCGGAGTCAATGTTGCATCCCGCCAGGTTCACCGAATCTTGGGGAAGGATAGGACACTGTCGTTCACAAGCAGGTCTGCTGTGTTATCCCATTTGCAGTTTTACCGCCTTGTATCTGCTGTAGAGGTCCTGGATCAACAGCTTACCCAGATTCAATCTTCCGAATGACGCCAAATCCTGTCCTTGCTTCTGGCCGCCGCCACTTCTCGTTCTCATCATTCTGGATCAGGCCCCCGGTCACTGTCGACTCAGTCAGTTCGCCTCGACCGGCTGGTTCATCCTCTCAAATCCGCTTGTCAGAAAGTCCGCCTGTCAGAGACTGATCTGCTCTGAGATCACCTCAGACATGGGCCACTTGCCTCAGTTCACACGCCTTGCTACATAAAATGCAGACCGGATGCCTCTCTCTGCGGCCTGCGGTGCTGGCAGCACTGATCGACGCGTAGATCTGGCATGATGTGCATTGATCGCCACCCAAGGTAGTGGCCGGGGCTACCACCTTAGAGACGACAAGCAGAGAGACCAAACTGCAGCATCAAGCGATGCCTCAATCATTGTTCCCGAGCGACTCCAGCTGACGCCGACATTCAAATTGCATCCCTGGCATATGCACTGCACGTACGACTTTCACGTAATGAGGGTGATATGCATCGATAACTCACGCACGCTCGCTGCACACTCGCCGTAACCACCTCGTGGCAGATTTCATATCCCATTGCAGTATGTTTGAATTCCGGACTCGGAGTCGCTGAGGGTTGCACCGGAAGTGGCGCACCGCCCAGTTGACGACCGCAATAGAGTCGACTCTTCGTCACTTGTCAACATTCGCACGTCGTATTTTGGGATGTGGTGCTTTTAGATCCTCCCGTCACTCCTCACCCATCTCTCTGGGTGTGCGGCTCGGTCTCTCCGTTCGGAACGCAGAATATCATGATTTTAAACGCATCTAAGCGCTCCTATAATGACTATTTTTCATCCTTCTTGGCTGGCTGGGCAGGCTATTCACTCGATAAACTTAGACTGCGCTGAACGCCAGTGACAACTTTGTCAATCTTGGAAAACTAGACTGCGCACACCTGCTGAAACCCGGTTGACGTCAGGCTTGATCTGAGTTAGCGCGCCATTGTGACCTGATTTGACCATATTGACTACGGAAGGTGATTGTAATTTTTATGAGACAAGCCTTACGGTGTAAACTAATCAGGTAAAAAGACGATCTCGAAGGGGTTTCAGCCTTGGGACAAATAAGGCAAATTTGTTTTTTCTCACAAGAACCGGATGTAATACTATGTGTCTGTCTGATAACAAGTTCAGTCGAGTGATCCATCACCACGGGGTGCCCGGAGCAGGGATTCTACAGCTTCATGACCCCGGATCCCGGTCGGAAATCAAGCATTCGCGAATTCCTGCCAATCGTCCTCGCACTGCCGATCCCCATTGGTCGTCGGACATTTGTAGTGGAATAGTATGATTCAGATTCTCCAAGTGGATCGATAGGATACACCCGTCGAAATTATATAAAACCCCGTGAGATGCAAGAGGTAGGTCAACTCCGATCCTCCTCCCAATGCCGGCCATCTCGAATGTCCACCTATCCACCATTCTCCTCGCACTGCTCTGCGCCACAAGCAATGCCAAGCTCCAGCTCGTTACGCTTGGTCTTCTGCTTGGTGTCGCTTTGAAAGGACTCGCGGAAAACCTGCTTCCCAGCACACGAATGGCCCGTCTGGATGCTTTGATTGAAGATGCCGAGGCTCGATTCCATCGAGCCCGGGAGGAACACATCTTCAGCCGCAATTTCGTCCTCGGTGTCCAGGCGCAGCTCAGACAGTAAGTCTGATTGCAAAGCCCAGAGAGACACTGAGTCGAATCGAACCTAGAGTTTATCTGACGCGGTCAAAGCTGCAGTCAGAGCTCCTGGCCCTTGGTCTGTACACCCCGACGGCCGAGTACTGGTACATCATTGGCAGTTTGGCCAAGCGCATTGAACGCTGCAAACAGCAAGTCCGAGCCATCCATTATTCTGTTCTGGTGAGCTGTTTTCTGCAACGCTCTTCGGGACATTGCCATTAACACGAAGACAGTTGGAGGTGGAAAACGAGAATCAGTATGTCGGCAGTGTGGAGCGTTAAGAGAACACTGAGAATGGAGGTTGTAGGATATGATAGTCAGAGTTTAGCGTGTGCGTCATCTTATAATAGGGTTGTGTGTGTAACTTTTTCTCGAGTAATTCCAGCTAGTTGCAAATTGCGAGGCCACCGTCCCTCATTCTCGACGTGATGGGAGGTGGAGCTGTCGTGACATGCCGCCGTTGCCGGGTAGCTGTGACTCAATTTTTTGCCAGCTATTCTTGTGAGGTAGGCGCCGGATTCTCATCAGGCATACCCAAGAGGTACTATACATGATGGTAAGACAACTTGGGCAGTTCAAAATTGTTGGAAGAATAGTATTCATTGTAGTAGACGAGAGAAAATGAACTTGCACTGCATGGAACATCAAGCAATTGCACAGCGGGCCCCGCTTGCCCACGGCCCCACCCTCCCGGCAACAGCGGCATGTCACCACAGCGCCACTTCCCATCATGTCGAGAATGCAGGACGGTGGCCTCGCAATTTGCAACTAGCTGTCATTGGCGTTGTTAACAGAGTGAAGGGGCCGCAGGGAAAGAGAACCGCGGGTCTCGTGATGGGATGCGTTCCTCTATCGTGACGTCGGTCACAACGCCAACTGATTGACAAGTTGGACTGTCCTGACCTCGACCGAATGTTGGTGCCCGGATGTTTGCTCGACGAATTGCCCCAGGCTAAGATCCGCACAGGGACGACGACGACGACTTTTTGTATGGTGCAAATCCGGCCGCAACGTCTACTCCTACCACAACAGCTCCGGGTATGCATACCTTCCACAATCTGCATTCCACACCAGTCTTGTCTTGTCTTGCCGTATTCAATGAAATGACATTGTTAATCTTCATGTGTGATCCTCAGTGACCCCCTCGTGCGTATGGAAACGTTTTTGTGTCGTCCAGGCGTTCATACTATGTGTGTCCTCCCTGCAGAACATCGTTCACCAGTGCTCCGCCTGCATCCGCCCTCCAAGTATTCCCTTCCCAGGCGACGGAGGTGGAAGAAGAGCCCTTCCCGGGATTTCTCTCATCCGCCGAAGTGCACGAAGAGAACGACGCGGAACAGGAAGACGAATATGTGGACGACGAACAAGAGAGTGACGAAGAAGAGGTAAATGGCCCCTACTTGGCTGCAACACGTCTCACACGCGCTCCAGGATGTCGAAATCATTATGGAGGCTCAATCTCGGTCGCTGGACTTCAGGTGCGTCTTTCTTGCTCTTGAACGTTCTCGTTCATTGACCTTTTCCCCGCAGACAATCCAATGCTAAACTGCGGTCTCAGCCGTCTTCCGCCTCTTTGCGTACGTTTTCGTGCTCGTGGGCTGTTCTTGACAGTTAGACGCTCTTGTTAGGCACGGCGCCGCTGGGACCGACTCTCACTACCGAATACACTCCCACACAACGACCGGCTCCTTCATTCGAGACGCCCTCGAGGGGCACATCCGAGATTCCGCCCGCATCTCTATCTGTTGCACCACCACCTGCTGCTGCATCGGCAGTCCAAACATCCGCACCGGGTGCATCGGTCGTTTCCGCCACAGCTGTATCCCATCCTGATGAGTATGGCAACAATGTTCCTGACGTGTCCGCTGCGCCAATGGACGACGTCGATCTAGAATCGCTTCCACCGGTGACAGCGCCCCCTTCGCACCCCGTCATCGACCCGACCGTGACCGGAATGACGGAAGGGCGGTCCATCATCGATGTGGATCTGAACGCGTTGGCAGACAAGGCGTGGCGCAGGCCCGGCTCGGACATCAGCGACTGGTTCAACTATGGGTTTGACGAGCTGTCTTGGGAGCTGTACTGCTACCGACGGCGCGATCTGGGCGAAATGGCGAATGTGCTCAAGACGAACGTTCTCGTGCGTGTCTCTGTTGCTGTGCTATCCGCCACTGATACTATCTATCCTGCCAGAACTTCTCCGGGATGGAGGAGGATCAAATGACTGTGCTGCCGCCCGAAGTGCGACAAATGGTGATGACTGGGACGTCGGCGATGATGAATGGGGCGGCTGGAGGCATGGGTATGATGATGGACATGGGAGGGATGATGCCCATGGGCATGGACATGGGTATGTCGGGCATGATGGGCATGCCGGACGTTGCCCAGGGTGGAGTCGCTCCCGTCGGCGGACAGGGAGAGATGCAGGACGGATTCAATGCGGGGATGATGGGCATGGGTATGGAGTATCCTCAGGGGCAGGTTCCGGTGAGTCTGTCTGTGCACTTTATGCGACGGCGCGTTGATGATCTGTCTAGGAGACGCCCCAGACCCAGATGTCACAGCAGCCGATGTACCCGCAGCAAACGGAAGGTCAAGATACACCGCCGCCCGGGCCGACGGGGTCAGCTGTTGTGCGAGGTGGATCGGGCGGTGCACCAGCCTACCGCGGGCGGGGGGCTCGCGGATCGCGTGGATTTCCCGCCCGAGGTCGGGGCCGGGGTGGTTACGAAGGTATCTTCGTGTTTCAGATAAGCTCAGCACAGGCTGAACACTGGTTGCAGGCTCGCCGGCACCCGCTCGTCCGACTTCCCCGCTGCCTCCCAATGTTCCGACTGGACCCCGAAATCAGAACAAATACAAAGACAGGGACGGGATTAGCGCTGCAGTAGACGGATTGGATTACGGGGGTGGAAAGGACGGTCGTGCAACCGCAAGTTACGAGTTAGATGAGAGGAGTCGGTGAGTCGATCTGTTGTGTATCTCCTCGTTTATGAACCAACATCCCGATCCAGCAAAAGACGAAGTTCCCCGGGCCTGGACGATCCACGGAGCTCAAAACGCCGTTGATTGTCTTCGTACTATATTGTACATAGTCAATTTTGAAATTGGTCGGACGAGGGTTTACAGCTTCTTGCACCCATCAGCGAAGGTTGTATTTAGAACCGTCTCCTTCTATCCACCACCACCGCGCGTGCGTGCGATCTCTATGTCTGCTCCAGTCATCAGGAAGTTCGCCCTGTTTGCTCCGTATATCACGACCGCCTCTGCACAAGAGTTGCGATCCAAACTGTACCCTGCTCACAAAGCAGGATTGACAGAGCAAAGAGCCAAGGGCGTCCTCAGTGAGTGCGCTGCTGCACCGCTCCGCGCACCCGCCAGCTGATAAGACGCGCCCCGCCTTCGTCTAATTAGAGTTTGGAGGTCCTGTCTGGAACGACGAGGGAGCCGGGGAGGCGCTTGCGGACGCGAGCGCGCGCCCTTATGGGGGCTCGTTCTTCCTGTACGAGGGAGAGAACCGGGCGGCGGTGATGGAGATAATCAAGCAGGACGCGTATTGGACTGGAGGTTTGGTGAGTCCGGCCTTTGCTTGGCATGCGGTGACCGGTCATGGACGCGTCGTTGCTTCGGTGTGAGAAGAGGCATCGAGCCGCAGTCTCGGTTCGGATGCGTTTTGGCGGAGGTTCCGTCTAGTTGGGTCTTGACCGCTGGATTCCGCTCTGAACGCGAAATTGTGTTTCCTTCTGACTATGTTTTCCGAGTCTGACCTTGCAAACAGTGGGACAAGTCTAGTCTGCGGCTGGTAGAATACAACCCATTATCGGGGTATCCCTTCTAATCAACATAAGACGACCGCTGCATCGTCACATCCAAAGCGCAATGACAGAATCAAATTTCATTACATCCTCTCGGGGCTGACCTCTTTTGTTGTTATCATAGTCAACGAGAAGTAGGCAGCGCTGCCGAAATTTGACAGAATTTCCCAGAATTCCATCAGGTGGGGTCGGTTCAAGTGACGTGCTTCGTCAACAGTCCTTGTTCCCGATTGAACGAGAGATGTCCATGGCCGTGATGAAATACAAGGGCAATAACTCCATAGAGGCTTCCCCTTATCCCGAAAACGGAAGGTGCCTCGCCAATCAACACCTACGTACCGTAAATGGAAATGTCCTTGTACTCTCAACAGCGGCATTCATGGGTGATCCTGAGCGGCGTAAACATATAAATTCACGCGCGAAGCGCCACAGTAACCCCAGCGCTTGACCGAATCGTCGAGATCTCCTGCTTCGCACCAGCACACGACTGACATTATTGTCCACAAGACAATAAACTCCTTTCGGATTTCGTTATTGTGTTACGAGAGCACTTCGCCTATACAAACGCCCATACGTCGTTTGCCCTCCATTCTCCCCTACCTCCAACCGACCCGACGGACGTCCCTCCATTCCCGTCTTCTCCCCTGCACGTAATTTAACCGCGGTTCGGCCCTCGCATTCTTTTGGTTCACGACCCACACCCATTCATATCCACACATCTATGTCGTCCTTCACCAAATTCCCGACCGCGACCGTCTCTGCCCCAGGCTACGGCTTCTTCCCTGTCGGCTCCACGTCGCCCAACGGATTCGCCGCGCTGCATCAGCCGCAGTCGCCCCGCGACACATATGCGATGTATGCGCAATTCGCGTCGCCCGGTGGAGCAGGAACACAATCGTCGCAGGGCCTCGGAAAGAAGAGCGCAGGACGGAAGTAACCCCGACTGCCATTGGAGAATACGAACCTTACGACCCATCACCACTAATACTTGTCGCCGTTGTTGTCCAGGTCCTTGCGGATCGCTGTCGTTTGTGTTGACCACATCGGAGAGCTCTTGTCCATATACGTATTATATACCTGCACGCATTGTATAGCATAGACTCATTTGTATTTTTTGTATCTTCCAGGGTCTCGGTTGAAGTTGTAACACAGCAGAGTCGTAGGCATTATTGAGAGTCCAATGGAGCTGATTATTTGCGATTCGGCAGGGAAAAAGAAGTGGCATCAACGTGGATTGAACACGTGACCTGTAGATTGGCAAGTTGCATCAACTGCTTCAGTCTATCGCTCTCCCAGCTGAGCTATGACGCCTTGAATCAAGGCTCAAATTATGTTTCATGTCCAAATACCTTCTTCCAACGTTAATTTCACTGGTCGCACGACCTGTGTCAACTGATTCACGCGGAAGCTTGTGAGAGTGGAAGTGTGACTGTATTATTCAGTGCTGATGTAAAGTGCGGTATGTACAAGAACAGATGCATAAGTGGACACGAGAAAGAACAAGAACAGGAACACAGGATACTGTTATCCGTACATGGAGGTAACACAGAGACCAGGAGAAGACGCATAGTGAAGAGTCGAGCGACAGAGCCCTAGTGGACAGCTAAGTCGTTGAGGCCGGTGAAGGGAAGGAGGCAGAGCGGAACGCGAAACCAAAGGGATGGAGGGGTGGCCTCTGGGACATGGAAGGTGCCTTCAACAACTCCATGAGATCGAATCATAGACTGGAAGCGGAACGTACGACAACCATCTCCACATCCTTCCCGTTCGCTTCTCCATCCCAGTCGAAAAACTGACTGGAGAACGCGGGCGGGATCACCAGAGCAGGGGCAGAGGCAGGCTGGGGGCGAGCGCTTCCGGTGGCGATGAGAGATTGAAGGTATGTCTCCAACCGAAGCTCCTAGAGAGTATATTGGCAACCGAGCGCAGTTCTATAGGTGCCATACACTCACCTCGAAACTAGTGCTCTCCAGACCAGTGATAGCTGTGATGCTTTGGAACAACTCCCCCTCGGGCATTTGCCTCTTCGGAGCATGACCGCCCTGTGTCTGCATTTCGACGTCCGGAGTCTTCGGCGGCAGAGTTGCAGAGGCAGCTCGTGCAACACGTCTCGCCCCCGCTATCCGACGTGGGACTGCCGGTGCCATCTCCCGTTGAAGGCGCAGTAGGGTAGAGACGTAGCCATCGTCAGATCCACTCTCGTCATCGCTCGCGGAATCACAGTCGAAGGCGATCTCCTCCAGCGGGATGCTGCTCAGATCAACAACAGCAGCACGCAGAACGGGTGTAGGTTTCACGCGTGGATCGGTGGTCTTCATGTTCGCAGACAGATCAATGGAAATGGGAAGGGGTAGAATGCTCGTGTCGAGCACAGACGGTGCTGAGTCGCGGGGAGTGTAATAGTGGTCTAACATCATCGGTGTCGTAAAAAAGGTCGGGGTGCGTGTGGGTGCTAAGAGCGAAAAACGGACGAGCGGAAAGGATGTTAATGCGGGGGGAAACACGCATTTGGATGAGGGCGAGAGCGACTTGGAGTGAAATGCGAACGCGGGTTTCTCAGAGCGGGGCAACCATTGTCAAGATGAGGAAAGGTGAAAAAGGAGGCTGCTGTCGAAGCAGTGTCGATCACGATTGACATTTACTCACGGTGCTATATTGGGAAGCCAACCTGGGCGAGGGACAACGCAGACGGGAAGCGGGTTTTCAAAATGTCTCCGCATGCCTGGAGACGCGCTGAGAGGATTTGTACTAGTTGAGCGCGTTCTGGTCACTGATTTTGAGCAATAGACTCGAGTGCGATCTAATGTGAGACTGGACTCGCACGTGCCCTTGATAGCGGCTTCGCCCTTTGTCCTGACCTACCCATGGCCCCAACAAAAGCGTCGAGCTCCTCGACTTCAGCACCGTCCACCGCTTACTCCCTCGCCATTTTGACCGAATACACGCATACACTCGATGCTCTCCCACCCGAGCTCTCACGCACCATGGCCGAGCTTCGTGAACTCGATGCTGTACTCTCCTCATCCCTTTCCTCCCTCACCACCAAAATCCAAAACCTTACCGAGATGATAGAGCAACGTGTTGGCTCCCCGGCCCAGCGCCTGTGGCTGCTGACCGAGTTGGCGGAGGAGGCCCAACGTCTTCGTTTGGGCGGCGAAGACAAAATCCGTGTCGCCCACCTCGCCGCTGACACTCTTAAGGTCCACAATAGCAATCTGAAGACTCTGGCAGAGAGTGTACCCGATTTCGATAACTCCCTGCTTATCCGGCGCACAACCTTCCCCCATGTTTCGACGCGGCCATACATGCAGCCAGTCGTCACTGAAGGCAGACGAAGAAGGGCAGCGGGGGCAGGGGCTTCTGCGAACGTCAGTGCAGCCGTCGATGCGAGCCCTGCCAAGCGCAAACGTGGAGCTGGACGAGATGACGAGACCCCGCGCAGAGAGAGAGCTGTGGCCCGAAACGGCGGGCGCAAAAAGTGCGTGTTCCCCAATAACACCTGTTCTCATACTCATCGAACAGCAGAGTCGAACGAGCACCATCGCCAACGGATTCACTCCTCTCAGCTACCTCGCATATCCCCCAACCCTCCACGGCACGCACAGCAGCGCGCGCGTCAGCCGTCGCCCACGCGAACGCGACGGCATCCGCCTCAAGTGCACCAAAACGCCGTGCGGCAGCGCGCGGCGGAAGTAACCAGCCCGAAATCTACACTAACGGCGATTCAAACCACCTCAACGGCGTCCAACCCCCGCAAGCCAATGGGAGATTCAACGTTCCGCCGTCGGCGGCCCATCCGTCGCTCGCATCTTATCCCACGGGTCCTGGGATCAGCAACGGACACGCGACACCTTATGAACTGCACGCGCGTGTCATTGGTCCTCCCGTGGCTGATTGGACGCCGCCGCCGCCGGGGATGCTCGAGGGACCGGGCATGCCACCGCGGGCTATCGCGCGAGGCGCCGCCGCCGCCTTCAACGCCGGCGATGTCGCTGTCGCTGAGGGTGCCAATGGAGAGGCCGGCGGCGATGGTGAACAAGACGCCGATGATGGTAAGCTGTACTGCACTTGCCAGCGGGTCAGCTTTGGGCAGATGATTGGTTGTGACGGGGATGACTGTCAATGGGAATGGGTGCGTGATTCGTTTTTTCTCTCTCCCCTTGTAAGATGGCTGAATCATCCGCAGTTCCATATTGGATGTGTCGGACTGACCGATTCTCCGCAAGGCCGTTGGTATTGTGACTGGTGTCGACAGAAAAAGAACAAGCGACCCACTGCTCGCGGAGGCCGAAGGAAGGCCACAACTCGAGCTTCTCGTGGCTAGCAAGACGAGGAACTCTTTTTATACACTATGTAGATCTCTGTACCTATTCTCGTCCTCCCCGCTTGATCATCTCATCTCATATTCGTTTGATATACTGTCAATCAGTGGCACTGCAGCGCTGTCAGGATCGATCATCCGATTCCTCGTTCTTGCTCTTCCAGTCCTCGAACAAAGCTTTCCTGAGCTCGCGACCCAGCGCTCGCGAAATCTGCCACGGCACAGCATTGCCTATCTGGCGATGGAACTGCTCTAGGCAGTCAGATTGTGGGGCACAGCAAAAGTTCCGGCACTGACAGTGACGACGCTTCCCTCTGGCCTATCGGCCACGAAAACAAACCAGTCTGGAAATCCCTGCAAGCGAGCGAGCTCTCGGACGGTCACCATCCGAAGACACTGTCGATTTATTAGTGCAAGACGATGAGGGAACGACAGGTGGACTCACGGTGGGATGCAGGACCTCGCCTTGTTTTGCAGTAGGATGCACGTTCGTGACGATGGTTGGGAAACATGTGTCGCCGTCCAGACGCTGATATTGGTCTTTTTTTTGCAGTGAGACGGCGGATCGATGCAAATCCTGCCATGACTTACTCCCGCGGTATCGATTTCGCCCAACAGCCGATGTCGCACTGTGGGTCTGGTATTCACCCACGTGGTCGCCCAGAGCTTGGACCAGTCAGATAAAAAGTAGTCTGCTATTGCCTTTGCGGCTGACCTCTGAAGTTGGCACCCGCCTCGACGGGAACCAGAATCATCCTAGAGGAAGTTTAGGCTATCCAACTTCGATGATCCGCTGATGATCAGGTGACCCACCTTTCGACGGTCCTGGAAAAAAAGCACTTGGTGATATGCTGGATGTCTGTAGTCAGACGCTCTCTCATCATACGCTGGTAGCTTGTCCTCGGCTCATGGGTATACTGAACATCCGGTCCGCGCATGCCAACGAAGAGCTGTCCCGGCTCGTTGCATCCAAATGATCGTATTCCTGGTCTGGTGTTGTGTTTAGGGTGTTTCCTGGAACAATCAGGCTTCTAAACGCAGTGCAAATGAAGAAGGACGCGCACATGTCCCACTTGGGCAGGTCACTGGTAGCGTCGTTGATGGTTACACCTGCGTGGGCAGCATAGCCACGTCGGGTGCATATCGGTTTCACCGTTAAATTCTGGTTCTCAGGGTAAGGCAAATGCATAGCTAATTGCTGTGCGCCAGGAAAGTCATGCCTGAAAACTCGTCAAATACTTCCTCGAGGATCTGAGAGGAGGGCAGAAGAAACCCCGACTAGAATCTGTTTGACGCACGTAGGCTGAGGCATCCCAGGCAGAGGTAGACCTGCTTTGGCTGCGACCAGGAGAAAACGAACGCGACGCTGCGGAGTGCCATAGTGCGCTGCTTGCAATAGCGCGAATCGGACTTGATAACTAGGCTTTGGTCAATCTCAGGCGATCCACAGACAAATCCACCGTACTTCATGGACAGCAAGGCTTTGACGGCTAGTTTCAAACCACCTGATTTGACACCGCCCTCTGTTCGATGAGGTCCGACTTGCCTCGCAAGTAGATTGTAACGCAAGAATCCGGGCACATTCTCGATGTAAAAGTAATCTGGCCGAAGCAGGTCGACGAACGAAAGGGCAGTCAGCAGCAGATTGCTTTTGTGGTCCTCGGCCTGTAGAATGTCAAAACACCGACGTCGAGATTGGATCTTTAAATCACGACCTTTCGGTACATGTTCAGCCCAGAATGCGATTGACTACAGACATCGATCAGTGTCCGTCCAGCCACGAAACAAGAATGGTAGCTCGCACCACGGAAGGCCAGCGAAGATAGTGCGGACAGTACCAGGCTTGAGAGGAGCTGGGACCGGTGTCTTATCGTCGTACAATTGTTTAGGCGCTTCCATGCCTCTGGATGCCTTGACCCAATACTCGAGGATCTGGTTGGCATCTTGACACGAGACTGCGAGATTGGGCCAGTTCTTTCTGAAGATTGCGGCGTGATAGACGGTTTCTAGCCTGATGACAGCGACTCACAAGACTGTCTTGGCTGCACTGGGGCTGATCTCGACGAGATGAGTAGGTTGGACACATCCCCGGCTTCCTTGAGCCACGCCACCACTGAAGGCACCTGAAAACGGTTCGATAAATGCACCAATGTGGGTTGCTTGGACTCACCAGTCCCGCCGAAGAGATCCAGGCAATACGGCTTCTCCAACTTCTGCTGCTCATCGAACTTTTTCTCCAAATCCTGTTCATGTCGGTCGAATAGAGGAGGCTTGCAATGTCGGCAGACCGGCAGACTCGCGGCCGTGACCGGCGTGTGCTGATCCCGTAAACCCAGGATCGGAATCCGGAAGGAACAGTAAAAGTTGAACGGCGAATGAGCCACCCATTTCGCCAGTTCCCCTTCTCGGAAGAAATCGAGCGCGAATACATGGATCCGTCGGATGATGTTCTCCACTTCAACGACGACATCATCGTGATCCGTGAGAACGAGATGGCGTTCAGGCTAGATTGTGTGGGTGGAACGACGATGGATCGGAGCACGTAATTGACGCACGTAGGGATCATCCTCTACCAGCCCTACCTGCCTGATTCGTATAAGCATCTTCACTTCTACTTGGACTATGTGTCCCGAGCTGGTACGGAGGGTCTTGATTTGCCCCACCTCCGCAGGGCCATCTCCTTTGAGATTCTGGAAAAGAATAAAGTCGTTGAGATGATACTGCTCATCAGCAAGAATAGTTTTCGATCGCTGACGGCCTGTGCCGCTCCTGTATTGTGGGTTCTTCTTGGAACACGGCAGACAGTTTTGACCGGGCTGTCGAGCGTTGAACTCTTGCATCAGCTTCCGGTCCAAAGTAGTGAACGAGCCATCACGCTCGTCATAGGTGAAGCTGAGGACCCTCAGTGCGGCACGAAAGCAGATGAAGTAGCCACTCACCACTCGAGGGTGTATTTATCCTTGTCAGGTGACGCGTTCCGCAATTCGACTTTGAGAGGGACACCGACGATCGACTCGATACTCTGGTCCTCACATAAAGTGGTCAAAAACAATCCAAGTGGATCCGCCATGTCATCCAGAAACATTTGCGAGGCGTGGTACGCCCACTGCACATGCACCTTCCGTGTATCCACATTAAAATAAACGATGCGAGCAAACCAGAACAGTTTAAATAACTGATGCTCGTCGGACGGGTCCACCTTCAGCTCCGGAGCCTTGAGCGACGGGAACAGGCTTTGCGTGCCCCTGCGAATCAGTACAAAGTCGCCTCTCTGCAGATTGAAGATCAGAAACGAGTAGAATGTATGCATATGGCTTGCGCGACCTTGTATCTTTGTTGATTGACCATGGCAGACTCCACATAAAGCTCACTGCCTCTGTCGAACTCAAGATTCAGAAGGCCCCTGCGTTGCTGGCGCGACAGCTCGACGTGAGCTTTCAAGTACTCCAGCGCAGCTTCCCTGCGCCGTGCCACTTCCGCTTTCGATGGGTTCTTTGTAGGTCCTCCGGACAGCACATGTAGCTTCTCTTGGAAATATCCACTGGCAAACTCAGCAATGAGTGGAGTCACGTGTGTGGGTAGCTGCTGCCGGAGGACAGCGAGATCCCTGTTTCCGAGGAGTCGTGTGAGAGGCCGTGTGGTATCGGTGAAGCGGTTCATGCGGTCGGTTCTGCTTTGGCCAGGTAGCTTCAGGAGACTGACCACGAGCATCGACCTGTTCAGGGCTGCCTGGTCTCCCGCTTCAGAAATCGCGTCCAACACATACGGGACCTGTTTAGCCTATGGTCGGAAGGGAATGACGTGTGCACGATCAAAGCATACCGAGTCCACAAGGTTTTGTCTAGTCCACCGCGGGTTCTTCGCGTATGCCAGACGGACGAGATCACCCTGGACGCGGGAGCGCGCGCTCTCAATGATCCATCGAGCAATCTCAATCGGGACTAGATACTGCTCGAAATGTCGTCGATACAAGAAGGACGGTCGCATGAGCACGTAGTACGCATGGGCCGTCGAAAGAATAATTGCACTGGTCAAATTAGACGCATGTCGATGGCCAGCAGTGTCACGCACGCATTATCAGTGGAATAGTCCAGGGGACATAGGCGGATATTGGACAAGGACAAGAACTCCTCCTCATCATTCTCTTGTTCCGCGTGGTCGTCCTCGTCTTCGTGCAGCAGGAAAGGTATCCCCACGGCAGAGAACTCCCGGGACGGAGACCTCGCTTCCAGCTCCCTCGGAGAAACGCACTGATTTCTAGCTGCGGGCTCGAATATGCAGAAGTTGGATAAGATGCGGATCGGCTTTCCGTCGTTGCCGTCGTAATCCTCCTCGCCGTCGACGCGAAAGTGTCGATCTTCGACTATGAGGTTGGGAGGCGGCTCGAAGTACACTATGACGCGTTCGATGCGCGGAAGCTCTTGATGTGCAGTCGCACTCACCGAGGTCCACGGGTCGGGAAACTTTGGGGGCGCGTTCGGCAGCAGGGGCGTGTTGCTCTGATCTCCGTTTGGCTGGAATCGATGGGGTAGCTCGTGGAGGAGGAGGCGGTGGGGGAGGGGGGCTCTGTGGTCGGTCGGTCGCATACGCATGTCGGCCCTCTGATGCTGCGTCGGTTACGTCGAAGGCACTCGGTCTAGCTCGAGGCATGATGAATACAGGGCTTGAAGCTCCCGTGAATAAGTGTAGTCAATGGTTGGATGGAGGAGTGCTTTCTTGTTCATGGAATGATCATAGGCTTAAATTCCGCATGAGCCTTCTGTTACTATTATCTCGATGGAAATCCGGTTAGTCCGCAGTCCCTCGAGGTGGACCGGGGCGAGATGGAAGAAGGTAGGTCAGGATCATCAATATCTTGAAGGTGCGGTAGCAGGCGATCTAACGTTTGAGGTTAGGGTCCAAACGCCATCTCTCGTTCACCACCATGTCTGTCGACATTCTCATCCTCGGCGCAGGTTGGACCTCGACATTCCTAGTTCCGCTTTGCCAGCAGTCAAATATCTCATTTGCGTGCACAACGCGATCCGGATCGTCTCCCAATACCCTCAAATTTGAGTTCCAGCCAACTTCAGACGACCCCGAACCCTATGCGCTTCTACCCGACGCGACAACGGTGCTGATAACGTTCCCCATCCTTGTGTCGGGTGCTGCTGAACGTCTGGTTCGGCTGTATAAATCAACCCGGCGCAATACGACCGTGCAACCCGCGTTCATCCTGTTCGGAACGACAGGAATCTGGGATGTGGGTGGTACTCATCCCTACAGCGACGTGGAGCTGCACCTGACGCGTCTTAGAAATCACCGCCTGGTCTGAAGGAGGGTCAATGCGCGTTCTATGATCGCAACTCGCCCTTCACTCTCACGGGGCGCTCCACTTCGGAGATCGAGTTATTGGCTCTGGCGGATCCGACCACGGTGATCAACCTGGCCGGTCTGTGGGGAGATAAAAGGATCCCAAGGAATTGGCGTGCACGGGTTGGACCCACCAAGGAAGCCCTCAAAGCCAAAGTAAATCCCATTCTTTCGCATCCGTGCCTATCACTGATCCATATCCCAGGGCGGTCTGCACCTCATTCACGGGCACGATATCGCACGTGCTGTACTGTCTATTCACGCGGACTTTGAAAAGGCCGCAGGCCAGCGATGGATACTCACTGACGGTCGTGTGTATGACTGGTGGGAGTTGGCATCGGCCTGGGATGCCGAGTCGGGCCGGTGGGTCCGGGAGCTCATGCGGGAGGAAGGCATACACGTTCTGCCTCGAGACTCCGCAAAGCTGGGGAGAGTGCTTGATTCGCGGGACTTTTGGGAAGTGTTTGGAATCACCCCAGAAAGGGCGAGAATCGAAGACATGGAATGAAAAGAGAAATCGCCCGATGTAATATGACCCATTGTACTCGTCTCCTGTACGCAGTGTAGTAATACATCAAATTTTCTAACACAGGAAATACTTAAGCTTTGGACGCGAGCTCTGATTCGAGATGTGCCAGTTATCTACCCACCTGACGCCTAAGATAATCGATAATCTCAGATCAGTATCACTAGGTATTGAATCTCTTCTTGCCATGACCTACCTTCAAACCTTTCAATCCGATCGATTCAGAGGACTTGTGATTAACAGAATCGACTACCTGAGATCTCGGACGACTGGACCGTTAGATGCATATTCTACGATTACGTGACCGGACAGGGGCTTCCCCACTCGCCTTGCACAAACGTTACAATGGCTGTATCGCCTGCCACGATTCATGCATTCATTGAGCATACTCTGAGAGGTCGGGTGAGCTGGGCGATTCAGTGCAGACCCGCGAATTACTGAGCCGCGCATTCACAGGATCTCGCCGTAGGTTTCGACCTCATCTTGCAGGGTGTGATGTTTGCGCAGCTTGCGCGCTACGTGTCAGCTGGCTTCCACCGCACAGATAGAACCATCTTGCGAGCGTGGGTCGCAGGACTGTGCGTGCTTACGCTGACGAAGAACTTGTACGATCTGTGCGTTTCGTTATTCGCCACATTTCCACAGTTGAAACTCGAGACGACGTCTCCCCTGCAGATGTTTGACGCAGGCTCAGAACACGACGTGGTTTCTGGACTCTTTTGGCGTCCTAGCGGATTTCTTCTCGGCCAAGTTCGCTGCCAGCTACTGCCTTGACGTCCTTGTTGTGTTGTATGTGCAGCTGTTCTTCTGTTGGCGACTATGGGTGCGTTCATCGATATCTTGTCCAACCCAGCAACAACATCTTATGGCACCTGACAGATGCTCAGCAGAAGTGTGTGGCTCCCTCTGATACTCGCCGTGTTGTTCGTGGCGCCGGCGGTTTGTGGCTTCATTTCAATCTTGACAAGGATGAGTTTGGAAGGTATCACGGACCTGGGTGCGCTGTTCATAAAACGAGGCGCACTGTCCTGAACAAGTTTCTCAGCTGCTGCATATCTGAGCCTGTATTTTGCCGGGGACACGATTCTGTGTGCATCCATCACATTTTACCTCGTTGTGAGTGACACCGGGGATCCCCGCCACATGGCCTTTTGACGTTCATCCGCTCGCAGAGAGTCGCCCGTTCGAATGAAGGCTTTCGCCACACATCTAGTATTCTAACGCGACTGATTCGCATCACTATCCAGTCCACCCTCCCCTCGGCGGCCTGTGCCCTGATTGCTCTCGCTGCATCCCAGTCTGCCGACGATTCACCCTCTGACGCGACGCAAGTCATCACCATCATCGTGCTGAACATTCTCCCTATGGTCTACGCGTTCTCGGCCATGTGGACTCTGAATTCCAGGCGCAGTCCGAAGGAACAGGAGACGGGTCACGGAAAGACGCCGAGAATATTGATTGTAACAGGCGGGTCGTTCGCAGAAACCGCGGATTGAGTTGTTCGACAGTCGGATTCTATGAGAAGCTGCACCTGGAGGTACCAAAGGTGACACAATTCTCGTGACATTGTTTGATCTCGCTGCAGACACAGATCTTGCACTGGTACTACGCTTCTACTGAAATTATTCTCCGCGATCTAAAATTTGAAAACCTATCGACGTGTGAGAAAAAGTCCCTATTCCAGAGGCAGTACGTACCTGCTCCGCTGAGTAGCCCAGCTCCTTGAGCACACCGCCCAATTCACCCTGCTGGTACCCTGCCTTCTTTCCAGCAATCGCAGCCACCTGGCCGGGAGGTCCTACGAGAAACATAAGTATGATTAAGCACAATGTCATTCGGCCAACGTACCGCAGACCATAATCATAGTCTTCGCAGTCGGAGGCGACACGAATTTCTTGATCACGTCAGCGTTGATAAATCCCGTAAGACCTGGGCTTCGTCAGCACTCCGTTTAACCGGTAGAGATGACCATACCTTTCCATTCGGGAGCGGGCTTGTCCAGGAGGTAGACGACCTCGAGATTCTGGGGATACTTCTTGGCGAGAGCGTCCAGGTTCTCGCGCAACAAGATGTCTTCCTCAGTGACGTTGGAGAAAAGCAGCTTGAACTTGGTCGTGTTCGAGTTGCTAGACAGAGCATGGGTCATGACCTGGTAGAGAGGAGTGCTGGTGGATGACGGTTGTTAACATAGACATAGTGTAAGCGCGAACACACGCTTACATGCCGCTGCCACCGCCGATCAGGGCAACTTCCTCGAACTCGTTCTCCTTGTACGGGAACTTGCCAATGGGACCCTAGCCGAACGGTCTAGAAACGCGAAAATGGATGGATGGCTTTGCTGACCTTGAAGTCGACTGTGTCTCCGACCTTCACCCGGAATCAGAAGCGATTTGAAACGGAAGATAGGGACAAACCTTGAGTTCGTGGAAATACTTGGACATAGTTCCGGTCTCGTACTTCTTGACCAGCAAAGCCAGTTCGCCGGTATTGTCCGCGCCAGACAACGGTGTGTAAGGCCGAATGACGGGGTTGCCCTTTTTATCCTTGAGAGCCTCAGGGTCGCTTGCTTTGACTACGAGACAAGACGCGACAGGGAGCTTCGAGGAGGTGTTAGCAGGAAGTTCGAAAATGAAGGTTGACGAGTTGTGGTTGTAGGGAATGATTTTCTTCAAGGGCAGCTGGATGAACTCGTCCGGCTTGAGGACATTAGGCTCAAGAGGCGGCGCAGTCCGACTAAGATAGGTATAGAGTCCTAGCCCAGCCAGACCCCCCAGAGCGAGGGTCATGGGCAGAGCACTATTTTTCTTCGCGGGGGCGGCTTCTGACGCATACCCACGGAGGCCTTGCCGCTACGCACACATAGACACGTGAGATTACACGAGTGTAAAAAGATCAAGAAGAACTGACGAGGATGGCTGGTCGCAATGACGCGGTGGACGTTCTCAGTAAAGACTGCATTGGTGGCAGTCACGCTACATCAAATCGTGATTCTCCACATACCGCTGATCATGTGAGCCGACGGAGCATACGATGCGCAGTCCTCTAGATCTCCTATATTGCCCACCGCGGACTGATTTGAGGCCTGCAGGCAACGGTGTCTTCATCGCGCCAAACTTCTCTCGCGCCTCCAGGTTTGCTGCTTATCGCGGTGATGAGGAGTCGTTTGGTAGAGCATGTGTTGACGTCATAGCATCTATGATGTAACCGCTAGTTGCAAGAGAATGGCATATGAGCGAGGCAAACGTTGGTGTCATAGCCAGAAGATCCTGGATACCACAAGGCCCGGGTTTCACAGGTCCCGAAAGCTAAGGATAGGATAGATCTTCAAAGTTTTCAACTCGATTCGATTGCGATCAACTGATCAATTTGGTGCCTTCCTTCTCTTCCACCACCAGGGTCGCCGCTGACCCCCGACTTCTCCTCTTTCTAAGCCCCTCAGTCTTTCTCTGGCGATCGTTCCAATGTCGTTCGTGAAGCTTAGTATCTTCGGAACCTCTTTCGAGGCACGTTGATCGTCCCTCTGCACGTCTGCGTCCCTCCTTACACGCATCGCAGGTCACCACTCGTTATGTCGACCTGCAACCCGTAGGAATGGGTGCGCTCAACTTTCTAGACCCTCTCCAGTCTCTTATCGCCGTTCGCAAGGTGCTTTCGGTCTCGTTTGGTGTGTATCACGCTCCTCATTATCGTCGTTGCTGACCGCTTTCTAGCTCGTCCAAGGACCAGCTCACTGGCACTTCTGTCGCGATAAAGAAGATCATGAAACCGTTCAGCACACCGGTGCTCAGCAAACGGACGTACAGAGAACTCAAGCTCTTGAAGCATCTGCAGCATGAAAATGTATCGCTATCCGGCGTTTCGGCGCTCCCTGTTCTAATCCTTTGACAGATCATCAGTCTCAGCGACGTCTTCATTTCGCCTCTCGAGGATTTGTATGTCGTACTGTGCATGTGGTGGACTTTGAACTCAAATTGCGCTTGTCAGGTACTTCGTCACGGAACTGCTTGGAACGGATCTCCATCGACTACTTACATCAAGGCCACTGGAGAAGCAATTCATTCAGTACTTCCTCTACCAAATCCTCGTTCGTCCCATCGCTGTGCGTCGTGACTGCGGGCTAAACTATCTCAGCGTGGGCTTAAATACGTCCACTCTGCTGGTGTCGTCCACCGAGACCTGGTCCGTTCAGATCTCTGACTCGAATCAGCCAAACTTAACTATGAACAGAAACCTAGTAACATCCTCGTCAACGAAAACTGTGATCTCAAAGTTCGCCCCCGTTCGAAGTTAGGGACTCCTATTAACAAGCCTCACAGATCTGCGACTTTGGTCTTGCCCGGATTCAAGACCCTCAGATGACCGGATATGTGTCGACACGATATTACCGAGCTCCTGAGATTATGTTGACGTGGCAAAAATACGATGTGGCCGTCGATATCTGGAGTACCGGCTGTATCTTTGCGGAGATGCTCGAGGGAAAGCCGTTATTCCCAGGCAAAGACCGTGCGTCCGCAGTCATTCCTTCTACTCCAGTCTCTTACGGCACTCCAAGATGTGAACCAATTCACCATCATCACCGAGATGCTGGGCACTCCTCCAGATGATGTGATCGAGACCATCGCAAATGAGAGCGTGAGGATGCTTGATACTGATAAGATAACCGCTTACTTATGATGTCCCCTAGACTCTGCGATTTGTGCAAAGCCTTCCCAAGCGGGAGCCTCTGCCCTTCAGCCAGAAACTGAGGACAGCTGATGCGGACGGTTCGTATACTCATGTGTATTCCTCTTCTGTTTTCTGACAGTTGAGTGCAGCGATTGACCTCATCGAAAAGATGCTTGCCTTTGACCCACGCAAGCGGATAGATGCCACCGAGGCCCTTTCGCATGAATATGTCGCACCGTACCACGATCCCTCGGATGAGCCTGTTGCCGCAGAGAAATTCGACTGGAGTTTCAACGATGCAGACTTGCCCGTGGATACATGGAAGGTGATGATGTACAGTGAGATTCTGGGTGCGTGGCTTTCGTTTCTGTGCGGAGCTGTACATCAACTGAATATACTCGTGTGTGTGTGTGTGCAGACTTCCACCAAGTCAGCGAGTCGTCCACCACCGGACCTCCCTCCTCCGGTGCCCTCGCCGGCCCCGAGACAGTATCGGCCGCTGCCTAGACATTCCAAATGACATCTGCTGTGGAATTTCTCTCGCTTGGTTATACAACTCACGTAATGCTGCTACCTTTCCTTCCAGTTCTGTCTTTTTCCCGCCTCACGGACCACATTGTTTGTTGTGTGATGATCCATTATGTATTCTATGCCCCGGAGTTGAAGGCTCCATGATGTCCTTGCCATACACGGTGCTGCGTCGTCTGCCTGCAACCAATCCATCCAATATGTGTATATACATAGTGTATCAGACTCAGACGTATATGATGGCCCAATCAATTGCCTCTGACTGGGGGGGTCTATGTTGTATCTGACCGTGCGTGAAGCTTAATTGCTTTAAGAGCCTGTCATCTCGGTGGTGATAGGTTTCGGCTCACTGAACTAGGCTTGCGGGTCAGACTTCTGGGTCGTTCCGCTCGCTTTCTATCACGGACCGCCCTGACAGAGTCAGACAGACTCGGGTCGGTGTGGAATTCCCCCCGGGCCTTGAACTGATCGATTACTGCTCAGTCATTCAAGTTTACCTGTGAGTTATAAACTAATCGGTTCCAGAATGCTGTGTCGTATCGTTGAAGGTGCCGATTTCCTGTTGTTACCAAGTATGTAAATGTGGTTCTAAGTCACTCGGGGATCAGCGCTCAGCCATTACAGTATCTCGAGCTGATGTCACGTGTTTCCTGTTTGATCTTGGCTCTCAATGCCTCTCATCGTCTCTGGAGTCTGTGGACTGGCAGCGCATGCACCTCGAAACAGGTCGGGTGTTAAGATAGTGAATTGAATTTCTGGCTCAAACCCACCGATCAGCACCGCGTTCAAGGCTCTGCAAGGCTACATCTTCAATCTAACACGTCGTCTCCTTTGGCTATATGGGATCATCGCCCCAACTCCTTATCTTGTTTTCTGGTCTGCAATATACCCGCCCTTGTCCTCTCGCGCGGCTGCAGACGGCCGGGCTGACATCGCCTCCGTGCTTGAAGCTATGATGAACTGTGATGCTGCCGTGCGCGGTTGTCAAGCGCCGCGAGTCCGAGGACTGCACATGCACCTGCGAGCGGGAAGATCGTCTGGAGAGACTGTCTGTGGCATGCGGCGTATGTGTGTCTTGGGTTGCTTCCCGCTTAGGCCACCCTGCGAGCGGTTGGCTCGATACGGTGTTATCGGCGGCGGGCTGCTGCCAGTCGCCCGGGATCCGTCTGCGGGAGCAAGAATGAAACACGTTCCTGAGCTAGCTCTTTTCTCCTGCACTGTGTATGCTGGAACACCCAGTGCCCACGGATCATTTCGAGACGCCGAGGTTTGGTATTGGACCGGAATGGGAACATATGGCTCCGGGGAGTCGTGCACATGCCATCGCGGACCCTCCGTCCAGTGTTTCCGATGGTATCCAGTGGCCCATTGCATCCGAAGCCGGATCCAGCACAATCTACATGGGTGGGTGTCTGATCTCCTTCAGTCTGCAACACCTATTTTTAGACCCGACAGCAGAGTACCGATGAATCACAGGCCTGGCCTCGATAACGGATTACTCTGCATTGCACCAGTGCGATGAAGGATGGGTGATCAAAGTTGGTAGCCGTCCCCAGTGCGACTAGGGCTCGAATTGAATTGGGGCGTGCTGATGCTCTGCACATGTCAATTCCACGTACATCTCTATGGCACCGCACCTCTGCCAACTAGGCCGGGGTGAGATTGATGACACGAGAGGCTATAAAAGGGCGCCAGCTTCAACGACTTGAGCCACCCTTCCTTCCTTCGGTCTCTCAGATACTGCGTAGTGAGTTCTCTCGCACTTGCGCTTCTCCATTTCCTGATCTGTCGCCGTCCAGTCTTTTTTTTCAATCTTCGATCTTTCGCCGCTTTCTTTTTCAAAACCACATCCACTTTTATTCTTCTTCCGAGCAGCATGTACACCAAGTCGATCTTCGTTTCTGCTCTGCTGGCCGCTTCGGCCGTTCCCACGTTTGCTGCACCCGTCCCGGCTGCTGCTGCCCCTGAACTGGAGCTCCGCGATCTCGAGGCGCGGCTGTCGCTGCCCTCTGGGGCCTTGTCGGACATCCTCAAGTCGTTCGGCAAAGGCGTCCTCAGCGGTGGTGCCATCACCGGTCTCATCGGCCTTCTGGAGGGAGCTGGCAGCTCCAGCTCCAGCAGCAGCACTCCGGCCACGTAAGTTTGAATATATATCCATCGCTTGCCCACTTCTTATTGAACGATCCAGTCGTGATCTGGAGGCACGGGCCGGTCTGGCCGGCCTGCTCGAGAAGTTGCTCGGTGCCGGCGAAGAGGGTATCGCGAGTGTCCTCAAGAAGGCTGTCATCGGCGGCGTTGCTGGCGGCGTCGGCGTCGAGGCGGTCAACGGCATCGCCGGCGCCGCGGGGGCGAACACCACAAGCAAGCGCGGCGCTGCGTCGGTCATCGGTACCGTCGAGAAAGACACGCTGGGCAAAATCATCGGCTCCGGGGCTGCTGACGGAATCGGGTCCGCCATCGGGGGTCTTGGCATCACCGCCATCCTGGCCAAGCTCTTCGGGTATGTCTCCTTCCCGAGTCTTGTCAGCGTAGTATTATGCATGCTGAGGATCAACAAGCAGCTCTTCCTCGTCGACACCCGCGTCCTCGAAACGAGCGCTTGCTGACCTGTCCGACGAGGAAGTCAACACCCTCCTGGAATACATCAACGACCTCAACGGCGGCGGGGACGTCACCGCCCGCGCGGTCAGTGTCGGATCCTCCGTCGGCAAGGGCGTCGCGGGTCTCCTCGCCGGATTGGCTGCCACCCAAGGCACGGAGGGTATCATCTCCGAGATCGAGAAGCTCTTCCCGCGTCAGGGCAGCCTCGACGAGCTGGATTAGATCCTGGGTGGAAGAGGAGGTCACTATATTTATGAGTCACTGTATTGGATGTCGAATGCGCATTGGTTCGAGTTGAGCTTGGTGGGTGTGACAGTAATGACGGCTGGCGCGTGAGCTGAGTTCGCGTCAGATATTGAGTGTATGCGCTGCTTTTGACTCTTGAGTAATCTAGCGCTGGAACGGCTTTGGGTCCATTCTGTCACCTTGTCATGAGCTCACTGCAAATTTTCCAGCCCGAGAGAAGTCATGATATGTTGAGATAGATGTCCTCATTCTGTTCAGTCCGGGAGCAGGAATGAATCGAAGTGTCAGGTACCTAGTACTGAATGCGCGTCAAGCGACGAGGACCACGTGTGGTGACGTCACGCGTGCAGTGTCACCACCATGTCGATCAACGCCTCTTTTCGAACACGCTGACGGTGAACCGTAGCAGAGGACTCGAAATGGCTCATGCACCCACGTAGCTCAGCGTCTGCTAGAGCTAGAGCTGAGAGCGCTCTCGGATCTTTGCGGCCATATAATGTGCGCCGACTGGTCGGGTCCTTATTCCTAAAATGGCTGTTATTGTTCTTGGGCACGCCTCACTTGTGAAGCACATACTTTTAAAACGTAAGGGCCGGACTTGATACGCCCCTCGTCGCTCATACTGTCCGATACTGTCTCTGCTGCGCAGACTGGGCCACTTCCACTTCCACTTCCTTTCTTTCCCACCGGCGTTGAGCGCTAATCACTTGACTTCATGTCATCTCTGACCTCTTACCTCCCCAGTCTCTTCCGGAATGCATGGACTCCAAAACCATGCCACATTCAGCGCCTCTCCTTCGACATCTTCGTTGACCACATCTTCATCCACCTGCCCATCGAGGACATCATGTCCTTGCGCGCGGTCAACCGCACCTTCTTCCTCCTCACGCACGAGCCGATCATCTGGAAGCGGTTTCTCGAGCGCATGAAGACGCCCGTACCCCCGCTCCGCCCGTCGTTCAAATACGCACTCCAGGCGACGGACTTCGAGGCGGAGCACCTCGTCACGCGCGCGCTCTCGCTCGAGGACAACTGGCGCTCGGACACGCCGAAGGTCAAGCGCTACTGGCGGCACGACGCGCACTACCGCATCCTCGACATGGCCCTCCTGCCGGGCGGCAAGTTTGTGCTCGTGTCGATGCGCGACGTCGCCAGCCAGCGGTACTACATCGAGCTGGTGTCGCTCGACCATCCTGCGGGCAGCAGTGCGGTTGCGCGGATGAGGACCCGGTCCAAGGCGTATAACATGCACGCGCGGTATCTGCGGTTCCAAGGGCGGAATGGGATCATGGTTGGGTACACTTGTAGGACGTATGATGATGGGGTTCAGTGCGAGTGAGTTTTCTCGGCTGCACTCTATGGTGCGGTTCACTCAATGTATCTAGTATCGACCCCTCGATCTTTCGAGACTCGGACGCTATCGACCCACCGCATCCCTTCATCTTCCACACCGTATGCCAGTTCATCGCGATGGACGATGTGGAGGAACTGGTCGATCCCCGCCTGCAGCCTGGCTCAGAAGACTACGTCCGCAGAGCCCGCGATTCCGGTCCTCCGTTCTGTCAGGTCGCGTACCTGGAAACGACGACCCGTATCACGTGCCTTTCGCTATTTGAGAAGGACGGCAAGGCGCATATGTCGTTTGTCAAACACCCGCACGTGGTCGTCGTTCTCGATCTCGATGCAAGGACGCAGTGGCAGATCAAGCTCTCTAGATACGGGGGTCTACCGGAGTCGGTGAGCTGGTGTTGTGTGCGTTCTGCCTGTGTGGAATTCTGACTCCTCGAAGGACCATCAGATCTGGGCTATCCGCGTGTTGCCTCATCAGAACGATGTACTCGTCCTGCGGGATGTTGTGAAGGAACGGACGAACCACTCTCGACCGCAACATGAGCATCTTCTAGAGCTAGTGAGGATTCCGCATCCGTCTCATGTCGAGCCGGTGGTCGTGCACCCGTACGAGAGGTGGATAGTCGACCCTCGCGAGTACACCAGCTTTTCTCTGTCAGACCCGATCCCGCCGTCGATCGGCCTGGATCATCCCCGATTGCCGTCCCAGCCCACAGAGCCCGCGCCGATTTCGCTGTTCGGGCAGACGGCGGGTCCGCTGGGGATGGTGCACTACCTCATCTGGCCGACCGAAACGCGGCACGCCGACGCGCCGTCGACGTGGTCGTTCTCGCTCGAATACGTCGTCCCCCAGACGGTGCACGTGAACTTCATGCCGTATGCGACGCACGTGCTGGCGGGTGCGTCGAGGGCGATGATGTACACGCTCGAGACGGAGAAGGAGGAGGACGCGCGGCTGCTCGGTATCAAGCGCTATCTCTCGCCGCAGCTGCAACCATTGTGGGCCCAGCGGGCGCCGGAAGACCCCGCGGAGCCGATCTCGAGGAGAAACCGGCCTGAGCTCTCGAAGAGCTTCTACGTGAGTGGCGCGGTGTCCATCGCTGATACACGCTTGCTGACATGTGCAGTGCTCATTCACACTCCCGGCGAACGTCCGTCGCAAGGTCGAGAGCCTGGGGCTCGCGGCCATCACGTGGGACGAGACGATTGGCCGGCTGTGCATCGCCTGCGGCGACGAATTACGCGTGCACATCATCGATTTCTCGTCGGCGGCGCGGGTGGATGACCGGTTCCGCTCGTGGAAGCATCATAAGCTCGTCGGGATGGGTGTGCCGAAGTAGCAGGCCACCTGCAACGTGCATAGCGCACAGACCAGACCAGACCAACCCAGACCAAGACGTCACGGACGCGGATTGTCACAATAACGTGCTCATGTCACACGCGTTGCCGGCCAGTTGATACATTATACAGTGCTACGATTAGTGTGAGCGGCACCATAGAGGTATTCCTTCGCGAGTAAAATACAAGGCGGGATAGTTAGTATTGCTAGGTCAAAACATCGGGACGGATGAAACAGCGAAGAACGGAATAAAAATCGCGAAAAGAGGCGTCCGTGTCATCCCAGGAGTAGCCAGCAGCAGTAGCAGCACCCGCTATGCCTTGCTGCTGCCGAAATAGAACGAGCTGGGGGACTTTTCCTTCGGCTCCTTCTTGTCCCGCCTCCCGAATCCGAGGCTCCCCAGCAACGGCGAGCTGAGACTCATCTTGCGCGTCGCCCGCCGTGGCGCGCTGCCGTTGCTTGACGTGCTCGACGTGCTGTAGTTCCCGCCCGCTAGCGACTCGAGTGCGATCGGGCTTGATGGCAGCTCCAGGGGCGCGTCGTCGGTGCGCTCGTCGGCGTCTGCCATCGAGCTCGCCGCGGATGTGCGCTCCTCGTCCGTTGCTGGCGGTACCGGGGGGAGCGGCCGGGAGGAGGACGAGGGCGGCGCATCCAGTATCGGGCCAGCGGTTGTTGGACGCGCCGAGGACTTGGTGGGTGGTGGGGCTCGGGGCTTGGAAAGGGACGAGAGGGACTTTTTGTGCATCGGGGCGTCGAGCGATAGGGGCAGCGGCTGGGGCTGTGATAACGGCTGCAGCGACGATTTCCTTGCTGGGGGAAACTCGATCACGGGCGGAGAGTGTATGGGTGTCATCGCCGGAAAAACGGACGTCGAGCCGGTCACGGGAATGAAGGACGACGAGGCGGAGCCACTGTCGTACCCGTTCGTTGTTTGACTCTCGTCCGGTTTGAACGCGTGACCGGTCCCTATCGACTTGGGTCGTGTGCTGGCAGCGGACAGGGTCTGCGCCGTCCGTGACAAGTCGATCAGCCCGGACTCTGATGGCCTCCGAGAGTTCTTGTCGGACGAAGATAGCCATGTCGACGAGGACGCATGTGATACCGTCGCTGCGATCGGCGATGGCGGCGCATCGTCGACAGTGGTGTCCCCGCGTGACTTGTCTCCCAGCCGGAAGCTCTTCCTCTTGACAAACCAAGACCCACGGGAGGTCTTCTCCTTCTCTTTCTGCTTCCCATTCGGAGTCGCCGGCACTGAAACGGGCGGAGGCGGTGGTGTGAACGGCTTGGGGTCATCGTCGCTGACACCGTTGCTGGTTCCGGGCCGCGTCGAGACCGAGGCAGTCCGTCTCGGAGCGAGGAACTTCGCCTTGGGAGGCGGAGAAAGTGCATACTCTTCAACCGGCGTGACATCGGGAGAAGGAGGGGCATTCGATACAGGGTCACTTGTGTCCGAGAGCTCAGCTTCTTCAACCAATCCCGGAGGGAGAAGAGGATTGCTGCCTACGGATGGCGACGAGTCTGGAGGCGAGTACCTCTTTCCAGCATGCACAGGTATCGGCACGACTTGCAGCCCGAGCTCAGAGAGATCGATGTCGACGGCCTGATAATAGAGCACGTACGCTGAGCCCGCGTTTGAGTCCCCGAAATACTTGGGGATGTCAGCTTCGGTGATCGGATAGACGTTTTCATCATCAAAGACAAGCCAAGCCTCGCTCGTCTTGATGATGGAGATGTAATGTCCATGGTGCGGACCGCTGCGATGCGATCAGCCGGGCCGAAAAGTCTAGACCCAAACCACACATACGTTCCGATATGCACGACAATCGCGAACAGCGAAAATAGCCGGTCAGCATCATCGATTTCGTCCACCGTATTGAACAACCGTAGCTCAAACGGAAACGCGACCCGATACGCCAGCTTGACGTGCTTCCCAAGATCCTCCTGGTACTTGAATCGCTTCAGATGCAACGCTAGCACGTTGGGCGATTTCTTGATCTTCATGCTGTGCAGATAATCAGCCACAGGTGTGTGTGATCCAACGCATGATGCCGAACACACCGTTTTTCCGCCTCTTGTAGATCACAGCACACATCGCAGAAGAACTTGTTCCTCTGACACAGCATCTCGCTGGCACTGAATTGGCGCAGGCACGCCGTGACGCTGGCGTTCTGCTCGATATCGATAGACAGGTCGAGGAACGACTCGTCGCGGGAAGAAACCTGGCCCAGGGTCATGAGGAGGGAGATGATAGGCCGTTATCAATTGCCCACGCACGTTTTCGCATGTCAAGCACTTGGTCTCGCTTGTAAGAACACCTTCGAACAGCTTGTGCACCAGAGTCGCATTGTGGGGGGCGGTCCCCGAGTTGTTGGTGGAAAGCGTGGCGGCCGAGTTGGAGACTGGAGAATCGGGATGAGAAGTTCCGCCAGAGAACAACAACGTCTGCCCCAGCCTCTCCCTGCCACAGAGCACACGCGTCGAAGAACGGATCGACTCACGATCGTCCGGTATCCCAGCTCCATTGTCACCCGCCCTCTTCTCCTCCTCTATCTCCTCTACAATCTTATTAAGCAGATAATTGAGAAACTCGTGCGCGTCCTGGTGCATCGTGGAGCGAAACAGCTCGTTGAACTCCTTGAGCTTGTCGATGAAGGCGCGCGGCGCGACGGTGCCCTTCTCCAGCGGGTTCGTAGATATGTGCACGTAAAGCGAGCGGAGCGCTGAGAACAGACTGGGAGGGTTCGCAGGGATGGTGGGTAGTGGGGGGTGGAGGACGACCCCATTGTCCGCAGGTCTGTCTATCTTGCGACGGACGGGCGCAAGAGAGCCTGGGGCTGGTGTCGGTGGCGCTTGAGGGGAATCCTCGATGGCGGACGAATCGTTGGCCTGGATTAAGAGATCTCTGAATGGCCCACAGAAGTACAGTGCCTGGATCACGGAATTGGCGTAGCTGCGGATCTCAGTGAGCTGGGAGGGCTAGCTGAAGCCTGTCGAGAGGGTCGCACCAGGTATTTCCGAACTATAATGCAATGATAAGCCAATGACTGATGAGGAGGGAAACAGGTAACGGACATTCTCGAGTCCGAATTTCTTAGTGTCGGCGGACACGATAGCAAGGGGCTCGGGCTGGGCTGTTTCTAAGGAGGCAGGGGCTGACGGTCCAAACGGCCATTTGCCTTTAGCCATACGTACGAGCCCTGGGGTTTATGAATGAAGACAGCGTCGGAATTCCAGCCAAGCTTGTCGGTGTGATGGAGATATCCGACGGCTTCAATCAGGTACAAGGTGGGTGATTCGCCATCAGCACAGCCGCTGATTATGGGCCACGTCACGTTCACCCAAATTCTCCCGAGTCGCTGAGCAAGCCAACAGCAAGTTCGACACTTGGAAACTCATCTCATCTGGGCTCTACAATATCTCCAACCTTCAACTCTCCCAATCGCAACGGTACCCCATTTACTCCGACGCAAGGCTTCATTTTCAAAACCGGATCCAAACCTGTCCGGAACTTCATCAACGTCTTGTAGGGCACGGCAGGGTCCCGCACTCCGGTTTCTGGCGAAACGTTTGGCAGCTGCGTAGGGATCTTGGTCAGAAGGTATCACGAATCAACAGGAGATGTTTGGGCGCGCTTACCAGACATCGTGTACACTTTGACACTAGACTGATCTTGGGCCCTGAGCCGATCTCGATCTCCTTCCAGGAGTCCTCCGCGAAAGCACCTGCTCCCTGAAAGACAATATTAGGTCGGAACCTAAGTACCGTCAATCATCAGCGGGAGATGCGATGGCCCGTGGCCCAATCTACTCCACCTTTCTGTTGCCAAGCGCTCGGTCTTCCAGCACTCGTCCACGCCTTGCTTCCCCACATGTGTCCGGAGCTCTTCCTCAATTCGCGTCGTCGACTCCTCGGAGAGCACCATCAAAGGAAAGAGATCTTGGAAAACGGTTCTCGCATCTAACGCCGGGTGCGTGAACGTCGGCTCGCAGATGCGCGGTTGTGTCCCCTTGTACACGAGATGCACGGGCCGCTCAAAATACGTGGACAGCATCTCCGACACTGTCTGCACGTTCATGTTGTCCGCGGGCAGCGCCTCGCAGATGTACCCATCGAATGGAAACGCGCCAAACATCATCACATCTGCGACTCTAGGGTGGAAATAAGCGTCGGTCCCCTCGTGCGAAATCTGTGCGTGCGAACCGCGTCCAGGTGCCAAGGACATCCTGAGTGGGCTTTAGCGGCACTGAGAAGACCGGAGATCCCGGCCCGCCTAGCGAGACAGACAATACTTGGGCGTCTTGATCGATATGTGGAGTGATCAACACCATCTGGAAAGTCTACGAGGTGATTGCTCGCTCCAGGCCGAGAATGGTCGGCTCGCCTTGGAGACTTCTCTTGCAGTTATGACGGAGCCATCGCCAGCGTTGATGATGCACCATTGGCGATCGTACTTTCCATCAACGTTTGGCGTGGGATTCAACTGGATGCGTATGCGCAGCTCCTACCTCTAGACCTTCCAGTGTTACCCGAGCCTGGTCGACCGAGATTCCGCGACAACTCTCCGGACGACTCAATGCTGGAGTTCATGGCGTTGTAGCCGAGTGTCTCACCTTGATAGGATGCACCAGGATCTTTGAGACACGAATAGTCGACATCGAAGTACGAGTGCAAGTAGAGGGGCGATCTATTTATTCTATGCACTCACCTGAAACCAGACCATGGACGCACATGTGACTGTAAGTTTCTCGTGCCCCGTGATATTTCGGATGCAGCTTTCGTCGAGTAGGCGGGCGATTTAGGATCGCTCGTAGATAAGATTGCTCATCAACCCATTCATATAACATACACTTGCAATTTACTGTACTTCAATGTTTCTGTTCGAACACAGCCCAACGTTTAGGCTGTCCGCATGACCAAATGCACTCCGCTATCCGTGCTGATGATATCGCTGATCTGTCCGGGTTCAAGCGAGTACGCGGCCTCCTCGAAAGCTTTCTGCATCTGCCCGGGGCCAAAGTATCCGAGATCGCCATTCTGCTCATGAGACGAGCAATCCGAGTGCACACTGGCAAGTTCACCGAACTTCTGCCCGTCCGTGCCGATCTGCGTCTGGAATCCCCGCAGGATCTCGATGGCCTCGTCCTTGGAACGTGTGATGTTGCTCTGTCATTCGGGCTGCGTAAGCACGGCAGTCGGATGTGGACGGCGCAGCCGCGCGCGCACCTCTTTCCAGCTCGCGGGTCGGCGGCTGCCGTTATGCTTCACGAGGAGGTGGCTCGCGCGCACCTTGCCTTTGGGCGCGGGCACGGCTTTGAGGAGCGCTTGGGCCTGTTCCTCAGAGAGATCGGCGGGGCGGTCCCACAGCGATTCGCGAGTGGCGGGGTTGAAGAAATACGGCGTCCCGCGCGAGGACGAGATGCGGACTTCCCAGGCAGACTGGAACGGCGCTCAGAATACCCAAGCCGGGAGATGAGATGGACTGACCATCTTGATCGTGGGCGAAGAGAAGCTTATTGATGTGGCTGTGCCGTGCACGCTCTGGCTCAGGACAGTGACCACTGTTCCATCAACTTGGTTCAGTTCGTTGGTACGGGAGCCCCATGCGATTCAGCTTCCAGTCTGCATAGTATGGATCCTCCTGGATGACCGTCAGCTAGCTGAACTTGTGTGATAACTCGCGTCTATATTTTTTTCTCCCTAAGGCTGACCCTTGAGCATTCGAGCTTCTAATCTCGTTTAGGAAACTTGTTCGACAAATCCGTTTCTGAGGCCATCCTTCTCCGTTGCCTTTCCCACTTGTGTGAAATGATATATTGTTGACCTCAATCATCTCCCTCCACGCACACTCAATACTACCATGCAAGACGACCATAATGCGAACGTGAAACAGGAGGACACGGGGCAGGACGCGATCTTGGACTGCGAGGTAGAATGTCGCAACTCTCAAGGCGTTCTTCGCCTCACGGCTCGCGTGGCTGAGATTCTGGAATTTGTCGTGGAGAGCGGACAAGACTTGTGGGGTTTCCTTGAGCAACTCAACGCCGTGCCCCAAGAGCAGTTGTCAGTTTGGGAACGCCACGCCGAGAAAATGCGGCGGTTGAAAATTCCATCATATCGGTATGGCCTCGTAGGCAAGACAGGCAGCGGCAAGTCCACACTCGCCAACTGTCTGCTCGATGCGGATATTCTTCCGTCGTCAGCTGCTGTGAGTTGTTTCCCTTCCTTCCAGGTAAATGGTCTCGTTACTGACGCGTGCCCCAGGGGTAAGTGTTAAAGTGGTGGGTGCTGTGCGCTGTTCCTGTCCTCATTCTCGGGACAAGGGCATGTACCTCGGTACCAACGGAAATTGGATATCTGGATACAGACCACATCGAAGTCACTGTGGTTTACCGTATGAAATCTGAATGGCGCAAAGTTTGTTGTTTTTCTGCTCCCTGGCTGTTAGCTTACAGGCGCGCTTCATAGCAGGTCCGCGATCTCCTGGATGACATGTGAGCACTTCGGGCCTTGTTTGATTCATCCGCTGCCCACGCTGACTTGTCTCTAGCAACGAAGCCGAAACCTCTGACTCGACAGCCCAAGAGACACCCCAGGGACCTCCAATTATTACGTAAAATGGCTTCGAGGCCCCCTCCGGAGGCCATCAAACCACCCCCTACCCCCCCTGATCGGAGGCCATCCTGGAGGCGCCTTCCTAATTGGGACGCTGCCTGGCCATTTGTCCACCGCTTGCATGGTATGCTAGGGATTGGCCTGAGTGCTGATATATGCTGTAGTAGTCATTATAAAGCCTCAGACAATGTCTGACCTCTCAAAAGCATGTATTTCTTGCTTGCAAATGGCAGACCACTGGGTGCACAAAATTTGGGATCTGAGTATGTGAGCACTCCTCAGGTGCATAGAGCAACAGTATATGTATTAATTCAAGATTGAGCATGAGGTAGCTGTGCCCACACGCAAAAAATGAGATGTTGCTGAAGGGATGGTTTATGGCCTCCACGACCTCCCAGGTGCAGAAAAAAAGGTGTTGGGTAGCCCACAGGCCCTTGAATTCCGCTTCAATAGAACAATTTGATGCTTATGCTTTGTCAAAACAACAGCTCAGCATATAAATTGGATGTTGGAGCAGTGGCAGAACAAGCCTCCACCACCTCCAGGGCTGGGGATCAAAAGCGGTTACTGTAGATTTAGCCACACAAACTGTGTTCATGACATTATTTATCTTCATTGAGATGCACAGGATCCTTTAGAGTGATAGCTCAACATGTGAATTGGATGCTAGAGCAGATTACAGAAAGGCTCTCCACAGCCTCCACAGCCGGGGACTAAAAGCAGTTTCTTTGGATTTAGCAGCAGAAACTATGTGTTCAATGTCAGGTGTCTTATTTGAATGCCAAGGGTCCTCTATGGAGACAGCTCAGCATATGAATCAGATGCTGGAGCAAATGGCAGAACTGGCCTCCACCGCCTCCACAGGTTATTACTTGAAGAGTTGGGATGAGATGACAATGTAACAGACAGATATTCTCCTGGCTGACCACATTCTGTCATTTCCACCTCTAAATGCGAGTTGAATTGCTGCAGAATGTTAAAATGAGAGAATGGGGGACCCTGGAGGCGCTGGAAGCACATGCAAGATCCAATCAATATCATCAATATCATCAATGCCATCAATAGCATCAATAGCATCACCAATCATTGGTAGATTGATCAGCCAATCAGATGATGAATAAACATCGAACATCTAGTATATTCATTCCTGAGAGACACAGACTATATGTATGCTCATACTGAAAGTGGATTAGTGGTCCCAGGACATGCCCCAATGACATATTACATCCTTGTCTCAAGAACATATCATTGAAATTCGGAGTTTGCAAATGAACTGAAAGTCAACTGAAGATGAGTGGTACAGTGGAGTACTTTCAGCTCATTTGCCAAATCCAAATTTCAATGATATGTTCTTGAGACAAGGATGTAATATGTCATTGGGGCATGTCCTGGGACCACTAATCCACTTTCAGTATGAGCATACATATAGTCTGTGTCTCTCAGGAATGAATATACTAGATGTTCGATGTTTATTCATCATCTGATTGGCTGATCAATCTACCAATGATTGGTGATGCTATTGATGCTATTGATGGCATTGATGATATTGATGATATTGATTGGATCTTGCATGTGCTTCCAGCGCCTCCAGGGTCCCCCATTCTCTCATTTTAACATTCTGCAGCAATTCAACTCGCATTTAGAGGTGGAAATGACAGAATGTGGTCAGCCAGGAGAATATCTGTCTGTTACATTGTCATCTCATCCCAACTCTTCAAGTAATAACCTGTGGAGGCGGTGGAGGCCAGTTCTGCCATTTGCTCCAGCATCTGATTCATATGCTGAGCTGTCTCCATAGAGGACCCTTGGCATTCAAATAAGACACCTGACATTGAACACATAGTTTCTGCTGCTAAATCCAAAGAAACTGCTTTTAGTCCCCGGCTGTGGAGGCTGTGGAGAGCCTTTCTGTAATCTGCTCTAGCATCCAATTCACATGTTGAGCTATCACTCTAAAGGATCCTGTGCATCTCAATGAAGATAAATAATGTCATGAACACAGTTTGTGTGGCTAAATCTACAGTAACCGCTTTTGATCCCCAGCCCTGGAGGTGGTGGAGGCTTGTTCTGCCACTGCTCCAACATCCAATTTATATGCTGAGCTGTTGTTTTGACAAAGCATAAGCATCAAATTGTTCTATTGAAGCGGAATTCAAGGGCCTGTGGGCTACCCAACACCTTTTTTTCTGCACCTGGGAGGTCGTGGAGGCCATAAACCATCCCTTCAGCAACATCTCATTTTTTGCGTGTGGGCACAGCTACCTCATGCTCAATCTTGAATTAATACATATACTGTTGCTCTATGCACCTGAGGAGTGCTCACATACTCAGATCCCAAATTTTGTGCACCCAGTGGTCTGCCATTTGCAAGCAAGAAATACATGCTTTTGAGAGGTCAGACATTGTCTGAGGCTTTATAATGACTACTACAGCATATATCAGCACTCAGGCCAATCCCTAGCATACCATGCAAGCGGTGGACAAATGGCCAGGCAGCGTCCCAATTAGGAAGGCGCCTCCAGGATGGCCTCCGATCAGGGGGGGTAGGGGGTGGTTTGATGGCCTCCGGAGGGGGCCTCGAAGCCATTTTACGTAATAATTGGAGGTCCCTGGGGTGCCAAGAGACGCTATTTCAAGTTCGTTCCTCGTTTGACTTGTTAACACACCTCTTATCGATCCATTCTATGAAGGTTTACCCGCGGTATGATCTCTGTTTTGGCAGCGCAGTAGCACCCGTAATGCAATCCACTCTAGATTCAAAAAGGAAGGTTTTCGAAACACCACGGCTGACATCCTGATGCAGGACTCAGTCGTCCAGGATCGTCTCGGTGCTCAGACAAGCTTTTCAATATCCGAATTGGAAAGCGTTGAAGAACATGTATGCGCATTTGAAATTCTCTGATGCAGATGCTGACTGGTCGTCTTATTAGTTGAGGCATTACCTATGCCCTGGAGACGAAGATGACAACTCGCCGCAGGTCAGTCCCCTTGCGTGATGCACGGCAGTTGCTGTATTCAGAGTCTGCGTCAGCTCTGGCCGCTTGTTCAGATGGTTAAAGTGCGAGGCAGATTTGAAGTGTTATCGAGCGGAATTGTGCTTGTTGACATCGCGGGCCATGGCGATAACAACGAGATGTGAGTTCTTTCGGCATATTAAAGTCGCAAACATCCATTCATTGGCTCTATAGTCGTGATATCCACGCCGATAACTTCATGAAGGCCTCAGATACTAGCGGAATCATCGTTGGTGAGCGGAATATCTTTCTAATATATGGGGCGTATGACGCAGATCGTGGTCATCGGCAGTCGCAAGCGCCACGCGAATCCACAGTGACAAGGTCAGTGTCAATCCGCTGAAAGATTACAAAGTCACTGATTGGGTCGCGTGTCAGGCCACATCGCAGATTCTCGATGAACTGTAGGTGTATCGGATATACGTTGACGATCCATTTCTGATCAGCCGTAGGATAACCACCGTCATCCGAGACAATCGACGGGTGGACGAATTCTTGATCGTTGCGGCGACACACAACGACACTCCGATAGGGAACTCGGAGATCGGACTGCAGGGTGCAGATCTGCAGCAAAGCAAGGAGTTGTCCAGCGTGAGCATGCAATGATGCCCTGTCTGATTCCGGTCAATGACTCCGACTCAGCTCTTGAAAAAATTGGGGCAGCAGCTGAAACGTCAGGGAGTGGGCGCCACAGAGATCAACCAAGTGAGTGACTGTGCATGCCTTGCAGGTCGAGACTGATTCTCTTTCCAGCAAATAACTGCTGCGAAACGAGAACTCGATCTTCTGAAGGCTGTACGTTCTTGCGTGTGATTGCTGTGCAGCATATGACTGAGCCATTTTGCCAGTCAGCCCGAATCAAGCTGATCAAAAAGAAAGTCCAAGATTCGTTCCAGAGGAATTATCGGCGACTTCGCAAGGTCTCGAAGTTCTCCATGCACATTGATGACATGCTTATTTTCCCGAAGAACTGGGCGCTCGAGCCGCCACAAGAGCTCCCGGTGTTCGTGGTTGGGAGTAGAGACTATCTTACATCAAGAGATGCCGCTGCTGGGTTTTCGGACGTGATCCTGCATGAGCCCGACGAGGTCAGCTCACGCTAGAGGTTCTCTTAACGATGTCATTGAACCAATTCTTCTCCAGACATACATCCCTCAGCTGGTCTCTCATCTCAAAGACACAGCGAAACGCTTTCGCACTGCCTGGGCTTTGCGTGTGCTGCAAGAAGCCGAGACGTTCGTGAAGGACTTGAAGTCTTTCTCCACACCCGTGGTTCCCCTGTCGTCGGAACTCAAAGCAGAAGCAAGCCAGGTTGTCGCTGCACTCGAAACAGTCCGTTTCGCCTTTGGCTACTCACCCCTTTGGTTGACCCTCCCGCAGGAGCACGGGAAAGAGATTCAATCGATGATGGACAAGGTCGGCGCGACCTTGGATGAGGTGATGACGACGTTGAAAGAAGCAACACGTCAGGTGCATTGTTTTTACGTTCACTATAGACTCACTGGCTAAATGTGTTTCTAGGCCAGTGAAAGCGCACTCACTAGCGTCGACAAGTTCGCGATCAAGGTTCGCTGGAACACATACAGAGCGTGTATGCGCCGGGAAGGCATCTGGAAGCATCTGAACCTCAACCGGAGTCTTACGGTTGGGATCATGCCTGCTATCGAGTCTGCCTGGATGTCCACCTTCAGCGAGAAGATTCCGCACATTTTTGCCGACGCGACTCAGGTGAGCTCCCCCAAAGCTTGTCAGCTCCTCCGCCCTTACTCAACGGCACAGGCCATTGAAGAGCTCACGCTAGCCCATATCGCCCAACTGGCCCGAGTCCTGGCCAACACGAATACCGGAGAGCGTATCAGAGCGGCGCAGGACTTTTTGGATATCCCGAGGAAAGCACGAGATCTTCGCGAGTTTGCCACGGAGACCACCTCGGCCTGCCAGCGGGAATGCACGCGCTCGTTCCAGGAGACGGTGCAGAAGCAGCTCGAGGACCAATACCTCGAGGTGCGGAACATGTCAGGGGCAGGCTGCTACGTACGAATGAAGGTCAGCCGAGACGACGACCCCCAATTTCAGTTTGCACGACTTTCTAACGAAGGTGTCACAGGACTCGAATAAACAGTGGTTAGAGAAAACTAGAGACAGGATGTTCGACGCTGTCAATGACACCGTCAGAGGGGAATTCGACAAGGCGCTCGTGCGTGTCAAGGAGCGGGCCACAGAGGAACTCGGCCAGTGGGTTGAAGAACTGAGAGCCTTTGTCACAAGTGCGCGAAAGTCTCCCACGTGCATTTAGTGCAGACTCAGCTTTTGACAGATGACGGCCACCAGAAGACATCGGACAGAGATGGCAAAACCTGGACTTTGATATCAAAGCGTCTGCTGGCGCTAGAACCACAGATAGAAAAGATGCGAGATGGACTGAGACAGTTGACTGTAGACAGAAAGAGATCTATCCATCAATGAATCACGAGGGCTTCATGGTCACTACTCACTCAGTACGCGACTGGGCACTGACAATGGGTTACATTCGTTAATCGACGCGACGCGACGCGATGCCTCCCACTTCGACGAGCGAAGATCACAGATATCCTCCATCCGGACTACCCTGAGGGAACCCCGCTCTTCCCTCAATCGCAGCATGACGACCCTTGAGGGCTCTAGCAAGCTGCGTCCCTGCAGCTCCACGCGACGCACTCTGTCCTTCCCCACACCCCAGCTGTACCATGAACAACAAGAACGACACTGACACAAACCTGCTCTCGATACGTCAGGCTGAGTCCAGCGACAGCGGTCACGACGGCATGGATGAACACGGAGAGGGGCTGACCAAAGACGCGCTCGTCCGCGAGATCCAAGCCTTCGTAGCGTCATCCGCCACTCGTCTAGCCGACGTGCTAGAGGACCGCTTCGCTGCCGACCCGGGCGACGCGCCGCCCCAGGTCCGGCTCTGGACACGCAGGGCCCGGAAGCTGGCAAAGCTCAAGGTGCCGACGTACCGGTACTGTCTCGTCGGCAGAACTGGTCCGTGGACGCGTGTCTTTCGTGCCGAGGAAAGCAGCGGTGCTGACTATCGCAGGCTCCGGGAAGTCGACGCTCACCAACTGCTTGTTGGATGCCCTCGTTGTGCCATCTTCCGCTGCAGTGAGTGCTGGTATGCTTCTTCTGCAGGAGTCTGCTCCTTATCGATCCGCACAGGGGTGCGAGGAACCCACTCGGCTTGGGCTTGAATTGGTTGCTCACTACCAAGTCCAGCGCTTGTACATCAGTCTCTACCGAGATCAAGTATCATGAGTCGGAAACTCTCGAGGCGGTCGTCGCCTTTTGTTCGAAACGTGAATGGAAACAGGTACGGCACAGTCCCTTGCTCGAGTGTGCACCTTCTAAGTGGTTGGACGGCAGCATGTAACTGAGCTCCTCAATGACATGTCGGTTACAGCTATCCCCACCGTGACTTTCGGTGCACTGACGAGGACTGGCAGACGGGCTGAAAGCGAAGAGGAAAAAGGTCACGACTCACCCGCGGACAAAGCGAGGGAGACTTTACGTTCGGTATGTTTTCAGCCCCGGATCGTTGACGACCATACCATCGAACTCGACGGCAGGTACATCCCTCTTATGTCTACGACCCTCTTGTCCCAATATCAACTGCGGTCGCCACGCTCATGAAAGAGCCCGTTATACGAGAGCATGTGGGGAAGTCTATTTCGCTGACCGAATCGGCGACGGCCGACCTTAGAGATCAGGTTTATCCGGTGCTTGCTCTCTTGTCCCAGCTGCTCATCTTGTTCAAGCTCAAGATATATCTGTCCGCAGAGGGAAATCCGGATACGCCCAAGGTACTAATACTCGTGTATGACTCCCACCGCATACTGATCACATTCCAACATCCCACAGCTTTGGCCGCTTGTGGATAAAGTGACCATCAAGGGCAACTTCGACGTGCTTTCCACAGGCGCTGTTCTGGTCGATATCCCGGGTCACGGGGATAGCGATGATGTGTGAGTGCTCACGTTCTTGGTTACCGGCCACGGGGTGATACAACCCCTCCCAGTCGTAACAAGTGTGCGGAACAGGCTGTGAAGGATTCTAACACCAGCGGGGTCATTCTCGGTACGGGGTCTTGGCCATGGCAGACAGATCCTGTTCATACTTGAGTGCAGTGACCGATTCGAGACGAGCTCAGGACGACAGGGTGCGCTAGTCCTTCCGCTTCTTTCCTAGTTGCTTAGCCTCAGTCCAGGATACCTTCGATTTCTTGCGAAAATTGTACGCCATCGCAATGGCCTTCGTTTGTTGTCTGGGCTCTGATTCCGCATCCAGGTTATCTCAAATCATCGTCGACGGTCGATCTGTTGAAGAGTTCATCATTTTTGCCGCGACAGGCAGCGACGTCAGTTGAGGCTATGGACTCGGCTTCACTCTGTTGACGACGGAAATGTAGAATTCGATTATGGATGGCGAAGTCACACTGTCGGCTGAAGCGCAGAAGAAGATAGCTGCCATCGACTCTGTTGGTTTCCCAGACGCTCTGTGTGTTGCACCTATCGGCTGATATATCTTTTTTGGAGCAACTGGGCGAGTTACAGCAGCAGCCAAGCAGGAAACGAGGCAGGTCCTGCGCGGGAACACCCGTGCCGCAAGACAATCGCGAGAAAGTGCGCTCGCTAACCATTTAGTGATGGGTCGCTCTGACGGTCGATCCGCAGATCCAGAAACTGTTGCAAGATAGGAGCCTCATCAAATCAGTAAGCCCTTCATCAACTTGAGTTCGTTAGGTCAATCGAGAGCACAGGAGGAGCGAGTCCAGGCTGTAGAGGAACGTATTCAGGAGGAGTTTTACAAAGTATACGTCGGAATCAACCAGGCACGCCGTGTTTTCCGTGGCACGCGTGTCGCTTGCTGACTGAACTCGCACATGACAGACAGAAGATGCACCAAGACTGCCGGTGTTCGTCACGGGCGGACAAGATTACCTCAAATTGAGCGGCATCGTCTCCGAAAATCCATCGATATTCACAGATGTGCACCAGGTTTGAGAGGATTGTTTTGCGTACGTGCACGATCTAATGTATCCCCGAGACGAAGATTCCGTTATTGAGAAAGCACCTGTACGACACAGCGGATGAAATGCGAACGAAGTGGGGGGCAGATTGCTTGGAGAGGCTGGCCACTCTCGCCGAGGACATGCGCGAGTATTTTACCACGACAGATTCTCCCGTTCATAATGTGGACGTGGACCAGAAGGAGGAATTATTGACGCACATCAAGGCGCTGCGGCGCCGAAACGAGAAGGAACTCAAGTCTGTGTTGTCTGGTATCAAGGACGAGTTGCATCGCGTGCAGGACTGCCTCGAGATGGCCGTCAACAAGGTACTGTCCATTGAACACAGATGGCATGCATCGCCTGACAAATGACTCTGCAGGCCGTGTTTGCCGCGCCCGGGGTGGTCAGAACGTTTGGCCTCAACATACATTGGAGCAGCTACCGCGCTATGATGCGCAAGCGGGGCTTTCACGGCCTGTACAATCTCAACCGCAGTCTCACCGTCCACATCTTCGAGCACATCAAGAGTACATGGAACGTCGCGCTGAACCATCGGGTTCCCCTCATCCTCAGAGAGGCTGTCGAGGTGAGCACTGCTCGTCCAGATCGCTGGCTGGTGGACCCTCACGTGCTACCACGGCAGGAGACGATCATGGGTAACACACAGGATTGTGTCGAGGCGATAGCAGAATCCCTGAAAGAGGAGGCTGTCCTGACGAGGATCCTCCCGGAATTTCAGAGTCTGCTCCGGGAAATGCTTGTGCAAGCTTTGGATGTTCTATCCGATGCTCAACGGTGAGGCGAAACAGCGATGGTCCACTATCGATGCTCATGTCCCGCGGTGTGGTTTCAGTGTCTGTACGCGATCTTTTGTTGACACAGTGCGGACGGAGATGGGGCCCGAGTACGAGGCAGCCATGCAGATCAAAGGAAGAGGGTCTCTGGTACAGATGAAGGTCCGTCTGCTGCGTTGAGTCCTGAGTGCCATCTGTTCATAGCGGGACACAGGCATCGAACGAATGGTACTTGAGAGACTACGGAGAGGCCGTCTTTGGTGCCATCAATATCAGCGTCGACCGTGTTTTGCACGAGGCTCTCGCCAAGATCGGGCAGCAGATCAATTCCGACCTGGATGACCTGGCGCAGGACCTGCAGGCAATTGTGACTGGTGAGCCCGTTGTCCCCCGCACTCCTCATCTTCTTGGGACCAATCATTTTCTGTGTGCAGATCCTGCCAGTGTGATGTCATCCGACGATGACGAAGAGACCCGAAGCCTGATCTTGGAGCAGGTCGATCTGATTCTGAAATCGAGCATAATGAAGAACTTGGACTACTCAGCTAAGACCGAGTACGAATCGGACTGCGACTGGGGCAGGTCGGGAATACATGAATAGATTGGATTGGATTGAAAAGATGATGGATATAGTAGTCTGTGGAGACAGCGAGCGTTAGATGAGAGCGTAGACCGAAAGCACTAATGACAAAGATAGCTTCTAGATTCTACCTATTCCAGCTTTCCGTAGCCTTCAGGGTTCTTGGACTGGAAGTTCCACAAGTCACGGCACATGACATCCAGGTCCTGTGTCGCCTTGAATCCGAGCTCCTTCTCGGCCAGTGCGGGATCAGCAGTCAGATCTGGCACATCGCCCCGGCTGCAACTCATCAGTCAGTGTCAGTCCGCCCAGAATCAAAGAAGCAACACACCGCCGGCCGACGATTTCGTACTGGTAGTCAAAGCCTGTGGCTTCGCGCATGGCCTGGACAATCTGGAGCACACTGAAGCCTTTGCCTCGTCCGAGATTGTACGCCTTGTAGCGCGCTCCGGTCGGGTCGTTGAAGATCCCCGCCTCTGACGTCAGGGCCTCCAGAGCCAGCTGGTGCCCCGCCGCAAGGTCGAGAACATGCAAGTAATCACGCACACACGTTCCATCCCTACGGGGTGGACAGATCAGATCAGTACCAGACCACCTGAGCACGGGGGGCATCGGACGCACGGTGTCGGATAGTCGTTACCGAAGACCTGCAAGGTCTTCGGATCCACTCGCCCCACGGCCATGTGCGCGAGGAGAGGGAGCAGGTTACCCGGACGTCCCCTCGGATCTTCACCAATCTGCCCCGATGGGTGAGCGCCAGCGGGGCTGCGTGAGAGATGCGGTCATGATTCGGCGCGCGCGAGCGGGAATCTAATCTACGCACTTGAAGTATCTCAGGGAGATAGCAGACCACTTCGAGTCGGCTGTAGCGGGGAGGGTCAGTGCGGGAGCACGAGGACGTCGGAGCCGATAGACTGACCATGGCACAAGTCGTCCATGATCGTCTCGCACATGACTTTCGTCTTCCCATACGGGCTGTCGGCTTTCAGCCGTGTCGTTTCGGATATCGGGATCTCGGGTGGGATCCCGTAGACGGTCGCCGAGGACGAGTACACTATCCGCGTGCAGTCGAACGCGGCCATGACCTGGAGCAAGTAGAGCGTAGCGGCGACGTTGTTCTCGTAATACGTGAGTGGGACCTCCGTCGACTCTCCGACGGCTTTATAGGCCTACAGTCACAGTTCCAGTCAGTCGGAGGCCCGATCCGCATCGATGGTGGCAGGCAGGACTCACAGCGATGTGCACTACACCCCATATGCCGCCCTTGCCATACTTCTCAAACACCCCCCGAATGTCCTCCTTCCTCGTGAGATCACAGCTGTAGCTCTCGATCTCCGTTGTCTCGATGTCCCGCTCCGAGGTGTTCTCCGGGAGTTCGCTGCGTGAGAGCGCGGAAATGCGTGCGAGTGCATTGGGGTGCGAGTTGTGGCCGTTGTCGATGGAGATGACCTTGTATCGTCTCGTTTTCTGGAGTGTGTAGATTACGTGCGAGCCTGCCAAGTAAGGACTGGTCAGTTTCTTCCGCTAGAGCGAATGCGGAAGCAAAGCGAACCGATGTAGCCTGCTCCACCCGTAACGAGGACTTTCTAAGGGGATGGTTAGACTAGGGAGACTATTGAGGTCGAGTGGCATTACTTGGAGGGGAGGGAGCTGAGACATGGGTAAAGGAGGAGTTCAAAAATGGAGGCAGAGGCCAAGTTGCGTTTGTATTCCGTATGCGATCGTCTAACCGACAAGTGGGGGTGTGTCTATAGGGGCTCCAAAAAGTTGACTCCTTTTATATCCAGTCTATCGATCATCTACCGACCCCATTGGAACATCTCCATCATCTGTCTTTGTTGTGCTTCCACTTTCATCCTTCTCGTCGCTGACATTATCAGACGGGGAAGGTGCTTTTGTCCCAGCTGCCTCAGATTCGTCTCCGGTTGTCGGATTCCTGCGTTTTTCAGCCTCGGCCTCAATCTCCTTGACCAGAAGTTCGATATCGCCTGTGCCGATCTTGCCAAAGTGCTGCAGATGCTGGTCCCGGGCCGCTCGTAGAGCCAGCCAGGCTTCCCGTTGCTTGTTCTGGAACAAATAAGATCATGGAATACCACGAAAGAAGCTGGCGAACCTCCTCAAACTTGATGATCATCTCATCTGTGGATGGTGCAGGTGCTACCACGGGTATTACGACCGGGGCTGGTGCAGGTGCTACCGGGTCTGGTAGGGCCGGTGCGGCACTCAGGGCCGGGGTCCCCGGCTTGGCTGGCAGCGATGGGTGTATGGGTGGTGCGACAACAGCTGACGCAGTCGCAGCTGGCGTTGCATCATTCATGGAGACATCTTCTGTTGTTACCGCTGCATCCGGGGATATCACGGCGGCGGCGGCGGCCTCTTGTTCAGCCTTGAGTTTAGCTTGCATCGCAGCTTTGTGCTCGGCGGCAGCGTCCAACCTCTTCTGTCGCATCTCAATCCTGGCGTCTTCTCGCTTGATCTTTTGCAGAAATGACGAAACATCTCCAGGGCTACGTGAAACGTCCGTTGAGATAAACCGATAGCACTGGAGTGGACTCACCGGAACGGCATCTGTACATCTTCAAGACCTCTATACCCCATCTGCCAGATCTCCGTCAACGAAGCTGAACCCATTTCATGAGGGAACTCCTCTAGTCGCTCCCGCATCTTCAATCGAACTTCTCGTGTCGCTTCTTCGAGTCCAACCTTGTGGTCCCCGATCATGGTCGACCACGGATCTTTGTCGAACGCAGCACAGACATCGCACTTCCACTTCACCCAGTTCTTCTCTCGCTCGAGAATGGCGCTGGTGGTTTCCGCGAAAGCGCGACCGTTAGGCGCGGTCTGCTTCAGCTCATCCATCACTTTGTTGAACGTCTCTTGTGCCCATTCCGCTTGAGGAGGCTCTAATGTAAAGTCCATGTGCAACGAGCGATTGCGGATGTTGACCCAGGTGGCTTTCTCAGCCTTGGTAAATGTCTGGAGATGGGCGAGCAGCACGGCAAGTTGAAAGAGGACTTGTCGGCGGAATTGAGTGTCGGCAATCTGTAAACAGCTTCAGTTCATTTCAGCGATTCACGTTCTCCGTTACCTCGAGCTCCAAGAGATCCGGGCTAGTCAGGAATTTGGCAAAGAAGTATTCTGTTACAGCGCTGCTTTCCGTTGCCGGTTCAGTTTCGCGTTTGCGCTTCAAGGATCCAGCGCCACCCCCTCGGCTGCCCATCATGGCGCGTTCCTTTGCAGTGGCCTCCTTAATAGCAGGAAGCACAATGTTGACTGCCTCCTGAAACTTCTCAATGGTTCCCGGCTGAGAGAAAAGTGTGGGTTTGGAAAATGGGAGTTGGAGCGACCAGAACGTGTTGTAGAACACTGAGGCCTCGTTGAGTAGAATCTAACAGTGCAATGGATCCCACACCTGCATTCTTGTCTTCGGCCTTCGCGCCATCGACGTCCATTTTCTCCTTCCCGTCCTCCTCCTCTTTCTTGTCTGTCATGACCACATCCTGTCCGGGCTCTGGTTCTGGCGCTGCTGGGGTCGGAGGTTTGACCGGAATATGCACGCCTTCCCAAGTAGGTCCGTACTCTCCTCGTAGATTGACACCGCTGCGTTCTCCCAGCGGAAACACGCCACTCAAGAACGTCAATATTCGTCCACAAAAGATCGTCGTCGAGCCCATCTTGGAGAGTCGTCGGAGAAGGTCGTTGAGTGTGCGCAAGAGGATGAGGGATTTGCCCTTTTGTGGAGCCATCCCTGCAGTGAGTCTGGCGGAGCGCTCTTCGATCCACGAGAAGATATGCGAGCAGGACTGGATCGTGTGCGTCTCGAACATGTCGCGCAAGATTTCGAACGGGACTTGCTGCTCGAGCGCCTCTGCAAGAAGATGCCTGAGTGCCACTCGAAAACCAGGGAAACACAGGCACACCTGCTTCGGCGAAGGCCAAAGTGACATCGAGCAGAAGGCGCAGGCGCGCATAGTAAAGCGTGTTCGGATCCTTCAAGGCTCGACTCTCATCCCTCTTCATTCATGAAACCAATTCAGACGCGTCAGAATGCAAAGAGATGCATCACGTACCGCGAGGTTGAAGAATTCCTGCCTGAGCAGGATCTCCCATTGGGTCTTGCGGTTCTCTGGTGCCGACGTGGTTCCGAGGTCGGAAAGCGCAGTTTCCACGAGCTCCTTTATCGTGCCTTGGTCCCATGGCTTCGATTCCGCCACAGGCAATGCGTCTAGGAGGGTGGCCAGCCGTGATCTGAGGGAAGTTGACATGGCCGTAAGTATCCCCCTTTGATCAGTTCAATTACAGGCCAAGTTGGAGCGCATCACATGGGGATCACCGATCACGGGCACTCATCACGCTTTCGCTTACTTGCCTCTCTCATGTCCGCGAGCGCAGATGGATCTCCAGACAAAGTGAACGACTCTTCAGAAATCAAAACTGCCTCAGATGGCTCCACTGAACCTCGGCTGGACGCGTCCATCGAAGCCGATCTCGCCGAGCTGACCGATCTCCTCTCCAAAGGGACGTTGGACGAAGCAGGGGAGGCGAACTTGGCGGAGTTGCTTTCGCGCCTTGAAAGTGCGAACGGTGTAGCAAAAGGCGTGGAGAGCAAACTAGACTCTCTCATCGGGAATCTGGACTCGCTGTTGGAATCCTTGGAGGGAGAGTTCGCCGCCCAGCAAGACAGCAAGACGAAGGAGACCAAGACGGACTGAGCGGCTGGCTTATCTGGTGAGTACATCCCAGCTGTGGTGTTTAGGCTTTGTTTCCGACCTTGTTCCCAGCCCAATCCGCTACGCACCATTTGACGAGTACAAGAGAGCAACGATACAGTTAAATAATGCCGAGGGTAACGATACAATGTGGAATATTTAGGCTATAGATCAGCGACCACCTCGACTCGGTTGACAGTATCAACGATTTCAGAGCCTTTCCGAGCGAACACAAGCTGTGGGTACGGTAATTAGCATGGGGATGGATGTCAGGCCAGGGCAGACACTGACCAAGTAGGGATTGGCAGTAGAGCCCGTGGTGTCGGCCAAAACCTCGCTCTTCGCAACATCTGAGACATCCGAATCGTTGTACTTGAACCAAGCATCCGGGGCTTCTGGCAAATGGCGGGAATAGAAGAAATAATGGCCGAATGAAGGTGAGGACCCGCGATGGATGAAGACAGAGGTCAATTCGTATGGTGCATCAGTGGAGTCCTGCCAGAGGGCCTCCAGTTCTTCCTTGAGCTGGCGAGCACGAGCCCTTTCCTCCTCGATCTCTTCGCCGATGCGTGCCTGGTCTTGCTTCATGGATTCCAAGACATCTTGTTCCAGAGACGTCACGCTTTGAACCAAAGCCAAGTAACGGGTCGCTTTGTCCAGCTTTGAGCTGAATGTGTGCTTGTTCTACAAGACATTCAGCAGAGTCAACAAGATGAACTGGGACTTTCCTGACCTTGCTGGTTTGCAATTCACGAACGCGCTCTCTGCTCTTGTTCAGCTCAGCCTGGATCGCTTTCCCGCGAGACTTCTTCTGGGGATCGGCACTGTCCAGGAAGCGATCCATGTAGATGGTCTCTCCGAATTTGACGTAGGCCTGAGACTTGAATGGCTGCAGCGTCTCTCGATTGAATTGGACTCTCTGGTAACAGATGGAGAAGATGTCAATGCGAGAGAAAGGCACCACACCTGCAACTGGATCTGTAACAACGGAGGGGTCTCCACCAATGTGACTTCCATTCGCGCCTTATTTCCCTCGAACTCGACAACATCATCGAAGTAGGTGCTCAAGCCATCGTAGATGTCCACTCCTTCATCGTTGACGTTGACCGGAAGATGGGAGAAGAGATCCTCTTTCTCATGCACAGATGATCGCGCGGCCTCTGAATAGATGCGCTGCCGGATCTTCCCGTAGAACAGTCTTATAAATCATCAATGTCGCCCTTGCCATGCAGCAAAGCAAGCTGACCGTTTGACAACACTCGTCTTGTCATCCTGCATGCCATCAAATCTGAGCAAAGCTGTCTCGATCTGGAACATGCAGTTGTCCATGCACTCGGCAACATCGTGCTGTTTGCCGAACATCATCGTCGAGCTAGACTCGGTTGGCTTCCGAGGGGGCAACGGCGGTGGCTTCTTGGAAGAACCGGCTTCGCCTTGCACAGGCGATGTTGTTCTTGGAGGATCGACATCCATGGAATCTGGATTGGTCGCGCGGGCAGGACCATCCTCGACCAGGGTAGCATCTGTGTCGTTTGAGGAGTCGGTGCCCCCCTTGTCTTCGTCCTCTTCTTCGTCCTTGGACGTCACCAGAGCCAGCTTGGCCAGCTCGAGGGCTGGAGTGACAGCAGGGTGTTCTGCATATTCGAGATCGAAGAACAAAGATGCCAAGAGGGATATGACTAATGCCCGTGAGTACCTCGATTAGATAAATTGAACTCGCTCACATTTCTTAGACCGGACTATTTCCCTCCTAGTAACCAATCGGCCTCCTACTCGGTGCCGCTTCAGATCATCATCAGTGAGTTTATCCTCCTCGGCGGCTTTGACACCGGATTCCTTCATTAGCGCCACGGCGTTGCGCAAGTCTTTGATAGTGTAGAAGTACTAGAGCGTTGACCTCAAACGGTTGTCAAGAGTGCAAAAGTCGGAGAACGCACTTGGAGTAGTGAATTAAGATAGCAGGTGTTTCCCAGTTGATTGAGGCCGCGAGGAAGATCGGGTCTTGTCTGAGGAGCAATGAAACCAGCTGTCACGTCCTCAGTAATGATCCAGTCTCGAGAAAACAACTCACGATCTGTGCCTGTGTTCAAAAGTTTGCGTAGCCGCTCACTGTCGCGCACTTCGGCAATGACTGTCAAAGCCTCTCGCATCTTGTCCATCTGCAGAGGAGCGTCTTCGATCTATCCAACAGCTGAGCCCCCTGAGCGCACGCAACAGAGGATCAACTTACCCTCATGTTGTAGATTGTGATGAGCATATCATCGTCTGTCGTCTCCGGGACTTCGATCGTGAGATATGCCTTCTCGGGGCTCATCACACCGTTTTTACCCTGCTCCCACACGCGCATCAACGTGTGACTTGCACGTGATTGTGCTAAGATTTTCAGTGCTTTGGTTGCCTCGCTCTGCAGCACCGTTCCGTCGGCCGAATCTCGCCAAGATCGCTTGATACACTCCTTCCATGCATTCTCGACAAACTCGTCAGGAACATCCGTCTCGTATTCCACCCTGAGAGACCCCTCAGCGCCGAAGCCCAGGATTTGTGCCGCAGCTTGAATGTCCTCGTACGTGAATCGACCACGCTCCGATTCGTTGTGCAGCAATTGAGTAACCAGAGGAACATCAGGGACGACGGCCGCTAATGTCATGGCGATCGAGCGAAGTTTTGTGTAGTACTGGATGGTGTTTCGAGGATCGCATCGGCATTGTGCCAAGTAGGCGAATGTTAACAGCTCTTGGGTTTCGAGAGTCAGACGATCAGAACCATGCATTTCTAGCTGACTCACCGTCAGAGAAGGTGATGGGTGTCAGTCCCAGGACTCTCCAGTCCTGGAACTTCTTCTCCAGTTCGCTTCGGATCTCACTGCTGTAATCGTTGCGCGGGACTGGAAATAATTAGTCAGACAAGAGGAACTCGAGAACACCAGCACGCTGACTTTGATCGGGATGCGACCCGGTGGCCTTCTGGTAATTCTCCCTCTCATGCTTGAGAGACACCCAGAGACGGTATCCCTTATGCTCATGTTGGTAGAGTGCAGCTATGCGCCGATGAGCAACCCGCGGTCATGTAACGAGAGCTTCGTACGATGTATTCTTTCGTAGTCTGCTGTCCAGGCCGCGATCTCCGTCCAGGCGCGAAGGAAACGCGCGCGGTTGTGCTTGCCCTGCGGTGTGTCCGGGTTTGTGATCGGAGGTTGCAGGCACAGTTCTCCGTCAACTGAATCAGTGCGAAATCCCAACAACTCGAAAACTTGTTTGATGACAGGGCTCCAGCCCATTTTCTTCCTGAAACCTTCTCGTTCAACCCGCAACATGCGCATTTCTCCCTTCCACAGGTTATTTTCAATGGCCCTTATCATGGATGAGTTGGAGAACAGACGGAGGAGAATCACAGAGGCTCACATCAACAATGTTTCCATCCCCATCGCGGTAGCTCGCTCCGAGGACCTGCCAGGCGGTGGGTTCGCCACCTTCTCGTCCACGAACTTGTCGAAGAGGGATCTAGGAATGACCGCGGGGATGACCGGAGAGCGAACGAGATAAAATGTACATTGGCAACACACATACAAGTCGAACAAGGACCCTTCGTCGTCGTCCACGTCCATGGCATCATCCCCGAATGTCGTTGCCGCCCATCGGTCAGGATGATAAGGAACATTGAGCAGCCGCGCGTCAACAGCCTTTTCGTATCGATGGATATGATGCGTTACATTGGCAGCCGACGGATCGACACAATTGTCCGGACTTCGCTGTGAGGGTCGTCGGGGTAATGGATGGTGTTTTGACGCTTCAAACGATGGCGCCAGCCTAGGGAGTGTGTCTGACTCGCCCCATTGAATGATGACCCAACCGTGGTCTTTGGGACAGTAAAGCGCATCTGGGTGCGGCTTTGATGCTCTGACTTCGTCAAACGTAGGTGCATTCGATGTAGCACCCGCAGCAGGGGCTAGTGCAGGCTCAGTGTGAGAGACAGACCACAGTGTGTGATCCGGATTGTGGAGGCTGTCCGCAAGAACGGGAGGCAAGATACCAGGGCCAGGTCGTCCCTCGATCTTCCGCTTCGTATCCCACCAGTCATCCTCCTCACTCATCTCCCGACCATCGATCGGAACCAGCGACGTGTAATCCGCAGCACTCCAAGACGGCCCGGTTGACCATGCCGATGCATCGAAGGCCACATTTTCATTGTAATCTGTATGCATTGTATCCTCGACCGGCACCAACGGAGGGATGTCATCGTCCAAGTCCATATGACTTGCAGGCCTTGATACTTTCGAAACAGACGCGCCGTAAGATGGTAGAGGGTCCGCCCATGATGCTCCTGACGTCCACGACGACTCTGCTCCCCCCCAGTGTGCCGTGGTGGAGGCTGCACTGCTGGGCCGCTCGTACACCACTGTGCGATTCGAGCCTAGATTCTGCGGCCGGGATGACGAGACTGTGGAGCCAGTCTTTGAAGCATAGAAGCTCGAGGCCGGAATGACCGTCGAATCCGTTCTCTCTGAAGGAGCTGGTGGTTCAGTGATCGATGTGTCGGAGGATGCTGACTCCATCTCCGTCGACGAGGAGGTCGTAATCGCGGCTTGGTGAGCTTGAGTAGGTTGCGGCGCAGCAGAAGTGCTGGAAGATTCGTCTGCTGCGATCGACGGCTGCGCGCGCGCCTGCGTAGTGCCAGGCGTTGGAAGCGGCCGCCGTGACGGTGATGTTTTGAGATTTTCTTTGTCGTCCATCAGCTAAGAGTCCACTGCAAGGCTGGTCAAAGGTATCGAAGGAGGGATATACGACGATCGCGAGTGTCGAGTAGACTACTCGGAGTGCGTCACGGTCAAGAGAGCGGAGTGTGGCTGTGATTGGCGGCCGTATCAAAATCAGCGGCGCCATCTCGGGTTCATATATCCCGTATGTCTCGAATGTACAGTACAAAACTACACAGTTTCCCTTTTATTTTTTTCATTCCACCTTGATCAGCAATTTCCCGGTGGTCTTGCCGCTAGTCAAGTCCTGCTGTGCCTCGATCGCAGCGTCTCGCGTGAAAGCGTATTCTTTGTGGATATTGATTTTCAACGCGCCTGACGCAACCAGAGAGAACAGCTCGGTTCTGTATTTGTATATCTTCACAAATATCAGCCCAACCACTTCCGCGGGATCAGATGAGGACCAACCTCCTCGGGAGTGAAGCAGTAGTTGGCCACTCTGTTACAGTTGCAACTCTTCAGATGGACCGGTCAGTAGCTTAGAAAGACCGACTCACGTCGGACGGAGAATCTTCAGGTTCTTCTCCACCAATCGAAGAGGAGCAAAAGGAGCAACGGGTCCAGAAGCATTACCGACGCACACCATCGTTCCCTTGCGCTTCAACAATTTGAAATTGTTGTCGAACGTGTCTTTCCCCACGCCATCGAAGACGGCGTCGACGCCCACTCCATTGGTGAGCTCCATGACGCGTGCAACGGTGTCTTCCGTCTTGTAAAGTATCACGTGGTCAGCCCCATGCGCTTTGGCCAATGCCGCTTTCTCGGGTGTCGAGGTCGTTCCGATGACAGTGGCACCGCGGGCCTTGGCCAACTGGGCAAAGATCAGGCCGAGCCCCCCAGCAACCGTATGCACGAAGATCGTCTCTCCTTTCTGAACGTTGTGAGATTCCGTGACGAAAGTGAGTGCAGTGAGGCCCTGCAGTAAGGCCGCTGCTCCCATGCTCGTCGAGACGCCCTCGGGCAGCACACTCGCATATTTCCAAGGCAGCGAGACATAGTCGGCGTGCATGCCAAAGGTGCCACAACCCTGTTCCATGCTTCGTCCAAGAAACTTGACACAAAACTTGAAGGCGCACCACAGCAACCTTCGAGCCAACGGTGAAGCCCCGCTTCTTGAAATCGGGATCCTCGAGAACAGCAGGATCTGTTGGAAGCTGGACGACAACGCCGGCTGCCTCCGTTCCAATCACAGCCGGGAACTCCTTCGAAGGGTACAGTCCTTTTCTGATTCGGATTCGGATTCAGCTGCATGAAGGGATGGAAAGCAGAGAAGTTTCTACCGCAGATACTGGAAAGGACATTCAACGTTAGCGATTCCCGACAGACTTGTGTTCTCACAGTATCGATGAAGTTGATTCCAAGGTACTCGTTCTGTCCAACGTCAGTTCTAGTCACTGCGCTTCTCAGGCAATGTATATGACCTTGACGACGATTTCGCCGGGAGAGACCTTCCGTCGAGAAGGTCAGATGATGCCTTGGCTTCATCGAGCGCGTCGACTCACTTTCAACGGAATAGTCAATTTCTGATGAGCACATGCGTGTTTTGTTATCAGGGATTCAAGATAAGGGTGATCTCCAGCTGGCGAACCTCCAGTACATCGAAATCGCCAGGCTTGCATGGAGCGATTATCAGTGGTCTCCCTCTCTCTCACGAGGTTCCAGCACCCACCTGATTGAAAGCGATGGCCTGTTTAGTTGCAGGGACGGACATCTTCGTGGCAAAGAACTTGAGGGCGCTTAAAGGTCCTGGTGGAGAGCGAGCTCGCCGCGGCAGATGATGGAGGTTGCGGAACAAGGTAAGAAGTGACATAGGGAAATCATCTCCTTATAAAGCAGTTTCACTCTCTTGTATGCGGTCTGACCGGGGACGACTTCGCTATCTTGTAGTATGAGTAAGTAAAGAAGAAGATGGACGACGATACCATCTTGCGTGCGCTTGTCATTCTAATTGCGCGATTTCTCGAGGATGTGTGTGATAAGGGCTGGCCTGGAGGGCATCCAGACACTCCACTTTCAGATCGGACTGATAATATTCCACTAAGGACATGCATACACGACTCGCATCAGTTTCAAACACGAAAGGCAGTACGGAGAAGAGCATATATGATCTGCAGTTGCGAGTCTTGTTGGACCATCGTGGTCCTCTGCTCGCGCAAGGAATCGACTTCCTGGGCAACGACGTCGCTGTCAAGAGCGGATGGCAAGGGACCCAGTGGCGAGTCAGCCGACAACTCGTCAGGGAAGCTGGGTTTGGGGAGAAAGTCATAGGAACGGAGAATTGAGGAGAGAGCAATGAAAGTTCCGGTCCGGCCAACACCTGCACTGCATCCGACCACAATCGGTGGATCAGGGTCGTCCGAATCGTTTCTATTCGAACTATCCACCAGACGAAGGAAAGCCATTAGACCTTCTTCGTCTTTCCCTTCGGGGACGCCATGATCGGGCCACGCTGTGTAAAATAGATGATGGAAGATGACTGTCTTGCTTTCGTCGCCTTCAGGAAACATGGAAACAGTGGATTTGATGCAGCACGCTTCTTCAATCTGCTCAACCTGGAGCAATCTCAAACTCAACGCAGGGCTTTGATTTCCTGCCTCCGGTGAGTGCACGCGACTCTGGCCGACTCTGGTTGGCAGATATTCGTGCGCCTTTCTTCGATCGCCCTCGATGAACGGTGTGAGCTGAGCAATTGTCCGTATTCGTGTACTTCTCGGTCCATCCGTCGTCCGTGAGGGGAGGGTCGATGGATATTGGAGCAAGGACAAGAACGCGTGGAATGTCTGCGGTAAAGGGGCTTGGGCTGCGATCCACCATTTGTGACCGAATCTTTCAAGTACCCATGACGCATTCAAGTATCGCTGCAATTACGTTGAGGTTAGCGAATTGCAAAGATTATGCACGCACCTGAGAGTCCCTTGGGTCAAGAACGCGCGTCCTGTCGTATGGAACGATATCACAATAACGGTTCTTCCGTTCATGATCAGGATGAGTCCCTTGTGCGATCGAATAGAAGTCAAAGATGGGCCGAGGAACGTCTTTAGGTGGATTTTGGAGTCCTTCCAAATGGTAACTGCGAATGGCCTGGCGAGCACGTTCCCGTTTCCTCAAAGCTTCATGCACAATCTTCTGCTGTTTCTGGGAGGTGAAGTAGCTGGTGATCCAAGACGGTGTGGAAACGCGGTGTTCGACTTGCATGGCGACGTTGGATGGGAGTGGACAAGGACGCATCTGGTAAGATTGGGATTTGATTGACTGACTGCTGGTCACACATGTACATATGCCAGGCGATAGCTATAATTGAATGTCCTTTGACCTGTTTGGCAGCATTGAGTAGGAAATCTACAGGCCAAGGAAGTCCGGGGCAGAACTTTAAGGTACCGCAGACGACATAATCACGTAATCAACGATAACGTGACGGACAATCTGAATCTCTTGACGGTTTCAATTAACTTATGTACTGGCCCCATCTCGCTGATCCGCCTACATGTCTCGGACACTGAGAATGCAGGGCATACGCTGTACTGGGGCTCCCTCTTCTCTCGTTGACGACTATCATGCCTGGAGTCCAGGCCTCCTCCTCCTCGAAGTTCTCTTTCAAGCCTAAGCAAAAGTATCATGAATTCTATCCCCCCGCTCCGAACGTCTTCCTTGCCACCGGCATCATCATTCCGGTCCTCAAGCAAACAGACTATGATGCTTCTCAATGTATACACTCAGCCTACTTGAAAGCTACCCACCAACAGCGGGTAGACGGCTGGAAACGCCGTGTGATCCGGGACTCATTAGATCTGCGGAGATTCTCGTGGGCTGAGCTTCAGGAGGGAGAGGGTGTCGACGACGGAGAGTGCCAGTGCGGAGAACATAGCTGGAGGAGTCAGTCCGCGTGCGGCGAGCAGCCTGCCAGCAGCAGACGTAGAGGGGAGAAGCCAGGACGACATTGTGACGCCAATAGGATGATTCGATATGAGGTGGAAGACCCAGCACTTTTCTTCTCCACAAAAACAAGCTTCCCTGCCTCGTCTCCTTCTCGCCGCACGTCTGTTTCCTCTTTCTGCTCTGGCCAATCAACATCTTCCGTCAGCTCGCAGCATTCTTCCATCACTAGCTTCAATCCCTCCATGGACGAAAAACCGGCTGAGTCTGAGGCCGAGCAGTCGGCGTCTCCATCGATGTCATCGAAAGCGAGTAGAAACATGTCAAAGCGAGTGGCCGGTGCTTGGAAAGGTTTTGTTACTGTCAGACCTGTCTTTTCCTGTGCCACATACTTTGTCTCATCCGCGGTGCAGAACTTCACAGACGCATTCACTGTGCCCGATCCAATGCCAGGAGTTGACCCTCTTCCAATGATGCGGGATACGGCACGCCGTCAACTGCCTGAAGCTTTCGCATCCTTGAAACAGGGAGAGAAACGGACGAGGTTCTTATGTCCGCGTCGGGAGAGCACGGATGCCCTGTGGCCAGTATTTGTGAGTAACCATACATCTAGCTGCTCGCATGCAATTGAGCTGTATCAGGACGAGAGAGAAACGAATGAATTGCAATAGTATTAAGGTACAGAGATGATAGCGATTATTTAAAGTCCGTTGCTAGAACAAAACAAAAGCAAGACAAGGAGCGGGGTTCAACGCAGTCCATCATGGCAATTGAGAGGCATCTGACGGAGGATCGCTCAAGGTGAGTGTAAATGGCAGCAGTCTCTGCAAGGTCTGGTTGCGATCCCGGATTACAGACGCCAGGGCCGCAGGGTCGTGCATCATGGTCTGCTTGACATGCGTTGGCTGGTGTGTGCAGGAATCCACGAGTTTGATTAGCGCGGTCCAACAAACCTTTCGAGGGAAAAAAATCATTGAGATTGGCTGAGAACCGCTCTGAAGAAGTGACTCACGGAAAGAACGGGATCGAGATATTCGCAATCCTCCGGACTCAAGTCATTGGTGATGCTCATGATTTCTAAGCATGCATCGATTCTCGAGGCGAACATCTCCTTGTTGGATACTTCGAACACTTCGGTCAGTGTGATTCGGGCCGTCATCGTCAGAATCATGCAGACTTTGATGCTCAGCATGATGAAGCGCAACTTCGGACAGAAAGAACCCTTGTTCAGCGTCAACGAAAGGAAGCTCCGATGCACGGCGATGGATTCCATCAATTTCCACAGTTGTTCGTGCCAACCAGTGAACAATGCTTCGGCTGAAACAGATTCAGCAGATGCCCGGATAAATGAACCCCATTCATACGTGAGCTTTTCCCGGGGTATTCTTTAGCCAGTTGCTGCGCATCCCAGAGAAGCAGTGCACTTTTGGCGCGAAGGAAATTGACCTCGGCGTTTGAACGTGGTCGGTCCTTTTAGAACAGTCAGACAGAATGGACCGCCGATGCAAGTATTGGGACCTGCCATTTGGTCCCTTAGTCGGTCTCGAGCACTCTCGCAAAGCAACGAAGGAAGTTTCAGGATGAGCATGTGCACCAGATCCAGATACACGATTTGAGCAATCGCGGCTTCGGCCTGATCTGCCTTGGTCTTCGGTCCGGCTGAAAAGCCCCAACTGGGCTCTGCGGGCTCTGGTTCCTTTTCAGAATCTGGGCCCGATAGTGTCTCCATCCATCCAGTTTCCTGCAAATGCCTGTACGCGTTCTCAATCATGTCTCGTGCTCGCACGAGATCGCCCTTGTTGAAGAAGTAGCTCGACATGAGCCCAAGTGTCTGCAAATACGACACCGTCGAAGCATCTTTCATTGCACCAAGGCAAAGCTGAATCTGCTCCGCTTCGCGGTCGCTCTGGCCGGGTAATGGGACCCAAGTCCCATGTTGTAAGTGCCGAGCGAGCATATAGCCGAGTAGCTGACAGGCGTGGAGGAGGACAGGATGCATGTGTTCTTCGTCGAGCGGTTTCCCATGCTTCAGCGCTTCCAGTGCCGATTGGGGCACGCTCAGCCCAAATTGACAACGATGATTCAAGAACAGCTTGCGACTGTGCTCGTGTGAGAGTTGACAGCGGGATAATAATCATTCATACATCGTCACCAATTCATCCTCCTTGTCTTTTGGAGTCTCGGGTAACGAGTAGACTTGCCCCTGCACCTCTGACTCGAAGATGAGATCGAATGTCGGAGTGTCAGGTTTTGGAGGATCATTCTTGCGCATATTCTGGAATTGACCGACCAAGTCTCGATCCTCCGCGAAGTCTACGAACAGTTCTCGCCTGCACGGGTCATCAAAAGTAATTCCGACCATCCGAATCCAAGACACTTACGCCTGAGACAAATCAGAGAAGGTGATGTAGTCAGGCAATTCGGCATCGACGAAGGGACTGGGGGAAAATCCACGAGAATTAATGAAGCGGAAATGCTCATCCACACTAGAAGGTGAAGTATCGGATAGAGTGGACGAGGAGGCGCTGCTCGCCGAGGAGATATCCAGTAGAGGCGAGGCGTTGGGGGTTTCTAGTCTTCCGGGAGATGGACGGCGAAGAGGCTCAACATTGTCTGCGTATGTGCAGGGAATGGTATGCCGGCCTGCAATGCAGGTTCGGCAGGGCAGCATTCCGTCGCAGCGCTGATGCACGAAAGTTCAGCGAGAGGTGAGGGCTGCGAACAGACCACACACATACTCACCTTTTTCTTCTTTCTGAAATGGAGAGTAAGTCGCCGTTGCCACCTGCGATCGTAAGAGTACTCGCCGACAAGGGATACATGCAGCACCCTTCTTTAACTCCATCCCAAAACGACCCTCCTTCGCACCATCGGGATAGTTACATGTCGAATTCGCGGCGGAGCATTTGTTGCACGGCTCATTCCCGTCACAGCGCTGCACAAGAGAATGAGAATGAAGACAAGGGCTATTGATGGAGTCGCCGCACGGTCTTCTTCGATCGACACCGTGCGCAAGTCCCAGTTTTGAGTTGTACAGGGGGCATTAGTTGGAGAGTGTGATGTAGTCTGAATGTTGAAGAGAGTGATTTGCAAGTTGAGGACAAGTTAGGCGTAGATTGCTGATCTCCTGAATAACGAGCGTAGTGCCAAGTCTTGCTACATAAGTATCTTGCTAAGTATAGCACCCAAGGGGGATATTATGAAAGGGAGATTACTAATGAGAAGATACATTTATCCGTTGATCCGTTCCCAAATAAGCCATCGGCTCGCGGAGCCTGGTAGTGTTTATCCGAATTCGAACGCACAGCCTAGACAATGTTCGTCGTTGAAGATGCCTGGAGCTCACAGTCGCATTGATAATACGTTCTGAAGATAAATATGAGAATATGATGCCCAAATGAGGACCAGATATCGATCACATGACCTAGTTATACTTACGCGCCCTTCAACTTGAAAAACGGCCAAGAGAGCCCGTCGAACATGTGTGTCTCGACAAATCAGATCGTAATGTAGCTGTCATCCAATTTGGATCAGGTTACAGACATATGCCACGTGATCCATGAGCGAGCAAGCGAGCTCCATTCGGGCACGTAGCGCGGCTTTTGACTTGTATCCGACAGATTCGAAGCAAATCCCTGCCCTACAGGCGACGATCATATGTTTGTCCAATGATCCCGAGACCATTTGTGCCTTCAGCCCTCGAGGTGAACACTCGCCGGTCTCTGATATCCCTTGTCTTCTCTCCCTTCGAATTCTTGTAGCTTCGAATTCTCTTCCTCGTGGGCTGTCGTGAATAAGTGAAGATTTGAAGAGTAGTTACGTGGCCACGGAATCGCCCCATCCTGCCCGGTAGTCTCGCATCAAGCATCGGCATGTCGCGGAAATAGGGATATCTACGCGATCAACTATCGCTTCCTTTTGTACCCCGACCATGTCCCAGTCCTTGCTCTCTCCCGATATATCGATCAGGCGAGTGAAACATATGCCGACGTGTGCGATGGAGAAGCCTAAGTGCCTCGCAGGGTCAGTTCCACGCTACACAAATCTGTGGGCAAGAAACATCTCGTTGACAACAACCCGGAAACATGCTGGACATCTCAACAAGTAAAACCCCGATCCACGATATGTTGCCAGCTGAGACTGATTCTCAGGGCCTGCCACAATATGTTCAGTTCACGTTCCCACAACCTGTCGTTCCTCAGATCGTCGAGTTTACATTCCAAGGCGGATTTGTTGCCACGCGATGTGTCATCAAAGTGGCCGCCGGATTAGAAGAGTGGAAGATTGCCGCAAGGATCTATCCCGAAGACACAAATCGGCGTCAGTCATTCACCGTAAAGGCCCACGATGGAGCGGAGGATCCGATTGTCGGCGGAGTGGACAGATTGAGACTCGAGTTCGAAGAGAGTTCCGATTTCTTCGGTCGTATTACTTTGTACGACTTGAAAGTTCTTGGAAGTCAGATGGACTGAAAAAAATCTGTGTCGGAAATCGCCTGTGGACGTGAGACGTGTCAGCACACTTTATCGACAGCGTTTCGAGTATTCTGTGATATTTCGCCTTAATTTACTTGAGCTGAAGGTAAACGCACGAGTTTTCCTCATGTCTTGATTGCTGCCTCACTTGTGATAAAAATTACCGGCTGCTTGTCGATGCTGATATTCGTGAAACGTCCTCACATGGTATGCAGGAATTCGGATTTGTATCTCGAAGAAAGAAATCTCACACGGAGATGAGGAGTCCTGATCCATGTCGATCCCTGGCCAACCTAAAAACCAGAATCACGTCAAGAAAGCCGCCATCACCGGATCACCTGACCGCGTTCTGGGCAGCTCTCGGACACACTCGGACAACTCTTGATTATACTGTATGCGTCGGAGCGTCGAAATCGAGCACTCAAAGTCTTCGGTCCTCACATCGATCCGTGTTTCCCAAAGTGACCGCCCCAAATCCCATTCTCAATCTGTCAGAATGAGCGGTGATGTCATTGGGACTGTATAAATACCACACATGCCCTCTATGATTAGGCTCTGTCGCCATTCCCGCTCTTTCGCGGTCTCCTCTTCCCCCCGGCACTTCAAACTCCGCACGATGTCAGAAGATCCTGTATTTCGCGTCGCCTTACGCGGCGATGAACTCCTCAACAATCCCCGCTTCAATAAAGGAACTGGCTTCACCATCAAGGAGCGCAAAGCGTTTGGGCTGACTGGGCGTCTTCCATCCAGAGTGCGTCAACTGGAAGTGTGCGATCGGACGAGATATGATCCTGCGTCAGGTAAACACCCTGGACGAGCAATGTGAGCGGGCATACCAGCAGTTGCAGAGTCGCGATGCGCCTATCCGGTGCGTAGGCCTCGATCTCTCCGCATATCTATGCTGACATTGTGGCTTGCAGGAAAAACTCTTTCCTGCAGAGTCTCAAGACCCAGAACATCGTGTTGTACTACACTCTGCTCGCCAAGTGAGTTCAGTCAGTCGTACAGAGGGTCGTTCTAGCTGCTGACGTACGGCCCCAGACATCTGCGAGAGCTCATGTGGGTTGCCCTTCCTCTATCCACGAATCTCTCGCTGAGAAGTGCCCAATGCAGTCCTATCATCTACACGCCAACAGAGGTGTGTGTCTGTTCCGTGTATGTATCCGGTGTCCTTGAACGATCTTTCTAGGCAGAAGCTATCTCAGACTATTCCCACTTGTACAGACGCAGCGAAGGCTTGTATCTGACCTTCGACAATCAAGATAGCATGGAAGAGGACTTCCTCGAGGTGTGTTCCAAGTGTGATTCCCCCGATAGTCAGTGACATCCCCTCAGCAAACTCGAGGAGTGAATATCGATCTGGTTGTGTGCTCCGATAGCGAAGCGATATTAGGAATCGGGGACCAGGGCGTCGGGGTGAGTACTCCATTCCCAAACGAAACCAAACGTGTTCTCACGAATGTAATGCGACCTCCAGGGAATCGGGGTGCGTGTGGATGTAATTCGATTTGTCGTTCACTCTGATTGTCGTTCAAGATTTCTTCGGCCAAATCTGTGATTTACTCGTATGTAGGCTCACGGGTAATCCGGGCGTTGTACTAAAAGTCGATTGTCAGACTCATCGGGGGCATCAATCCTGCTTGTGCTTTGCCTGTCGTTCTCGACGTGGGAACTGACAATGAGCAATTACTGAATGATCCACTCTATGTCGTACGTGATCTCCTATAGAATTAGATGGTCTGTTCAATTGAGCTTTCCAGGGATGGCCGCACAAACGGGTGAGAGGCGAAGAATATGACAAATTCATCGACAAATTCGTCCAACTTGTTCGGAAGGTACTTGCTTCTCATAGCTTCGTGCTTAATCTCCACTTAAAACTTTCCATAGTACTTCCCGCACAGTCTGCTCCATTTTGAGGACTTCGGAGTGACTAACGCCCAGCGTATCTTGAGACGGTACCGAGATAACCACGCTGTGTTCAACGATGATATGTCAGGCCGTGATAACGCCCATCTTTGTTCAGGCGCTAATGGATTTGTTCAGCCAAGGCACTGGTGCTGTGACGCTTTCTTGCATCATGGCCGCTGTTGGTGTTACCAAGACGCAATTGGCGGATCAGCGCTACATCATCTACGGTGCTGGATCGGCTGGACTGGGTGTGTAACTGGTATCTCTCTCTCTCTTCCTAAGCTAAACGATTACAAACAGGGATCGCTCGCCAGCTGCGCGATGCGATTGTAGCGATGGACGACGTATCAGTGGAGGAAGCGACTTCCCGCTTTTATCTTATCGACAAGCATGGTCTGATCAAGCAGTCCTTGGGACCCAACAACATCCGAGATGACCTGAAGGAGTTTGTGAGAGCTGACGAAGAGTGGAACAGTTCCGAAGAGATCGGACTACTGGAAGTTGTGAATAAGATCAAGCCAACGGTGATGATCGGCACGTCGACTCATGCTGGAGCCTTCACCGAAGAGGTTATCAAGGCGATGGCTGCAAACTGCGATCGACCTATCATTCTTCCGCTCTCCAACCCCAGCAAGCTGGTCGAAGTTGACCCCAAGGACGCGAATGACTGGACAAAGGGCAAGGCACTTCTTGCGACCGGGAGCCCGTTCCCGCCTGCCAAAATGCCGAATGGCAAGGACTACGTTATCGCCGAATGCAACAGTGAGTTCATTGCTAGATGATCGAAATGTTGCTGACGATTATAGATGCCCTGATCTACCCGGGACTTGGCTTGGGAGCGATCCTATCTAAATCCAAGTGCATGACCGACACGATGCTCATCGCAGGTGCCCGACGACTTGCTTCGCTTGCGCCAGCCTTGAAAGATCCGGACGAGGCTCTGCTCCCCGACTTTGCTGACGCACCTGCCGTTAATCTCGAGGTTGCGATCGCAGTCGCAGAACAGGCGATACAGGAAGGCAGTGCCGAGGTCTCATGGACCAAGGAAGAGGTCAGAGAAAAGGTGCAGCAGGGTTTGTGGCGTCCAACGTACGGGGAATATGTGTATGACAAGGACGGAATGCAGTAGAACATAAACATGCTCTAGATAATCTGTACGATAGAACTTGGGACAATATACTAGGAATCAGACAAGGCTGCAGTTAAGCTCCCGTGACATCCAGCAAGTGACGGGACGGCGTCACGACCCGATTAGTCCATTTCGTCATCCCTGTCGCAGAAAGTGTCCACCCACCACCACCCAACCTTTGGCACGCGCAGTGGACGCGTAATTCTGGATGTGGGAGAGGACATTGCAAGATCTTATTCGGGGTCTGCGCTCGAACAAGAAAGATGAAGCCCAATTTATCGCAAAGGCGGTGGACGAGATTCGTATTGAGATCAAGAGTGACGATATGGAGCTCAAGGCAGGTGCGGTCCTCAAGCTTACCTATGTGCGCAAATTCCATGGCTTTTGTTGCTCTTGGTGTATGCTCAGTCGGACTTTTGTCACAGCTCGAGATGCTCGGGTATGACATGGGCTGGGCATCGTTCAATGTAGTGGAGGTCATGTCTTCGCCGCGCTTCCACCTCAAGAGTGTGGGATACCTTGCCGCCGTTCAATCTTTCGACCAAGAGACGGATGTTTTAATGTTGACCACGAATCTATTGAAGAAGGTGCGTGCGCATGCCTGCCGCAGCAACTCTTATTCCAACGTTCAACGCACGGCTTAGGACTTGACGTCTACCCCCGCAGACATTGCCATCACTCTCAACGGACTCTCGCACATTGTCACCCACGACCTTGGGCGCGATCTATCCTCTGAGCTGCTCACCATGCTCACACATTCCCGAGCTAATATCCGGAAACGCGCTATCCTTGCCCTTTACAAAGTCATGATTCAGTACCCGGACGCCGTTGCGCCTGGGATAGCTCGCCTGAAGGAGAAGTTGGAGGATCCTGACCCAGGTGAGTGATTGATGTATATGCTCTGTGTGTTCTTCCGTCAAACGCCGATCATCTCAGGTGTCGTCGGAGCGACGGTCAATGTGCTTTGTGAACTTGCTCGACAGCATCCCGAGGACTATCTAATCATGGCACCTCAACTCTTCCACCATCTGACCACCTCCTCCAACAACTGGATGCTCATCAAGATTATCAAGCTGGTATGTGCTCTTCGATTCCATGTTGTCGAGCAAAATGACACCAGTAATAGTTCGGAACCCTGTGTCCTCACGAACCTCGTCTCGTGAAGAAGCTCCAGCCCCCGATTACTGACCTGATCTCGACAACGCCAGCAATATCTCTCTTGTATGAATGTGTGCACACCTGCATCATCGGTGGAATGCTTCAAGGGTCTTCTGGCGACTCACTTGCGAGATTGTGCGTCTCAAAACTGGCTGCGTTCATCGAAGACTCCGATCAGAACTGTTAGTGTCTTACTCAGCCATTCTCCTAGGCTCTGACTGCTCTTTGTCAGTGAAATACATCGCGCTGTTGGCTCTGGTGAAAATCGTACCTTCGCATCCTTATCTCGTGGCGGAGTATCAAGACACCATCCTTGCAAGCGTGAATGACCCCGACATCAGTATCCGGATGCGAGCTCTGGACCTTGTATCAGCTATGGTAACGCCATTCTTGAGTACTCTGAACTTGATTTCACAAATTACAGGTTACCAGCAATAATCTGCAAACAATCGTTCAGCAACTTCTTACGCATCTAGTTTCGGATTCGCCGGGAACAACCGATGCAGCCGCTTCTCTGGCGAAACACACCATGCATTTGTCACCCACTACTGCCCATGTTCACGACATTTCACCCAGCCAATCTCCAGCCTACCGCTTGACGCTGGCCCAGCGGATCATCACGCTGTGCTCACAGAACATGTACGAACACGTGACCAATTTCGAGTGGTACCTCTCCGTCTTGGTGGATCTGTCGCAGGTCGCGAATGTGGATATCGGTCCCCAGATCAGGGATCAGTTGGTAGACGTCGTAGGCAGGGTCAGAGGCGTGCGCCGATCTGCCGTCAAGCTGATGCATGCTCTTTTGTGTGACGAGACGTTGCTGCACAACGCTCGGGAAGAGGGCAGCTGCTCCGAGGTGCTGTGGGCAGCTGCCTGGATCTGTGGTGAATATTGCAGGTGAGGCAACTGGTTTCGCATCCCGCACATATCTTATCTCGCTGCAGTGAGCTTGCGGACCCACAAAAACTGCTTCCGTATTTGTTGCAGCCAGGGATCGCGACCCTGCAATCGGATATCATCGCGGTCTACATCCACGCCTCTTCCAAGATCTTCGGATACTGGGCTGGTCAGGTGGCAGAACGGTGGGACGAGGAAGATCTGGTCGAGGTGAAGAGCGCGGTGGAGCTCATACTGAGCAGCGTGGGCGAGTTTGTGAGCAACACAGACGTTGAAGTTCAGGAGCGAGTGCGTTTGTCAACTCTCACGTCCGTTCTCCGTTGTGTTAAACCCTTTTTCAGGCTGCCAACGCGCTCGAATTGTTCACTTTCGTGCAAGCCGATCTAAATACGCACAAACCACAAGCACCTACAGACAGCAACAACCCTTTCGCTGGAGCGTCTGCATCTCCATCGGACAACGACCTCCGCTTCCCAAAGAGCATGTATCTGATTCATCCGCTGCACGACGCTTACGAACTCAATCCCGTCGCGGCGCTCGCTCAAGCAAGCGTGCCAATTCCGGAGGGCCTCGATCTGGATGTGTGGTTCGTGGCACCTCCACCTGAAGCTGCGCGGCCCGATGCAGAAGCCAAGGCCCGGAAAGTCAAGAAGGGCAAGGGCAAAGAGATCAATGGGGGTAAACTCAAGAGCAAGAAGAAGCCCAAGGATGCAGACGAGGATGTGGACGACCATCGAGTGGAATCGGCGGAAGAGGCGTTGGAGCGAGAAAGAGTGAGTCTCGATGATGTATTGGCTTCCGGTTCCTTACCGGCTCCTTTCAAGCGAACGGCGGAGCGACGAGAACGACAGAAGGACGACCCATACTATATCCATGGAGATCGGGGCCAGTCGAGCTCAAGTAGGCTCGCCGATGACATTGACTCCATCCCGGTTGTGCGGCTGGATGACATGCCAGCCCTTCCACCAGGCAAGAGCAAAATCTTGGCCTCGAGCCGACGGCGATGCTGACCTCCATCGTAGACGAAAGCAGGTTACTTTCCTCTGCAAGGCATGCTGCGGCGCCCACAGTGGCCTTTTCCGTGGACCGGAATGGTGAAATGCCGCAGGGCGCGACGCCACCACCGGTGTCTTCCCCACCGGCGTCTCGCACGGTCACAAGATCAGGCACACCAGTCACGATCTCGTCTTTCCCGGAATACGACCTGGCGGACGACGTGCGAGCCAACACACCCGAGCCAATTGCTGTGACACGGACGAAGAAGAAAACAACAGGGAAAAAGAAACGGACACAGCAGCCTTCATGACATGCATCGGATTATTACTTATACAGAAAGCAGGCAGAGTTGTTGTATGTGATGGTGGGGAAATTATGCGAGTGCTATCATCGTTCGTCTTCGACATGCTCAACCGAGTCCACAATCTCGTTCACGAGCTCCATTGTCACCCCAGGGATGATCCTCTCGGCGTCCGTGAATGCCCGCTGCAGAGCACTCAGCGCAACTCTTGCTTCTTGCGAGGACACACGCGGGAACAGCTGTCCAAGTTTTCAAGATAAGGTTTAAACAATGTTGAAACAAAAGAACAGCCACGCACCGACGCGATCGCAGGCAGGATGACAGAGTCCAGCATGGTCGTGTCCGGCAGATCATCCTCGAGCTGCACTTGGCTGACCTTGTCCGCTAGATGCGCTGCTGCGTATTCGTCGTCTTCGAAATCCTCGTCGTACTCGTCTGACGGTTGACGCTGACCAGGCATGTGGCTTCCTCGGCCATCCGATGGCATGTGCCGGACTGTGGCCTGTTGATCGACTTGTCGCGGCAGGGGCGGAAGCTCGCCCTTGACCGTGATGGAAGAGCTCGAAGAAAGGTACGTGCTGGACGACCCTGAAGATACGGATGAGTTCTCAGCGCGTCTCTTGCCGTCGTTTTCCCAGGTGAGAGGAGGCCCAGACACTTGCACCGGATTCTGTTGCGCCCGTCCGACAGTTGCAACATGGCGCACTGTCCCAAAGTCCCAGAGATCTTCTGGATCGCCACTGGCAGGACTGTGACATAGCATCCGTCAGTCACCATCCCAAATAGAGGAATGAACCCTGACACTTCTGGCACGGCGCGGTAGTCGTCTTCGTCACGACCGTCCCCTCCTTCAGCCTTCCATCGCTCGTGTCGTTCGATCAGTTCTGTCAGATAGCTTGTCTTCTTCGCCATGCGCACGAATTTGTGCTTCAGGAGGTCCCGAGCAGATGGCCGCTGCTCGTGCATCAGCGCACGAAAGACGTTCTGTTTGGCATGGAACTTGCATCGCGAGGATCACGCTGAAGGCAGTATGACACGAACTCCCGGAATGGTTTCGAGAAATTGCCTTCTAGGACGGGTGGTGGGTTTTTCGGAATCAGGAACAGTACCTGTCCATGGTTAGATATCCACATGTTCGTTAACCACAGGAGCACGTGCCTTCATGGGATGCAATTCCGCATATGGCGGCTCGCCCTTGGCCAGTTCGATTGCGGTGATACCCAGACTCCAGATATCAGCCTTGTGATCATACCCACTCTGCTTGATGACCTCAGGAGACATCCAATATGGTGTACCGACGAATGTGTTCTTCTTCGCAGAGAGCGTCCCCGAAAGCTGACCCGAGACACCGAAGTCGGCCAATTTGACCTCGCCTCCCGCGGAGAGGAGGATGTTGGCAGCTGTGAGCAGAATGAGCAAGAATCTCGGGAAGTACGCGTGTGACAATAGCGCACCCTTGATGTCCCGATGGAGCTTTCCCTCGCTGTGCAAATACTCCAGGCCCCGCAATAACTCCCGCACTATGATAGCGATGTACTCCTCCCGGAAGACACCGGGTTTCATCTGCGCAAGAGTTTAGAGTGGCCCGCGGCCCTCAATAAGGAAATTGACTTACCAAGTCTGAGCACGAGCCGCCGGAGCAATATCTGCGGGGCCAGTCAGGTCAAATGGAGGCGCATCGAACTCTCGGACAAACTCCATGACGATCCATAGATTGGATCCCTTCAGGTAGGAGCCATGATATCTGGTCTGCGGTGAGGACGGGCGAGAATGGAGAGCTAAAACGCACTTGGTAACATGTGGCGAGTCCAACTGGGAGAGAATCTGGATCTCCTGCTGGATATCCTCAATCTCGTCCTCTGCACTTTCTAGGTCGATGATCTTGATAGCGACCGTCTTCTGCGTCCGCTTGTCGTATCTGGCGAAACGCGCATTCGAGCGACGATGAACATAGGAGCGCGATGATGACCTACCCTTTGTAAACCTCTCCGAACGAGCCCTTTCCTGCATCGTTCAAGTAGCTAAGGTCAGCACTGGGGAAGCGGGGCTGGCGGCGTAGGAGACGCACCGATCCGGTCTTGCTTGACGTAGAACTCTTCGGGATCCTGGTTTTTGGTCTCCTGCGTGGGATGGACGCGTCAGATCGTGGGCGATTCGTCGAGGAAGCGACCCACCATGATGCAGACTGGGAGCTAGGTCGGCGATGAGGTTGTGAAGAGCGAGTTCGTGCTTCGTGTCACGTCGTAAGTTCGTATCCAAAGGCCTGGTTGCCGTTCGGAGGAAAGTGAAGTGTGGAGAGAGAGAGAGACTCAAGGAGAGCGGCGGGAGAGCCTCGAAGAAATGAGAAGAGAAAAAACGGCTAATATGATTGGAGAAGGGGAAGGTTTCGTCTTAATTTATTGAGTGCTCCTCGCGGTCAGACTTTCGGGGTGATTGTTTGTCTTCGTTGAATCGCTTGCCAGGTTGCTTCCTCATTTGGACATCTCGCGCTAACCGCATGTGCACTCACAGCGCGTGCTACTTCTCGAGCTTGATACGAATTTGTGAACGGAATAAACGACCAGAAATGCAGTACAGCGTGTCCGACAACATCGATGATGTCACTCATCCCCATGTTGCCCTGTTTCATTTCGCCATTTGCAATTTCCTCCGATCATCGACGCCGAGTCCTCTTTTGGGTCAGGGAGACAGTTGCTCTGGTACTCGCCCCGCTCGTATTCCGGCAACGTGTCGAGAGAGATCTCTGTGAACTGGTCTAGCGGAGCGAGCAGTTTCTTGTCGTGTGCCAAGTCTGACTTGTTCTTCTCCTGTCCCCCCTCACCGTCCTGTTCGACTTGAATCTTGTCTGGGATAGTGATAGGAGGGATAATGGGAATTTGGCATAGAGACGGTGGATGGAGCGACTGTCGAACGTATGATCTGTCTCCGTCCTGTTCCTCCTTCTGCCTGAATCGTTCTAGCTCGGCCCGGCTCAGTCCTTCGTAACCAAATCCAAGTCCACGGAATTTTTGAGTCTCGGCGAGTGCCTGAGCCTTTAGTTTCGCGTCGCGTTGCTGTTGCTTCTTGGCACGGCGTTCTTTCCACTTTTTGTGGATCCCAGGAGCAAAGAGGCAGATGGCGATAACCCAGAGCACGAATACGAGAAACGCGAGACAAATTATGATTGTTGTCGGGTCACTTGACAGTGTAGTATTTGCATGAGGATCGGAGGTAGCGACTTGTGAGTCTTGTGGTATAGGCGAGACAGAGGATGTGGGCGTGTTGTCGCGTCTTGAGCGTGATACAACTAACGGACTCATGGCGATAAAATGTGCAGTAGGGTTGTAAATAATGATGAAGATGAAAAACCTCGCAGAGGGCGTGCAGATAGAAGGCAGTTGTGCAAACGGAGATGGCAAGATGTGGCTCGAAGAAAGCTGAGTGAGGTATGGTACCCCTAATAGTGTCTGATCAACCGTTGGCGTTCTGATACAACACTGAATGCAAGCTTGAATAAAACTATGTTGCAGACAGAGGGACAAAATCGTTATCCTGATAATCTAGTCTTTCGATGCTCCTGACATATGATCAGAGAGTGCGAGCCCGATTCTGTAACGGAACGCACCGGGGTGTGTGATGTCTCATAATCTACATGCACGAACGCTCTCTCAACGTTCGGGAGAACTTCAATCTTGTCCTGCAGTGCTTGGCTGATATCGTGTGCTTTCGACAGCGGGGTGCTCGCATCCATGACGATATCAATCTCGACGAAATAGTCCTGGATTCGAGTCAGTCAGAAAGCGTGCAGGGTACGGCTGAGAGCAGCTGCTGACAGGTCCGCTCTTCATTTTCATGAGTCAGACGGAATTGGACGGAAGGGAAGGTAAACGGACATGGTAAGCTCGTACAGTGTCGACCTTCTGGATCTCGGGACTAAATGTCGAGGACTTGTATACCAGGAGTTGAAGAAACTCAAACGGCGCTGATTTCCCCGCCAACAGCTCGAATTGACCGTGGATCGTCAGTATCCAGGAAACGATTACGCCTAGAGCAATCTATGTGGTGATGTGAGAACATGAAGTTGACAGAGAATCCAGGCTAACGATGATAGCACCCATCGGGTCCAAGTCTGGACAAAAAGTGAGATGCAAGCACAGGGCGACACATCAAGATATCATACACCATCGTAGTTTGCTGCCGCCACAAGACATCAATATACCTGGTCGGACTCAGATTTCAGACTTGACCGTCAAGACGAAAGGACGGACCGAAGCCATTCACGAATAAATCGTTTCGGTGATCCTCCCAAAGGACATGGACTTGGCTCGATCTCTTCCTCAGAGAAAAACAGTACACGAACAGAACGAGTTTTGCCGCTAGGGCGTTTCCATACATCAAATGATCAGTTACAGTGGCTGGATGTTGCTCACCCAGAGCTGCCGCGACTGCCAAGATGGAGGGCAGGAAGAATGTCTTCAGGTTGTCGTTTTTCTTGGTGATCAGCGACTGGACTGATTCCACGATGACTACTAGGTTAACAGAGCCCATACTAGCGATCGAGATCAGGCAATGGGCACGTGCTCGAGAGGACAACGAACAGAGAGCCTGCGAGCATTCATTTCAGAAGACAATCTCGAACGAGCGCGAGATCTGTACCATAGACAATATTTCCAATAGTTTCCAGGCGGGCTCCGCCGACAGGCCATTTGTTCTCATCTAGCCCATCAGCCTTCTTGTGGAGCCAGAAGAGGAGGATGTTGCTCCCGATGTCGAAGACCGCATCAATTGCCGTGGCAAGAATCGAAAGCGAGAGAGAAGAGATGGCGGCATACACTGTCGAAGCTTGTGAAATTCTAGAGACGCGTGAAAACGCGCGTGTTACATTGTAAAACGCAAAGACATGCATTAACGACCAGACTAGCCCACACAGCAATCTTGACCTGCTGAATGTTAAATCCTATACTTGGCATAAGATGGATTTGTTCAGACTGACCGGAAGGCGGGCAGCATCTTCCTCTGCGCGAGCATCCTGGGTATGCTCTTCCATGGGTTTCAAAAGATATTCGATCAACTTTCAAATCGAGTTAGGTTCATTCGGCGGGCCGAGCGCCGCATGCGAGACTCACAGTATTCTGATTGTCCTGGTAGGCCGCCAAACGCTTGCCTTTCCTCCTTCGTCGCAATTCATCGATCTCTGCCGGCGATTTCAACGCCGCTTTGAGGTGAAAGGGATCTGAATCCGAGTCCTGGGTAAGCCCGAGTTCCGGATCCATGGGCCTGGATACATCAATTACCACTGTGTCGGTCTGGAGTAACGTGGGCGTCGGCTCGGGCTTTTGCTTGGGAAGGTACGACTACTGACTGGATGGCTACACGTTCGGACTGAGGTACTCGAGATGGAGAGTCGTTTTTCGCTCATATTCAGAGTCGCTGGGCTGTAGAGAGAAGTTGTCGGTGAGACCCGAGGCAACGGTACACCAGGACTGAGGATTGATCAGTGCGAAGGTACCACTGTACTGGAGCGACAACCACGAACTCGGTCGAGGTTAGCGTCAACTCTATCACTGCTGCACTCGAGGGCAACTCAGAACAGACAAAACCGTTCCAGCTCAAGACCCTGGAACGATATCAGAGTTTGCCGACGCCTGTTGTCACGCCGTGTCGAACACTTCTTATCCTTATCTCCGTCAGTCAGTCGTTTCTGTCTCCGCCACTGTCCCTCAGCGCTCAGCTCTCAAACAGACTTCATGCAAACCAGTGAATCCGACATGGCTGCTCTCTTCCCCATAATGCTACTCTTCGTCGGTCTTTTGTAACTCCCAATCCTTGACCAAGATCAGGACATTTTTGACACGCGGCCATGCTTTGTATAGGACTTGCGCGTTATTTTGGTGTCTCCTCTCGTCGTGTCTCGGAACTTCGACCCGACAGGCTCTGAGCAATGTCTGGGAATATCTCTTACTTTCTTCAAGGAACTCTGGCGACAGCCCGTTGCGAATGAGGCGTCGGGCCGCGCAGGGTCGATTTGGCATGGCAGCAGAGGAGTGGGAGATGAATAGCGTGCATTGAGAGTAGAGACGTTACTCGAAATAACAAGAGGACGACCATAGCGCGTTTGATCTGTTAGGGGGTGTTTTGACGTATAAAAGCTCGCCCCTCACCACCTTTCTGCCCGAGTCTCTCTTTCTCTCTCCACCACAACATCTAGGCACCCACATTCACGCGCGTCTCGCCCTACAAACTATTCAACCATGAAGATCTCTTCCAGCTCTTCAATCCTCCTAGCAACTCTCGCTATATCCTCGTCCACTTCAAGCTGTCTCGCTGCACCGACCGGCGACCCGCCCAACTCGGATGTCGCCGCGATGGCAAGCTCGCCCAGTGTGCATCCCGTATCCATGGTATCTGACCAGGTGTCGCGTGCACCCACTGTTGATCAAGCAATGAACATGGCGCGAGCTTTCAGTGGTGCGTGCTTGAGACGCGTCGCATTTATCCACTATACTGACCCTCCCCGTCAGTGGAAAACGGACATGATTCTCGCGGTCTGCTTGATCCCCTCGGTGTCCTCGTCTGTCCCCTATTCAATTTGATCTCCGATTGCGGGCCCAAGGCGAGCAACAAACAGTCCATGTCTGAAGCCTCAACCCACCCATCTCTGTAACTCAAGCCATTGAGAATCTTAACGCTGCTATCGTGTTCTGCAAGCGCAGCAAGCGGCCGAGTACGATCCGGATCAAGATTCTGGCAATGACGGCAACTCCCGTTTCGCTCATCCTCATCCAGATGACGGAAATGATCAGACCGGCGGCGTCGACAACAACAACAATGGATCTCAATGGTCAACGCATGCTGGGTCTAACAACAACGACAATTCGAGTGACTCAAAGATGACTCGTCTCCCGGCTCTGGATCTGCAGAAACGACACCCACGATGTCTTCGACTGCTACATGGGGCCCCCGTCTGCCCAGTCAAGCACTATTCCTGGTCGTCGCGACTTGCCTGTTTCTCTGCCTGGCCCGGCTTCTGGTCCAGCGGGCATCGTCACTGGTGCAGTGGGAAGTATTCCTGGCACTGTGGTTGGTGTTGCCTCTGGCGGCCCTGGTGCTGCACCTGGGCTGGTCGTTGGGACTGTGAGTAGTGTTCCCGGCACGGTTGTGGGGACTGCAGGCGGTGCGCCTGCCATTGCTGGGACCATACCTGGTACGGTTCTTGGAACAGCAGGGAATGTTCCAGGCACTGTTGTGAGCACCGTCGGCGGTGCACCTGTCACTGCTGGTGGTGTTCCGGGCACCATTGTAGGAACTGTCGGTGGTACACCTGCTGGGGCCATTCCCGGCACGGTTCTTGGGGCTACAGGGGCTCCAGGTGCTGTTGGTGGCGTTCCCGGCACTATCATTGGCAC